AATTAGGGCAGAATAAAATTTGTGAAACTCATACTCTTTAGTTTCTGATTTACGGAGCAAAAGTCTTGATTTTCATGCTTCATCTTTGTGTGAAAAGTTGCATTCAAAAGTGTCCCTCTAATGTTGACATCATGAAAAAAATGACAATATTAGGATTGTGCTCAAATGACAATATTAGGATTGTGCTCAAATGACAATATTAGGATTGTGCTCAAATGACAAATAAGTTTGCCAGTAAATCGACAAAACTGTTTTTGGTCGAATTTGCCGAGTTCTGGACAGCCAGTTAAATTTGAAATTGCTGTGTCAGAGCTGTTATTCAATTCACTTGAGATTTCTCAAACTGCTTTTTTTTTTTTTTTTTTTTTTGTTGGAAAGGAAGAGATCAATGAAAAAAAAAATTAAGATTAAATTTCACTAACTGAGACAGCTCAAACAAAAAAAATAATCCTTATTGCCAAATCTGTTGTATCACCTGTTTTAATGACATGCCTTTACTGTGTAACTTGGGACAAGGAAAACAAGGATTAAGACAAAACAAGATGCGTGTAGAAACAATAATAGGTTTATTTGGTTGCCATGTTACATTTTTCTCTCCCTCCCCACCGATCAGGCAATTGCACTCTTTTTTTGAGAGAGTTATTTCCCTTTTGTCCCTATGTGGCTGACATGAGACAGAACCTGGGACGAGCACAACTGGTCGTGACTTGCCTTGTCCCCGCCAAAAAAGAGTCTGTATTTGCTTAGCATGTAAAAGCTACTGCAGTTGAAATGAGGGAGAAAAAAGCACTTACCACTCTGCCGTAATCCGTTCCTTTGGCCAGATAACATAAAAGAACAAGGGGGGACTTGCATTGCATTTTTATGCAAATAAAGATGCAATGCATTATGGGACAGGGATGCAATGAATTATGGGATCACATGAGGACGCAAGGGATTATGGGTATATGGACAAATATAAAAGCAACTACTTTTTCCCAGTGCAGCGAGTTCTTCGAGTGACGTTCACGGTTGGCAGCTAGAACAGTCTGTTAGTGTGATTTTGAGACAGAACTCAAGAAGGAATGACTCGAGGTTGAAATACCAATTGGGAGAGCTTGAATTTACTCGCTGGTTGCCGTTTTCTTTATTCGCCACACCCTAACAATTATTTTCTTTATTTTTCTACAAACAAATAATAAAATTGTTAGATTTTTAAAAATTGTGTATGAAATATTAGTTTTAGTGTGCTTAAAAAAAATCTGCATTATAGTGAACAGGATTCATATTTTACAAATAGTTAAATTTCATTTGTATTTTTTGCAATCAGAATTGCCGTTGCTTGTTTTCCAATCCAATCCTAAATCCCCAAGGTAACATGCAATGCATACAAATATATTCATTAATATATAACATTAACTTACTACCCATAAAAAAATGACTGCTTTATTTATATAAAGCTCAACACTTCTGTTTAGGCTCAGGGTATCTGTGCACAGTACCGAGGATGAATATGTCTCTTTCTGCCACTTTGGAGGATGTAATATCTGTGCACTCTGCAAATTTATGTACACTATATAAAACCATTATACATGGCATCACTTGGACTAATTTGGATTGCAGTGTTCTAAAAAAAAAAAAAAAAAAAAAAAAAAAAAAACGGATTTTGTTCATTAAATTTAGAATCTGTTGGTCCGGGACCATTAATTCAGTTTTACTGTATTTTCTATACAGTTTTGTTTTTTAAAAATTCAGTGTCCCCTCCCCATTGTGTGCATACGTAGTTAGATCAATGTAAACATCACTTTATTTCAATGAATTCAAAAAGAACAAAATGTGCTGCACAAAAATTTTTTTCCACTTTGTCATTAATCTTCCTAACATTGTCCTAATATATAAAAATGTATAAATCATTTTCACACATAGATAAGTATGTATCTTAAGTAACATGTCCACAGTTATGTGATTAGAAATTTCTTTTAAGAATCGACTTTGGGATAAAATGCAAAATTATAAAAAGCACCTATATTTCAGTTTTTTTTTTTTTTTTAAATTGAACTTTTTAATATTTGATTTTTAAAACTATCCTTGAAACCATAAAAAATAGATTAATCCTGTATGCTTTTAAAATTGAATTTAGTATAACAGACACTTACCTTCAAGGCATGGATAATATAAATCTCAAACACAATTTCTTTTGTTCACTATTTATCTCATGGAAATAGCTAATTGACTTAGTGGTTACATATATTCATTCACTGAATTTTTTTTTATTTTTATATAAGAAAATGAATTTATTTGACTTGTGCATTTTATCTGTCTACATTGAGCAGAATGTTTTCTGCCATTGATTATCATAAATTATCTTAATAAATTTGGATCCATTACTAATTGTATAGCAAGAACATTTCATTCAATTCAGGGATAATGAGGTCTTTGGCAATGTTGGGATATATTTGCCACAACCACTGTTTAGGCACAGATAACTTAGATTTTATCTAAATCCAGTGCATTGCAATATGTAACTATTTAAGAGTTGAGCAGAGAAGGATTTGTAATGCAGAAAAGAAATATTTTAATGAGTAACGTAGCTTTCCTGGGCTTTTTCTATAAATATTTTCATAATTGTTCTGATGAGCTTTCCTCTTTGGTATCTAGGCTTTGTGAATTTAAACATACTACTAGTTTGAAGGAAGGTCTCATCATCTTACAATTGAAATGGCTAGATGTAATCATGAGTTCTATGATAAGTTTCTTCTATCACACTTTTTGCTTGAGGAACTCTCTTTTGGCTTCTTGCTTTCTAGTCAACTTTGATCTTCAAAAATTTAAATGCAATGTCAATTGTTATTTTTCTGTCTTAATTCCTGTTTTCTCGTCTTCCCCACTCGTCGTCTTCCCTCCTTCCCCCCTCCCTCCTTGCTTTATAATTTGTAATGAATTTTGTGAGGTTTTAAACCAGTTCAAAGCAAATTCACTGTACACATTGGATTCATATACCATATATACTCTACTATAGTGCTAGTTTTTATGATCAGTATTTTTACACAAAAAAGGGGGTCCCACGATACACAAATAATTCTTTTGAAGAGGTTAAAAACAATCGTGTTTTTGGTGTCCAGTTGTACTATTCACAGATTATTTTTTTTTTTCTGGATGGGTTAAAATTCATGAGTTGCACTATACATGAAGTCAATTAATATGGTAAATTAAATTAATATATTTTTAAGATTTTGCCCTATTCACTGATTTACTTGATTATATACATGATGCTGAATCAATAATCCACAGCATGACATATGGTTTTTAACCTAATTTTGATCTGAAAGGTTTATTTTTTAAAAGTATAATTATGCATGAAAATTTTATTTACTAGTGATTTAATTGTTGTATGTGCTGTTCAAGATGTCCTTTTTCAAAACACATTTCAATTCTGTTCCTGCATGATTCATTAACATGTTGGAGAGTTTTCTCTGTCATTTTTATTGCATTTATATTTAATTCTTTTTTTAAGTTCCCCAATATTTCTTGGGTGTGTCTGACAAACAACTGATTTGAAATGGCTGCACAGAAAAAAAAATACAAGGGTGTGAGGTCTGGTAACCTCTGACCACAGAATCAGACCTATCAAAACAAAACAGACATTTAAAACATGATTAATTAATTAACCCATATGATGTACAACTTTTGCCTCACCATCTATAATGTTTGATCTGTGATTAGTGTTTACCACTGAATTAAGTGCATTGACAAGAAGTAAAATATTTATGTAAAATAAATACTTTGTTTAACTTTCGGCTGCTGGATATTTGATGTACTTACATATATGTTGCACTCTCCCACTCTCCCTTCAGGAAACTTCCATAAAATCTGTAAAAGCAGATTTCAAAACATTGTATCATGAACAGGTATTTATTCCCTATCAGAATAAACAGGTAAATTTTCAGTTCTTAACAGTTTCTTCTTGCTTTCTTTCTTTCTATTTCACCCTTCGTCATTTTTATTATAATCTTGGGTTTGTTTTTGGCATGAATAAAAAATTATTTTTTTAATGATTAACTTTCTGCTTTTGTAATATCTCTTAGAGCTTGGATATGAATTTTTAAATATATATTAAAACTTTTCATTAACTCTATTACATATATGCATCAATCAGTTAAGTGCCATATGTAATGCACGCTTGAACGATCATATCTCTTTCGATTCATGACCGATTTAGTAAACTTTCCTGCAGTAGGTTGCTGTTTCCTTTTGCAGTAGACTGGTTGCCTACTGAAGCTATAGGACCCAGTCTGCTCTGCTATTCAACCCATAGCTGGTGGAAGAAGAAACGAATTCATACATTTCCCCAAGTGTTTTTGTGCATAAGTGAATGTAATGGAGCCTGACTGGAATTCAAACTCAGCTCTTCAATTTCTTATTTTGAGCCGATATTATACTACCGCATTCATCATATATAGTGATATATATTCTAGTTTTATGGGGAGAAAATGAAAGTAATGCCTGTTTTTTATTCACATTGTATTTGAATTTTTATGCTTCTCTGAAGTACTAAGTAGGGGGAGGCGGAACATTTTTGCTTTTGTTTTTTATTTTTTTTTATTTATTTATTTTTTTTTTTTTTATAGGAAATTTTTTGAGCCTCCTGAGCTTATTGAAACCACCCCCTTTTATTAATTTTTCATTTTCTTACCCTTGTATTAAGTACCTAAGCATAGTTAATGTTTCTTTTTGTCCCCTGAGTTTACTACTACTCTAACAATTCTCCTACTGCAAAAGCTAAATATTTCTGGTGTTGAGATAAGGGAGTTTTGTTTGTTTGTTTTTAATTATTTATAAACAATTTCCATCACTCTATTTGAAAAATCACACACAAAAAAAGTGTGGGGGAAATCAGTAATTAAATCATTACTATCAATAATTTGTAATGTGCAATTTATTTATTTTTTAATAATTTTTTTTTTTTTTCTTTCTTTATCGTCTTTGGCTTTTTAATATTTTCTCTGCTTCTAACTTTTCAGAGGTGCTGGACCCGGCTGCAACACACGGGAAATTTCTGACCGGCTTGTGTCTTTAAAAAGTGAAATTGAACATCTGAATCAACGAGAGAAAGAATTGGACCAACACAAAAGTTGGGTACAGCAGAGCATTAAAAATGTCACAGATGAAGTTTCAAATTGTCAGTATCCTTTCTGAGAATTGATGGGCTTTTATTTTTGCTTGTTTCTATGTAACAACCTTTTTATGTCTTTGCATGCTTTAATAACAAATATTATTTTTAAAAATTCCATATAACTGCTTAAATGTATGAAGCAAACAGTGATTAATGATTTCAATACACATGTTTAATCAATTGATTGATTTTATATATATCTTAAAATACAAAGAATTTGCAATATTATCAGTCCCAACCTGGCATCTTGGCTTCAGTAATTTTTCCACTACCATAATGTAGCTTCCCTGTGTCTTTTCTACAAATACTTTATAGAAATTGTTCTAATGAGCTTTCTTCTTCAATGAATGTGAACAAAACATTGCATAAATTCAACTAGAACATAAATGGCGATAGTAGCACCAAAATAAATAAATAAAAGTGCTAATTTTAGCACATAAACAAAACATTTTCATCACCTCAACAGTCTATAAACTCTCACCAAGATCTTTTAGTCTGAAAATAATTAAAGCAAATTTGATTTTAATTGATGAGAAAATTAACCAAGTCAATCCTTATAAAATATTTAGCACAAAAACAATGAAACTTAATGAAAACAGCGGAAAGTATGTTGAGAAAGATGAAATGATGCAGTTGTGTATGTGGTATATTATAAACAGATTAATGTGAATAGCATTTGCCGATGATTACTTGTAATCCATAGTGTACAGCTTTCTCTGCTTGATGCTTTTCCATTTGGCCAGTGCCTCTTCAAAAGGGAACTGACCTTTTGGGACCAAGGTTGACCCTCAGAAGCTGCTCTTGATGTTCTAATGACAGCCTTTTCTGATAAGGCGTGAGAATGAGGTTCTGAGCAGAGAATCCTTGATCACATTCAATTGTAGGTACAGCCAAGGTGGTGGCCAATTGAGTAAGGATGCTGAGGTTAGGGAAGTTGTTTAGGTGATATTTTGTCACCAATGCCCAAAGTTTCCACATGCTGTCTCTGGTAATGCTGTGCTGATGCTCTTTGCATAAAATATGGTGAGTGAGGATGCAATGTTGAAAGTTGGTGAATTTGTTTGATTTTTAAAGAGATGTCTCTTTTTTTGGTTATGTTTAGTACATATTTCACAGTAAATGAAAAGCGAAGCCATTTGTATTTTGTAAGCCACTGGGCAAAAAAAAAAAAAGTTTTTTTTTTGTTTGTTTTTTTTTTTTTTTTTTGGAGGTGGGGTTGATGGAGTGGATTGCGGTTCTTTTATAGGTGGTCCATCAGGCTCAGTAAAAGAGTAGATAGTCATAGGCACAAGCTGTGCCGAGTTACTCCCGGGGCACTGAACAGGCTTAGAAGTGGAAAACCTAGAAGATGCAGCTGCAATACTCTGCTGGCCATTTTTCATTAAAAACAGCAATACTTTATCTTAAAAAAAAAAAAGTCGCCTTTGAAATCTTAATTTTAAGTTTTAGCTTCAAGATAATATAAATCTAAAAGTTCCAAAGGTAAAAACATACTTTTTAAGCGTATTTAAAAATGTAAACAAAATGAGATTAATATTGGAGTTTTGGGATTATTTTTTTTTAATTCACCCTTGAACCCTTAATGTAAATTTTTTAAATTTATTTACATTAATTCACAAATTCAAGAAATTATAATTCTATTGTAAATAAATATTAACTCGCTGCACTCCTAGAAATTATAAGGGTTAGGTTTTTGAATCCAGGTAAAAAAAAGTCATAGGAATATGAAAAGAAACAGGACTAGCACTGTTACTTTGTGGTGTGTTTATTGTTAAGAACAGTATCTAAACATGACGAATTTTTTTATCATAAAATCAGGTTAAAAAAATTATTAGATGAACACAATATGAACACCCACCTTGTACCCCATCCAGTGTAATTCATTTTTAAGAAAATACTGTATATTTCACCGACCCTTATCACAAAATTAAATTGTTCAGTTACAAAGAAAGCATGGGTCACATCAACTGTCAGTTAGCTTTAAAAGGTTTGGGAGTTGTTAACAGGAGGTAAATTTCCTATTGGGGTGGGGGGGAAGCTACTTTTGCTGATTAATGGAGAACCCGTGCCCCTGGTGGATTTGCTGTGTGCATCGCAATGTTTTTTTTTTTTTTTTTATGAAAAAAAAAAATTGTGTGTCCCTGGGATGCATGGATACGATTTTACTGCATCCTTTTAGATTTTTATGTATCCCTGATGCAGGATGTGTAGCTGTGTGTGTGTGTGTGTGTATATATATATATATATATATATATATATATATATATATATATATATCTGGAATTAAAGATTTGATGTTGATCACCTTAAATCTTCAGTGACTTCCTGGGTTTTATTGGACACATTTTCTATCCAGGTAAGTAACCTGTGGGCAGCAGTAGTTAGCATAGATTTTCAGGTTATTGCTAATGAGTTTGAGCTTCACCAGGTGTCCTAATATTGTGGCCTTGTGTCAGACAAATCTAAAATTAATATGCTTTTTGTTTTTCCAATTTAGCTGTAAAATCACTGCTGGTGAAAAAATGTATTGAGTTGTTCTATAATCACAAATGAATGGGTTTGGGTCGGTGATGTTCTCTTTAACCAGGGGGGGAAAACTTCTGTCCAATGTGGTATGTATAAACTACTGGGTTATTCAAAAAGAATGAACTGATTTCATGATGCATTGCTTCAGTTCTCAAGCATCATCATAGTATGAGTCACTGACCATTTGAAAGAGGAGTTTTCTTAAGTTTTGAATGGCTGCCACAGGGGGTGCTGTAGTTGCATTGTGTTTCCGGCAACGTTCAGTTGTTTGTTTACCACTGGAATGGTGAGTCCTCAGCAAAAGGTGATCTGCATTCTTGAGTTTGCGAAAACAAATACGGTTGTCATGATGCAGAGTGCTTTTTAAAAGCAATTCAACATTAATCCGCCTTCTAAGAACATTCAACAGTGGTTTAAACAATTTCAAGAGAGTGGGTATCTGTAAAGGAAAAAGTCCAGGATGACCATGAGTTTTGGAGGACTAAGCAATGAGAATCTGTGCTGAGTTTGAGGGCTGTCCATAGAAATCTACAAATCTAGCTAGCCGTGAACTTGCGATCTCTCAATCCACTATCTGGTATGGGTATGTCCTAAGAAGATGTCTACATTTAAAACCTTGTAGACTATGTCTCGGTCAAGCACTTACCAAGACTTTTCTCTTTGTGCTTGGCCTGCAAGATCCTCAGACCTTGCTGCGTGTGATCCCCCCCCTTGGATATATATATATATATATATATAAATATAAATTTACCAGAATAATTCTGAAGATAAGCCTTTAAAAATGACAATTGGAAAAAAAATTCTTAGTTCTTGCCGACACATTTTGTCTTACAACTTTATCAAGGCAAGCAATGAAAATGAAATGTTTTGTAGTCATAGTTACATCAAATCCAAAATTTAAAAAGAAAAAAAGAGGTGCTCCTGCATAAGCCTTTTTCTGGATATTGGTAACTTCCTTTTTACTAAGAATTTGTTTTTTGTTTTCATTTTTAAACTAGTTTGTCTTGTCTTCAGAATTATTCTGGGAAATTTAACTAATTGCTGGCCTAAATGAAGATTTTGTGCTGATAGTTGTAGATTTTCATCCAGAATTTTGATATAGTCTGCAGATTTCATTATTCCTCTTATTGCAATTAATTGTCCATCTCCCTTGAGCTAAAACAACTCCAAAACATTATCGAGCCACTTCCATGTTTCAATGTTGCCACTGTGTTCTTTGGGAGGAAAGCCTCACCTTTCTTGCACCAAATCTTCTGTACATCATTATGCCCAAAAAGCTAAATTTTTGTTTCATCGCTCGATAGTACTTGTTGCCAAAAGCAGTTTTCTTTGTCCAAGAACATTAAACTGAGCAACACTGTTACATGCTTTGTGAAGAGGGTGTTCATCATGGTCAGTTTCCATACAACCCATTTCTATTTGAACAACATTTTGTTGTGTGAGTACTTATGCTGATACCCATTGTATCCAAACTTTTGGTGATGTCTTTCAAAGCAATTCTTGCGTTTATATTAACCTTGTGACATAGTTTTCATGCTGTTCATGGTTACAATTTGTGTTTTCTTCCACGCCCAGGCAAATTTTCTGTTGTACCAAACTGTTTAAACTTCTTTATAACGGACTGTACTGTAGATATAGGGATAGCTAACCAGTTTGAAATAGTGCTGTAACTATTTCCTGACATATGGAAGTTAATAATTCTCTGTCTAAAGTCAACACTAAACTCCTTTGTTTTCCTCATTGTGCTATTAATGTAAAAATAACAATGGTGACACCATGCACCACATGATTTTCTTTGCTGGAATTATCACAAATATTCTACTGAATAAATAATCTCGAAGGCTTCACCGATAAAATGATTATGTAAATTACTTACATCAATCAATTTAAAACATTATTTTCTACTCTACAAATAATTTTGTCTTTTCCTATTTTGCATAATTTGTCTGTCAAATTTGTTGTATTTAAACCTATTGTTCTGACAATTGAATTTTATATTCCTTTTTTTGTGCTTCTTAACATATAAAACACCTAGCATCATACGGGCATTAGATTCTGAGAAATGAATAACAATATTCAAAATTGATGGGTGTACAAATAATTTCATTGACTGTATACATGTGCACACAAACATATTTTTATATATATATATATATATATATATATATACACACACACACACGTGTTCCTGTGCAATAAAAAAATGAAGATAAAGAATTCACAATTAAAATAGAGGCCAATGAACTGCTCAATTAATCCACTTCCTTTATATTTTAGGCATTCAATGAGATTTGTGATTCATTGATTACTACTGGTATTATATAGTTCATTTTTTGTTCAATATCTTTTTATATTGAACATTTTATGTATTTAATATAACAGTGAAATGGAAATATCTCTTGGAAGTAAAAGATTAGAAACAGAATGACAAAGATGGTGACAACAAAGCCTATTTCAAGATCGAGTTGAAGCAAGATTATCACTTAATAGTAAAAGGTAGGGTGGCAAGTTCTCTGTATTCTAATATGTCAAATTCCATGTTCTTCCATGATGGTAAATTTTAATTTTCTGTTTTTGTTTCAAAATTGTAAAAATATGGGAAAAACAGACTTGTGTGTAAACAGTAAACTATGCAAGTATATAGCCTACTTATAGGCATCTTTATTTTTTTTTGTGCTTCAGTGATTTCTGATAATCCCCAAGTGTGTTTTTCTGAATCCAATCTATGGTGTTGACAAAAACTGCAAAATAATTTATTGCCATCATGATAAATATCATTATGGAAAGCTGGCTCTTCAGCTCTGTATTTTGCTGAAAGTGTGCACCCACCAAGTTTGTTAGCTTTTTGTTTACTCATCATAAAAGATAATCAAATTGGCATTTAAAAATGTAATTTAGTTACTAAACAAATAACTTTTATTATTATTACCTTAATGTTATGTGCCAGGCTATTCATATACTGATATCGCATGTAGGTATTTTCCCTACAGCGGCCAGTGGTGATTGTTTTGGCCAGGTTAATATCCTGAATTAAGTTATGGTGCTTGCACAGTACTGAAATCACTAGATGTTGCAGCAGTATAGGTCATAGCACTTGCGCATAAGTGACTGACTTTGCTGTGTATTGCAGATTTATGCAAAATAATAATTCTGTCGAGTTCGTCTCAGGAATTTTACATTTTACTATTGGAATATATTATTTTTTGTTAGCAAAAATTCTGTTTTCTGTTATTTTCCGTGTTTTCCGTTTTAGTAGCAAAAATCCCATTTTCCATTATTTTTGGTGTTTTCCATTTTCTACTTTATTTCCATGTTTTTTTTTTTTTTTTTCTGTTTTCCGTATCATGGGGAACTTGCCAATCTAGTCAAAGGCATCTGAGCATCTTACATAAAAAGCTTGAAGAAATAAAATTGGAATCTAAGAAACATAGGAGTAAAGGAACCAATTCATTAAATAGTTCATTTTGCTCAATAACTAATTTTGTCTACATGCAGATAAACATTTTATTTGAATTGATTATTAAAATGACTAAAGGAGGTAAACACTCATAAATTTACTAATTTGATTTATTACCCTTCTCACTACAAATGGAACAGGAAATATATAAATGAATACACATTGATAATTATTATATGATTTGAGGACACACTTTTTCACGTAAATATCGGGGCTGCAAATTCTTAGTGCTTTTTTAATAAAAATGTAATGATTTCAGATTTTATTCTACTGCAGTGTTGAGAATGATAGTTTATGAGGTCATTCTTGGTAGATTTTCTGTAAACTTTTATGAATGTGTATATGAACACACACTCAATTTGTAGTATAAAGGAAAAACAAATTTCATTTGTTTCTGGTGTGTTTCCAATGGAGAAATACTAGGAATTGAAAATATATTTTGTGTAGGAAATTGTTCTATGAAATTGATACTTGTAAATATTTTTCTTGTCTGAAGATGCATAATAAAAGAGAAATTGTAGTCTTGTATTGGATGGTTACAAGCAATAATTGTTACTATAGATACATCTATATAACAGAAAATAGATCAATCTCTGCATGCCATGTGTGCCAAGTGGAACATTTTTTTTTTTTTTTTTTTTTTTTTTACATTCATTCTCTGGTTTAAATATATATAAATTTAAGGGTTATACTTGAAATGCTTTTGCTCTGTATAGTGAAACTCTTTTCAAGTGTGTGTGTGTGTGTGTGTAAATATTTTTGAAGGTACAAAATCTAATTACAGAAATAAGTGTGTAGCTTAATATTTAAAAACATGTTAAAAGCAAAGCAACCAGTTTCGCTCCTGCTCTTCAGGCCTCTATGGGAGAATTAACTTAAATTAAAAACAACAGAAAATGTGTAAGGAGAAGGGAAAGAAAGAAAAAAAAAATGAACACAAGGAGCTAGAGACAAAAATAACAGCAAGCTTTAACAAACGTTCGCACTGTTTACACGGGGAAGGCTTGTGGGACCCGATATAAAGTGCCTCCAGCACCTTGAGATGAAATAATGACCGGGACAGAACAGTGAACCAATTGGCACTGAAATTAGCTGCACACCCTCTGTTATTTAAGAGGTGCTCACATATGGCAGAATCATAGGTATTTGGGACACGTCCATTCAAAGATAAGGTATGATTCCTGATCTTGGTGGGAATATGCTGTTTAATTCTCATATCCAGGTGTTGAGTAGTTATTCCTATGTAGTCAGCACCGCAACTACAAATATATTTGTAAACAATAGAATTAATTTCATGGAGAGGGAGAGCATCCTTGCACCCAGAACGACACATAGGCCGGGTTTGGAAGACTATACAGACCTCAGACAAGAAAAAACAACAAACATTATGAAATCTGCCTAATTATGCTTTCACACTTGGATCCAATCCAAGGCAATCTAAGATAAACAGGGCACTTTTTAACTGTACAAAGTTTGACCTTTCTGAACTCCACAATCTTGTTCTGGATGACCAAATGAACAGCATCGTGGGAATACCTTAAACCACATAAGGTTTCCTTCACAAAATTGATTTCATCATCCAAGAAAGAATCTGAACAGATCATTAATGCCCTATGAACTAGGGTTCTAATTATGTTTATCTTACGTTTTCTAGGACAAAAGGAATCCCAATGCGTATATAACCCCGCAAATGTTGCTTTCCTATAAACAGAGGTGAGAAAGGTTGTCGTTGTCTAATATACTAGAATATCCAAGAAGGCTAGTTGAAAATTGGATTCCTTCTCGACCGTAAACCTCGGCGCTGGATGAATACCATTAACAAAAGACAGAAACTGATCAGCCTCAACTACATTATTAAATAAACAAAAACTATCATCAACATATTGACGTTACAGGTGAGGACGAAGTACATTACTATGTATTCTCTCCTCGTGAAAGCCAACAAAAATACTGGCAAGTGCCGGACCCACTCGTTATTTCATCTCAAGGTGCTGGAGGCACTTTATATCGGGTCCCGCAAGCCTTTCCTTTGTAAACAGCATGAATGTTTGTTGTGTTCAATTTTTTTTTTCCTTTCTCTTCTCCTCATTACACATTTTCTGTTGTTTTTAATTTAAGTTAAATCTCCCGTAGAGGCCTGAAGAGTGGGAGCAAAACCGGTTGCTTTGCTTTTAACATGTTTTTATTAAACTATGTTTTTTTATTTTTCTTATATATATATATATATATATATATATTATATATATATATATACACACACACAAAGTGCTTAATATCAGGAATAGTGTATATAAATATAAAATCTAACTTTGAGAGGGGGCAGCCTGATATCTGGCAATGAGTGGGTCAGTGTGTTGGGAGAAGTGGGTATATACAATTTGTGCATACATAAAATCTTCTAAACACACTCATCTCTTATAGCCCTTAATAGTGAATTCAAGCTTGAAAGAGATTGACACTTGGTCTTGATCCCAGTGTCCACTTACACTTGCATACATACCCACTTCTCCCAATACACTGACCCACCAATTGCCAGATATCTTGAAAACAATGTTTCATCACTGGCATGTGATAAGGAAACGTGAGCTAGGGAAAACTTGATCAAAACATGCTCCCCAATCCATGATAGTAGAACAAAAAACAAGCTGTACAGAGACCAATGATATAGATGCTTTAAGATTAATTATTTTGTTTCAAGACAAAAAAATTTATGCTTCATTAATCAGATCAATAAGCCTTTCTGTTTTTATGATTTAGAAAAAGCAGAAATGAATGTAATATGCAAACTACTTTTATAAATATTCATGTTGACTTTGTTACCATTCAAGCATTGAACTTCTTTTGTCTCCTTAACCACAAGAAGATTAGCTTATGTGAGCTATGAAGACATTTGCACAGTATTCCAAGGAAGTACATTATTATCGATACAAGCACCTTCAGGGACGCAACTAGAAGTGCCAATACCAGAAATAGTGAGTAAAAAAGAAAAAGGTTTTAAAATTTGACTTTTATCATGTGTAACTATTTCTACATGACATTAATCATTCCTTTTGAATTGTTTTCATTTCTCCTTTTGTGAATTTGATTAAAATGAAAAGCTTTTAAATCTAGTTCTTTATAATTTACTCTTTATTTTATTTTTGTAAATCTAATGGTTTCTATTTAGACTTAGGTTGGTCTATTGCAGTCATCAAAAGTAAAACTATAGTCTTTGTATTGGTGGATATAAAAAAAAACATTGTTATTGGTTAGATATTTTTAAATTTTTAAAAATTCTTAATTTCACAATGTCAGTGGCTGCTTGCTGTTTTCAAGAAGCAAATAATATGCATAGTCATGTGAAAACTGCCTTTTTGCTAGTATCTTTTATTCTATAACGCTGTGGGATGTCCTCATTCCTTGCGATACATGATAATTCCATCACGTCACCGGTGTGTCCATGATTGAATCTTGCGGCTAACTGTGGAGTTGGTCACTTCGATCCAAGCCTCTCCCTGTCCCATGTGTTTGCTTTTGAGCACAAGGCAGGCAAGGGTCAAATCAATGCCAGATATCACTGGATTGGTGTTGGTCGGGTGATGTCATAAGACAAAAAAAAGAAAAAAAGTTGTGTAGATAAACAAGGTTTATATAATTGAAGTTTATACAGGGACACTTCTTTGTATGACAATCTACAAGCAGCAGACTAACAGCCATTCTCTTTTAGTCTAATTTCATGACATTTTGTTCTTTGTTCCAAGTTGGAGTTGGGAATTTCAAGCTTTAAGTCAGAGACTTCTTCAGGCAGCAAATCATGGGATGCTGACAAAGCACTTATCTCCCTCCCCCTCCCCCGTGTTATATAGAGACTTCTAATTCTTCCATCTTGCAATTTCGTTAGGGCACTCTGCTTGATCTAATAGTCTGGAACAAGGCATGATTTGGGAGTTCTCTTGGCAAAGCGATCGTCTCCTCTGTGTGTAATGGAAGTGCATCTCTGCCTCAGCTGCTACTCCCAATTCCCCTCCAAGCTAATGCTTTTATGGAACCTTGCCCATCATTGGGGTGGGGTCAGACATGTTCTGGGGTCCCAGAATTTTACAAATATCTGATCAGAACTCTTTGCTGACAGTGTCCCGGGAAGCAATGTGCATGTCCAAATTTGGGAAACCCCTCCTCTGGATAGTGGTAGTAACAGGGCATCGACTTGCCCCACTTACTCCCTCCTCTTATTTGTACCTTATACCAACATCCCTCAATGGGCATAATCAGTTTTCCCCCCACTCTCTCTTGTTCACCAATTTGGATCCTTTGACTGGGTGGAATGACTAGCACATGCTCATTAATTAAAATTCACCTGCCTCAACTTCACATCATTGGAAATGTCCTTTGTCATAAAAAGTTTTTGATATTTTCCAGATTTCTCATCTTGGATAAATATAATTCTTTTCTTATCTTTGGGGGCGGCTTTATCAAACTGTTATCTTATCAATTATCAGATTCTTTGTCATTTGAACTCTGCATTATATCCAACGAGATTTTATTTATTTAGCAATACTCATACACTCCACCCATATCAACAAGTGACATAGAATCATTTCCTCTTTTCTTCTCCTACTTATAGCCATAAAATTATTATCTGTAACTAGCTTGGTGGTCTCTGTCCAGAAATGCCTGCCTTGGTTGATTCGTGGATGTCACAACACTCCCCCTACATTGTCCCTTGGGCCTCATTTTAACCAGATGCCCAAGTGGATTTCAGCATTATCTTCTAGTGAGGCCCTTTTTTCACGAAATGAGGAAAAAATATAAATAAAAGTATATTTTCTTTTGTTTTCGGTATGTCCTTCAATCTATCTACTTCTTTTGCTTTTTTGTTCACTTTTGATTTAATTTAAGTCTTTTCTTTTTTCTCTCTCCAAATTATTAGCATTCTTACCGTGTCATAATTCTGCCAGCAAAAAAATGTTCCCATTATTTTATTTTTTATTTTTATATCACTTTCAAAAGATGGCTTATGATTATACTATGTTGAAGCACTGGTTCCCATATGATCATTGAAGTTAAGCAACATTGAACCTGATCAGCACTTTGATGGGTGACCGCTAGGGAATACTAGGTGCTGTAAGCTTGGATGTGCAGGTGGTGTAATGGATAATGGGTTGGAATTGTTAATTGTACAGCTGAGTTCCAATTCCCATTGTGTTTGTTATATTCACTTACATGCAAATACCTTTGGGAAAGGTATGAATCCACCTCCTCTCCCACCAGCTATGGGTTAATTAGTAAAACTTGTTTCACTAAGCCATTATTATTTAAAAAAAAAAAAAAAACTATTTTTTTTTACATTCTAAAAAATCTTTTCCTGGCTTTAAATAACCTGCAAAGTTTTTAAGCTGTAGAAAATGAATAAATAAAATAAAAAAAACTTTAAAAAATAACGTAAATTTACTCTTAATTGATGCTGCAGTGTATGTGAGTGAAACATCTTTGTCTATTAAAAGGAAGAAAAAAAAAACTATTGCTAATTATTATCAATTTTTTTTCTTTTAAATTTTCTATTAATTTCTACATCGACTGTTGTAATGTTTTATATTATTTAGCTGCCTCCTATTTTATTGTTACTATTTCTGAGGATTCAAAAAATACTAGAAGTTTATTTATTCGGCTCTGCCTATATCAAATTTGCTTGCATGGAATCATTGTCGTCTTTTGCATTCTTTAACAAAAAAAACTTAATATTATTCAGGTAGACGTTGATAGAGTTGATTTTCTAAACATAGCTTAGATGTGGCACAAGGCCAAAGGTATGGGGCACCCAGTGATGATCGAACTATTCAGTCGTAATTGGTTTAGTAAGACAAGCTTGTTAACCATTACACCACACTGAAATGCCCAATTATGATATTCAAAGTGTAGCATAGATGTGACACAAGGCCAAAAGTGCAGAGCACCCAGTGTGGATCGAACTCGCTACTCAGTCGTAATTGATCTAACGAGACAAACTTGGGCACATCAAGGGGCCCAAGTAGAGGTTGAATCCTGCTAAACAAAATCAACCAACCAACATCAATAATATTCAGAGTGCAAGAGAAAGGAAATGGCACTTCATGTTGTGTGATTCTAATATGAATATAATTTTTTACATTTTTATCATTTATCAAGTTGGAGACCATTGTTAACTGACTTTGCATCTCACTTGGTGTATGATTGGCAAAAAAATTGACTAACATTGAAATGTACAGTTAAAAAAACGAGAGATGAGGATATTAGTCTAAGTAAACTCTCAAGGAAATGCTCTGCTTTTGATAATGTTACATTCTTTAGCATATTTTTTTTTTATCAAAGCTAAAACAAGTCACTAAATGTTTTATTAAATGGTAATTTGAAGTTGTTTGAATTTCTTAGGTATATGTTAAATTGACAGTTTTTTGTTTGTTTACATCATGAAATTTATACATTTTGCAATCATTTATACTAAGTAGCATGGACTGAAGATAAAGAATCAACTTTGACAAGATTTGAACTCATAACTTATATCCCTGAGGCCCATCAGATGGACACATTACCGTTACTAATTTGGCTATGAAGACCACATGGCTAAGAGAAAGCAAATCTGCAGTCACACAGCTACATCTTTCTTAGCTGATTATCTATGCCAAATTCAGCTTTTGGCTGCATGTTTATTGATGTATTTGTGTGACGGTTTACACACCTGGCCCAGGGTCGGATCCTTTGGTTCTGGCGCCAGCAGTGACGTCGCTCCTCCTGGTCGCTCCTCCTGGGTCCAAGCGTGCGCTCCAACCCCTTGGTCAGATGATCACCAGCCTCGCCTTTCCCGACTCGCTTCAATACCTGGTCACTAAAGCAACTGTACCGATCTCCGGTCTGTCTACCCACGCTGTGTTTAGATCTTAGACAGACGGGACCAGCAGGGATTGGGGCCGATACAAGTTGAGTCCGGCGGGGGTGGCAAAACACAAATAAAAGAAAAAAAAAAACTCACGAGACAAAAAAGATTGCTGATGAAAAAAAAATGGGTAACAACCCTTTATATCTTAATGTCCGCTACATAAAAACAAAATTGTTCTCATTTCCCGACCAGCTCTGTGGACTATGGCACAAGCTTCTATCACACAACCTAAAGATTTGAATTGCCTACTCTTTAGAATTGTGTATGTCGGAGATGTGGTTTGGTTCGACACTGGGACTAATTTCTATCGATCATTACATGATTGATTCTTCTCTCCGACTTGAGTTGTATTTCTTCTTCTTCGTCGACTTAGGCTGGAAGTTCTCTTGTCTTCGACTTGGGTTGTATTTCTTCTTCTTCCGTCGACTTAGGCTGGAAGTTCTCTTGTCTTCGACTTGGGCTGGAAGGATCTCTTGCCGCCCAACTCAGCCGCAACTCTCTGTCGTGGAGGTGATCTCTTCTGCCGTCCGGGGATGAACTCTGCCGTAACTGCCACAACTCTTGCTGCCTGTCTGGCCTGCAATTCTTCTTCTTGTCTGCCTGCAATTCTTGACCTGTCTGGCCTGCAGCTCTTCTTCTTATCTTCGACTTAGGCTGGGAGGATTTCTTGTCTGAGGATTCTTTTGCCCGCAAAGGGGCGAGTGAATCGGGCCTGATGCCCGCGTTCAGGCTCTATCCCTGCCCTTGGTCCAGCTGCAACTCCACTCCAACTCCAACTGATTTCTGTCGACTGGGGTCCTGCTTTTATTGGCCTTGCGCAACAAACTGGGGTGGGTCTGTCGGCGTCAGGGTTTTCTCGATAATTCCAATAGCCGCATTAATTCTGTTTCCCCATTATCGCTATTGTTTTCACCCCTACTTCCTCATAGTGCTTTTTTGGTGGGGGGCGCATATCCATCTCTCTCGGTCTCTCGTATGTCAGGTGACCGCTTTCGACTAATGAGATTCTGATCGAGCATTTCTTTCTTTTCTTTTCCGCAGCCACGTGACCGTTTTTTGGCTAATGGGATTCTGGTTGGAGCATTTCTTTCTTTTTCTTTTCCGCAGCCACGTGACCGTTTTTTGGCTAATGGGATTCTGGTTGAGCATTTCTTTCTTTTCTTTTCTGCAGCCACGTGACCGTTTTGGCTAATGAGATCCTGATTGGGCGTTTCCTGCAATCAATCGGGCGGGCTTATATCGTTCTTGTTCTAAAAAAACAAAATCTAATTTTTCCTTTTTTTTTTTTTTTTTTGCACGTCTGAAAAATGACCATCTTGGCCTTCTCTCACCTGGACTTTGTCAAACAGCCCGCCGCTAATTAGACTTGACTTCAGAAAGGATCTTTTCCGCCTTCTTGGCGCCCTCTGTGAGCCAAAAGCAATTGTCCCTCTTTTTACCTCTTTGTTTTTCCTGATAGTCAAAAATCTTAATTATCTACATTGAAAATGTCTCCACTTTATTATTGTGGGGTTCTAATTTTTAACAGGTCAGAGCCTGTATACCGTTCCACCGGTCACTCCCCTCAACCCAAAAAGACACTTTTTCTCTGATTAAGATTGTTTCATTGTTCCCAAAATTTCTCTTTATCCAAATTGATAAGGTGTCTTTCCATGCAAAAGTAGGCTAGGTGCTTTGACCGATATCTGGCTTCCATCAAGCGGCCCGTTTGATATCATGTCTTTTTCCCTTTCTTTCTTCTTATTATTTCTAATTCTATTCTTCCAATTGTCTTTAAAAAAATTCGGTCAACATGCTAGCTAAGATATCTTTCTGACTCGTGTTTTTTGTTAATGACCGTTTTTTTTTTTTCTCGACCTCTCTTTTCCCCTTCCTTCTTCTTCCCTTAGGATCGTCCAAGTACAATCTTAGTGAATTATTTTCAACTCAATTATTTTCCGTTTTAAAAAAAATCAACAACCTGTTTAGTAAACCGAATAAGAAAAAATTAAATCATATTTCTATGAATATTTCTAATAATGCAAGGTGCCACAATTGTTAACAGTATGCATTCAGATCAACAGATTTATTTTCATGTCTTTCTTTCATAACACTATCTTTTATTATCTCCCTTTCATTTTCCTATTTGCTTTCTCTATTCTAGGGTCCTGGTTTTCTGAAAAATTATCAAATCCATTTGAAGAGCAATTCAGGCCCCATCAATGTGATGTTGGTGAACAAAGATACAGAAGCAACCAGTCCTGTGGTTGTCCAAGTACCGCCCCCCTCGCAGGATGACGTCAAAAAGTTGGATACAACACAAAATTACAGTCAGTCTCCGGCCATTACAGATTCCAAATGTTCTCAAAAAATGCCTGCAAAAATGAAAAAGGTAAGCGCCTGATTCAATTGTTATCACCCTTTTTAGATGGCATAGTGGTGCTGGAGGATGCTGTTAGACATTTGAGCCTCTAGTTGGAATTTTATCAAATTTATAGAGAATGATCTTGTTTATTGTAAACTTACCTCTTATCTAATATTACTACTATGTGCCATGTCTCTCCACAATTTCCTGTGCTTTGTAGCTATTAATAAATTTTGTCTTTTTGCTATCTCACCTAATCCCTGTTCTGCCAAACTTATTATGTAGGTTATGCACTACTTTCCTCTGTGCCTCTTGCCTTCAGTATGTCCTGTGAGTGTCAAATTCTCTAAGCCCTCTTTTCTCATTATGTGCCCTAGAAATCTGAACCGTCTCTTTCTGATGTTAAGTATAAGTATCCTTTTTGTTTCCATTTTCTCTAAAATGTTGTTGCTCAAATGTTTGGACCATGGTATTCTCAGCATTCTTCTGCAGAAAAACATTTCTGTTGCTTCAAGTCTCTTGTGTATTTATTGAATTCATTTTCTATTCATACACAGACGGTTTGCTCCCAGCATAAGTTCTGGATTGTTCTAATATCGTTCCCCAAAAAATCAAGATTACCTTGCAATTCAAATAGTTGTTTTTTGCTTTGTTTTTGTTTTTCCTTAATCTATAAAACAACTATACATCCTTTTGCATTTATATAACTTTCTGATATCATTTTGAGCATAAATATTGAATTACTTTTCCCAGTGTCTTTAATGAAACCACACTGTTCTTGTTCTATTTTGAGTCTAATTCTGCTGCAAACTTTATTCATCTGAATTTCGATAAGTTTTGTTATAGAGATCATTAGGCTGATTGTCCAATAGAGTTTGCATTTGTTTACACCTGGTTTCTTTAGAAGTGATAAGAAAATGGATCTACTTATGTCTTCAGGTATATTGCCAATATTTATGTCTAATTGTTGAGCAGCAAAATATTAGGTTGATACAAAGGTTTCTAGCACTATCTTTTGCACAGTGTTAGGAAAATCTTAATGTCTTTGTAGTTCTCTTTATTGCTTGTGCAGTCAGTTCACTGTGGTGCATTATTTACAAGCCTTAACAAAAATTCAGAAGCTAAGAGAATGGCTTGTAAATGAATTTACAAAAATAAACTTGAGTCAATGTTTAAACATTTGTTTCTCTTGTTTGATACAAGACATTTGTTTTTAGACAAGAATATCATTTGCCATGAAAGATGGATTTTTTTTTTTATTAGAATCCTCAAAAACAATTAAATCAAGGATAACTGAGAATATACTGATTTTAAATGAAATCTCAAAAAAAAAAAAAAAAAAAAGCTCTTTATTATGAAATTGCTGGAACCTGGATAAATTGTTATGTACAGTAAGCTTTTTGCTTGTTTGAATGCCAAATGAAAAGAGAAAACATTTTTTTGTGGGGACAAGGACATTGACTAGTGATTTTGCTGACTTGACAGAACTTCTCCTGTTGCAAGTGCAACATAACAATTGATGATGGAATTTGGATCAGAAGTTTTTTCACATGTTCTTCTGATCTGTCATTCTCAAACTCTCACTTGCTTTGTTCCACGCAGCAATTATCTGGTTATCAGTTTCAAGATATTGGAAGAAATCCTGAAAGAATTCACCATTTCAAAAACCAAAATCATTCCCTTATGATGAAATGCGCAATTTACCAGAAAATTGGTGTACGAAACACTTTGATGATTGGATTATGATGCAATAAAAGATTGAGCTCAAAAAAAAAAAAAAGCACCAAAAATTGTTGCATACGATACAAAGCTCGAGAGTCACTCAAGGTAGAGACTGTTAAAACGGTAATGATGAACAAGGTGAGTGATATGAATGAAAGGAGGTAGTAAGAAGTAAGGAAAATAGTTGACACTTGACTTGAAGAGGTTAAGATTGTCATGTTCAGGGAAATATATCTGAAGCAAATGAGCAGTTTGTGTGATCATAGGAATGTTTGGACACCATTTCATCTGTAATGTTTTTAAATTACCCCCCCCCCCCTTTTTTTTTTTCAATTAAAATGTTTGCTCAGATTTGGAGAAGTAGATTGGGCAGAACTTTCCAGTAGCCTCTTTGTATGCAGTTTCTATTACATCTGTGTCTTGATATTTTAATAAAACACTGTATTCTTACAGAAATGCTGAGATACAGCTAGAATTAAGACGAAAGAAATAATTAAGAGTTCTGATGTTTAGTCATTTAGTTAAGATTTTGGGAAGTGGATCAGTTCCTTCCCAACAAATAATTTTTTTCCCTCCTCATTAAAATTTTTGATATAAAAATTAAGGAAGAAGATTTAAGTGATGTCACAGTGGACAACATTAACTTTAAAATCTTGTGTTTCTTGAACAAACTTTTTATATTTTTATTCTAGAAATCTCCGGTGAAAACTCCCTTGTCGCCTTCAAACAGGATGGCCACGCGGTCATCACCACGTAAGGCTGCCCAAGGACAGCTTCTAAATGCAGTGCCGAATATTCCAGGTAAGTGTTCTGCTGGTGCAGCACAGTTGCGGGTGGGAGTAGGTGAATGAAGAAAAAAATTACCAATGTCATTATTTCAATTTTCATTTTCTTAAAATGGCAGGAAAAAAAAATTTTATTAGGGTTTTAAAAACATACATTAAAAGTATACATTTGCATAATATATGCAGATATGTTAAATATTATATTTAGTGGATACACTTGTTTGAATAGACATTCTTGTTTTTGTTTGTTTTGTTTATGCAGTATAAATTTATATCTAACAACCTATGCCTTCAGGAGTTTTAAAGAAGATGTGCCTTCCAGCAAGGTTCAAACCTGAAATTACTTTTGTTTTTAACCTTTAGCACTCCGTAGGTAACTAATTTTAGTCCTGTCAATGCACTTTGAATTTCTTGGTTGTGTTGTCATATCCTTCTATGGCAACACCTAAAACAATCTTGGCTGAAATTGAGAGCCATACTACGATTTCAGATATATAGAACTAATATATAAAACACTATATTTTGTGGGGATTCCATATACAGTAAAAGCAGAAGATTTATTTAAGGATTATGAAGAGTGCTAAATGTTAACAAGGCTATTAATTACCATAAAGTGTTAAGTCAAAAAGTTACTTAGGGAAGGTTACTGAATAGAATAATCATACAAAGGTTGATAATGAACGGTAATACTTAGGACACGAACATCACATAAGATTCGCCAGCAGCGTGTAGAAGTAGTCAACTGAATTCCACAATGAATCTCAAACTACAGGCTAACATACAGTATTTACTACTGTATTTATGTGAATGGGGACATATCCATTATCATCCGTAGCTATGCTACAACAATATCCAACACTAATAATGAAAGCTCTGCCTGTAATGATGAAATATAATTGCTTGGGTGCAAATTTACTGTGGATGACCTTGCGAACAAGGCACTTCCTAAAAATTTTCCTCTTAGTTAATTGTTTTCTCCTTTGATCAGAGTAGCATTTTTTTTTATATCAAAATTGTTGTCAGTAACATTACGGTGAGCAACTAAATGTATTTAATGTATTGTTTTGTAAAATGTCTCCTTTGTATTCATATAATCTTTTATTTAGATTTAGTTGCAGGAATGGTAGCAGAATAGGTTTAACAATATTTTGAATGTACATGGTGCTGTTCAGTGTTTGCTTTGCAGATAAGAGGCAATAGTTGTAACTTATGGAACCCCACATGATGATGCTAGGAGTTGGGTTTGTGTGTTTTGAGTGAATACACTCTGGACATTGGCACCCCTAAGGTCTATTTCATGTATGAAAATTTGCACGAAGGCAGCACCTACTCACCTCACTGAGCGCTAAAACATACCATTTGATCCCCCTTGCTGATGCTCTTGTGACACCACTGGGGATGTGCTTGGTGGTTTTGAGGCATATTCCAGCAGTCCTACTGCAAGCTTCTGTGATTTGGGAACACCAGCAGCAAATTACCTTTTATTGGAACTCAAAGACTAGAATTGTCTTTTTAAAACATTTCTTTGACTATTTCTTCCATTACAGCCACAACGACTAGCAACCAATTCCCAGTACAAAGTATTGCTGACAGCCTTACAAATGATTTCCTCTTCGACACAGTAAAACCAGAATTTGGTAAGACACTATGGTTTTACTTTTCACTTTCCCTTCTTAACACACACACACACACACTGCACAGTTTGTAGGCAGATATTATTTTATTTAAATTTTATTAGCTTGTAAGTAAATAATATAAATGTTTGTGAATTTTTAACACTTTTTTTAATTTAGTTTTTAATTTTAAAATTTTGTTTTAGATGTTCATGGTGGACTCATTGATGAGCTTATGTCTTCTGAAGGTATGTTCTAGTTTATCTTTTTTTATGATTTTGTGCCTTAAGGATAGTAATTTTCAGTGGCCTGCTTCTGTGGCACACCCTTTATTGATGTGGGAATATTGGCTGCTATTTGATCTGAACCTGTTCTGAATGTATCCTTTGTGTATTCTTTAATATGTCCATCAAATTACATCTGCATCTGTTGTGGAAATCTTGCAGCCAGAAACAATTGTAAAAAAAAAATTATTGGTCTTTGTTTAATTATAGTGAAACAAACATAATATGGAAAAGCATAGGCCAAAATTTGACATAAATGATGTAACTTAAGATCTTTCACTATTGTTAGTTCGATTTGGTAATTGCTTATAATTTTAAAACTAGTGTGCAAAAAAAAAAAAAAAATTTGTTCATTGTTTCCAAACCTTGCTGCTCGATTAACACATCGATTACCAACCATGAATTTCTTTTAGTAGAATAATTATATTAATGTTAAAGTATACTTCTTTTAATTTTATTTAAAGAGTTGGGAATTTAATCATGATAAATTACTTAATATTTTTTTATTTAAGGCATCTGTCTTTCTCTCTCCCTTATATTATTTTTCTTTTTCAAAATTTATTTTAAAGGTTCTGAAGAATAATCATGTTTACTCAAAAAGACGTACCAGTTATTAAACTTTATCAACAAAGAAATGTGACTGAATGTTCCTTTTCTTAAGTGAAAAGAAAAATTAACAAAACTTGACTTATTCTCTATGGCTTAAAATCTTTTTAAGACACAAGCCTGTGTTTGCATGTGTGTGTGGTTGAAAATTTGCTTTCCATCTCAATTTTTGTCCCTTTTTTATTTTATTTCTTTTTTTCTCTCTCTTTAAAACCTTTGACTGTTTGGTTTTATATCTGTATTTGATAGGGTACAGGAAATCCTTATTGTAAGAGCACTCTAATATATTCCACCAGTTTGTCTTGATCACACACAGGCTTATAGTATTATATTCAAAAGAACATGTAAATTTTACACGTGGTTGAATGAAAGCAAAATGATATGATTTATATAGAAATATGATTATGTGGCTTTTAATAATGAAAACATAAAAATCTAGCAGCTGGCCACAGAAGTCGTCAAGAATAGAAGATTCAGATCAGCTCCTGTCTGTCCTGGGTAAGATGATAAACTACATTCAACAGCAAGGCCTCTCAGATCAGGAGGTTTTGAGGAGCATGGAACTACACCTCAATTGCCGGTGTTCCCAGGTCCACCCTGACCTGAGGTGGTAGCACCTGTTAGGATCCCAGCTTGGATAAATAGTTAACCCCCCAAACTGGGGTCAGAACAAAGTGTAAAAATAGGTTTTAATACTAGAAATATCTTGTAAAAAAAAAAAATTACCAGCAATAAATTTTTGAAAAAAAAAAACTACCAGCAATAAAAAAAATCTTGTTGGCATTAAATAACCCATTGAGGTTGATATGCCTTAAACCAAACCAAACCTGCTGCCTTTCCATCAGTCAGCAGTAGTCAGATGAAATGGGTTCCTTGTTTAACTGAAAAGAAAATTCATTCCTTGTTTCACTGTCCATTCTCTCTTCATTATCCTAGCACAAGCTTTTGCCTACCCAATTTCTCTCACATTCTTTGAGCAACTCAAGGGATGGTTTAGGCACTGTTCAATGGTACTGCATACTTAGATCTGCTTTCCCAGGCAGATATTATAAAGTGGTCCCTTCCCTGAGAAATTGACTTTGGTAAAATTCAAATCAGTCTCATGCTCAGAATGATAATGTTCTGACTACTCTGCCATGTGTCTATATCACTTGTAATGCATTATTTAAGCATCTAGAACTGGTTTTTCCAACACATTGAAATATTTTTATTACTTCAAACATTATTCTTAATAGATACTTGTATTTGAGTAGACAGTTCTCTTTTAAGTGTTTACTGTTTGTTTGTTTTTTAAAAAAACTGAGCATCTACTCAAATACTGCTATCCACTAAAAATGTTTGAAGTCATAAAAATATATGAATAAAATCCATTAATTCTTTAAACAATGAAATATTTAAACATTTCTATGTTAGAACAAAATTAACTTTTAAGAAAAGACTTTTTTTTTTTTTTTTTTAAATGCTTGGCAATAAAATCTTTTGATTTAATGAATTGCATTCTAATTCTAGTTTGGATTAGCATTGGATTTTTATTGCCTTTTTTTTTTTTAATTGACCATTATAAAATGTTGATGCTTAATTTTTGGTCTTGGTAAGTGGTTAAATAAACAACCAAAACTTACTAAAAGATTATTGTAGAAGTGTATTTTTAAAAATTTAGTAGTTGAAAAAAAATAAAAATAAACATTTTATTATCTTTAGATTTCATGAATTTTTTATTTTCTTTTATTCAAATTAAAATATTTTATTTGTTATTTTAGGTTTGGAGCCTTTGCTTCGCTTAAGCCCTCCACCAAGTGAACGTGACTACCAATACAATTTGGGTGACAGTGAAGGTGTTTCCGATCTCTTTGATGTACCGTTACTCAGTTCTGCAGCCAGTACTTCCTCAGCTGCTACTTTCTACTGACCAATAGATTAGAATGAGGACCAATGGATGAGAAAAAAAAAATAAAGTTCCCTCCTGGACACTCGTTTCATAAATATACATGAAGAGGATGCAGACTGCTATATCTGACAATGTAATCGTCCTCTTTCCTATCAGTCAGCCAACCAAATTACCTATGGACCAATCACTGAATCCCACCTTGGTCATGTGATCATGTGCTATTCTTCCTTCCTCACTCTCTCCCTTTAATGATATCCCCCCCCCCTCTCGTCTCTGTACAGAATATACCACCTCAGTGATGAAATGGATTTCTTCTGGTTGTGGTGTAATTGTAGAAGAATCTTTCACATTCACACAGTAATAAGTTTGCCTATAAAGCCTGACAAACAATAGATGCCAAATTAGAAGTAAAAAGAGGAGGAGGAAGAAGAAAAAGGGGAAATCTGGGGTTTGTAAACCAGCAAAAGAGGATCTGTGATGAAAAAAAAAAAAAAAGCTGGATAAATGAAAGTGAGAAGCACAGACAGACAATGACCAACATGACATAATCATTTTTTGAAATTTTGTATTTTGAGAAGGAAGAGGTCATCTTTGATGCATGACTGCTTTCTTCTTTTAGAAAACATTTTAACCTAAAGAGAGAGAGAGAGAGAGAAAAAAAAAACACCACTAAAAAGTGATTTAGTTTGCCAAAAAGTTATTTTTCAATATATAGTGCCAGATTTTTAAATTTTTTTTTTTTCATTCTAAAATTTGTTCATATCTAACTTGAGTTTTATTACCTGCATCAAGATTTCTTCTTGATAATGACAGTCTAATTTTTCAATTTTAAAAATTGAACAGTTGCAGAAGTTACTTTTCAGCATATAATGTTGAAGGATTTTTTTTCCTCCTCTTTGAAATGTTTTGACTTAAAATTGGTGGGAGGTGGGGAATAACATTAATCTCAAAAATTATTTCAGGTAGAAAAATTTTTTGTCCAACTTTATTTCCAATACACATTCACAATATGAATATTTTAACCTTTTGTTAGTGTCCAGATAATATTTTGACTCTCCTCTCTCATTTGTCCTTGTCTGCCAGCTTTTCTTGTTTCCTTTCCTATCAGCAATAATACTGTTAAAAAAAAAAAAACTATGAAAAGTAAACAAAAGGAAAGCAAATATCTCTGATTTCCTTGAGTTGACTTTTCATTGTCTTTTTTTTTTTCAAAAATGATACATCTGATACTTGTATGTAAATATTTACTAAGCTTAACTTAGTCTGGCACAAGGCTGCAGTAATTTATGATTTCTGCTCTCATAGCAAATAATTGTAGTTTTTTTTTTTTTTTTTTTTCATAGTTATTAGAGTATTTTTAAAAGATGTCATAAAAACAAAGATCAACTCTTCCTTCAAGAATTTGGGAATAAAGGGAAAAAAAAATGTGTTCAGTGTGAGTGTATGGAAGCCTTACCAAGTAATAACTTGTAAAATAATTGTCTGCACTTATTTTTTATTTTAATCCTCCTTAGTTATAGCGGTTACTTTTTGGCCTCTGTAAGACTTTTTCTTGTGTTCAATAATTTTTCCTTTTTTAATAGTAAATTGTAATTTTTGTCTAATTGTTCACAACAAAATCAGAGTGCCTTTCATAAATTGGGTCATGGTGGCTAAGGGACATTTTATTTGTAAATTTCTTTTTTCCTTTTCACTAACCAATTTTTTTTTTTTTTTTTTTTGCATGCAATCAGCAATTTGAAGCAAGCAAATGTTATTGATTGTGTATGCTTGCAATTGTTTTTTTTTCCCTTCTCAGCCATGTTAAACTGAAGCCTAGTTAACAAGTCTTTCATACTGAAATGCCTGCACATCTATACTTGAGAAACAAAATGTCTTTCACATTAGATGATAGCTCTTCTATGAAAACCCATCCTTTTTGCCTATGCAGTTGACTCCAGAGATTGTTGTCTAAATGTTATACAAGGCTTACACTATATTTGCTTTTTCTTTCTATTTGGCTGACTGTAGAAAAATTAACACATGATGCGCCAGGGTCAGTTAGAGAATTTCTCTATTAATATTGATACACATAAACCATGTTGGTAATTTTAGTTTTCAAAAATTGGTGCAGTTTAGTAACTAATTATCTCGCTATACTATCAAATTATTATTGTATAAACAGAATTTTGTGTTGGTTTAGAATAATTCAAATAGTATTTTTATTGTAATCAAAATGAGACAGCAGGATATTTTTCCTCTTAAATTCAATTTATTACTGTTACTCAGATTTTAATTTTGTGGATAGTTTTTCATTTGATGTTGGCTAATACAAAAACACTTTTAATAATTATTCCTTTTAATCATTACATTGTTACTGTAAGATATTAAATGCAATAGATTGATTTTTAAAATATTGTTTCCTTCACTAAGTACTGAAAAATTATTATTTGCAGAATTGAACAGAAATTCTGTATATGTCTTTGTAGTATTGAATATATTTAGATAACAGTTCTTGCTTAAGTTAAATATTGAATCTAACTAAATGCTATTATGCCATATTTGAACTTAAATATTTAATCAAAAACTTGGAGCTGGATGATTGAAGAGTTTGGGTATTAAAAGAAATAAATAATAAACACAAAGGAAGTCGGAAGCTTTCTGCCCACTGAGGGTTTTAATGTCAATCATTTAAGTTTGATAAAATTGTGATTTAAGAATTTTTACTACTGAACAGTTTTGTTTTTCATACTAAGTTGCTTGGAATTTAAAATTAATTCAAAATTAATCTGGGCTGCAAAGGCCTTAGTAAACTCCCACCCTCTGCCCAGGAGTTTTAACTGTAAAATTCTTTTAACTTAGCAGGCTAATAAATGAAACTTAAGCTAACTGCCAAAAATGCTATAGGATTGTAAAGCCTTTATAGTAATCCTTAATGCCATCTTTGTGTGTGCGTATATATATATATATATATATATATATATATATATATATATATATATGCACTAGTGGCTTTTTTCTTTTTTTTAAGGCAGCACATTGTTATGCTGCATAAATCTTTTACTCATTCACTAAGTAATCTGGGGTGGGGGGTGACAATATAAATTGTCATGTGTGATTTTTTTTTTTTTTTTTTATAAACTCCCTGCCAAACTTTCAATTCCTCCTGTTATGTTGATATTATGTTATAAATGTACTTTATTCTGTTATTTCCAAGTGGGTTCAGTTTCTGCTTCATGTTTCTTGCCAGCACTCATATCAGGAAATTTTTTTAAATGTTGTTTTTGAAGTTACTGGAGTGGGGCAGTTTGATTCCTTTTCATTGAAAGAATGTTCTACAAAATATTCTCTTATACTCCAATTTTTTTTATGACTTTACTTTTGATTTTTTAGTAGCTCTACAGTTTCTGACGCCTTTGGAAAGGATTTTTATGTCTGAATGAAAAGCAATATTATTTTTTTTTTTTTAATTAGATAAGGAATAGAAAATATTGTCAAAAACAACCAACAAGTGGCTACATTATTGATGCACAATCCGCTGGTTGTGAATAGATTTAATTTGAATTTATGTGACATGCTGTTTTTTGTCCCCCTGCTTTTTTTTTTTTATTGCCAAAAATGTCTATGGAAGTTATTTTCCATATGATTAATTTTGATCATCCCCCCCCCTCTCCAATTGGTGCTTTTTATTTTTGTTTCTATTTTCTGGAAGCCACTTTTTTAAATTGTTGATGTTTACCCACCAGAGTTTAGGAATATTTATACATATTAATAGAAAAGAAATATTACAGGAAAATTAATTCTGACTTAAAAAAAAAAATTCTGAAAATTTTTTTTTTGTAGTCTAAAAAAGCTAAATTCAAAATAGTAAAATAAACACTACCAAATTTCCTCTAGTATGTGATTTACCAATCTCACTTTTTTTCTTTCATATTATTTTTTTTTAAACCATTTCCCACATTGTTAGACTTTCTATTTTAAATGAAAAATTCAACAAATTACTGACATATTTTCTTTGTACAGAATCTAAAAATTTACTAATACTGTAATTTGAAAGATAAAATAAAGGGCTATGAAGTTGGTACCAACCTTAATATGCTCTCCTTTTCTATGTTGGCTGCAAACTAATAGTTGGCTTCCATTTCTTTTTTTTAAATTTATTTTGCACCTCTTTAAAAAAAAAAAAGGGAAAAGCAAACAAAATCAGTGTAATAAAAGTTTAAACCAAACAAAGATAATTATCTGGATGCTCAAAATAATCTTGTAATAAAATAGTTTTTAGGAATGACATTTCAAGTCTCCAAGCCTTTGTACTAAATTTGTAATTATTATCAGCTGCTAAAAAAAAGATTTAAATATTTTTACTCTTCAATAATTTTTGTTTTAAGTAAAATGATTGATTGGGGGGGGTAGTACAATTTTCTTTGTATCTTGTACATTAATTTTTAAATATAATTAGGAAAGATTTTGTAATCAGTTTATTGAATTAGAAAAAAAAATAATCAGATTGAAATTTATGCAATTTTTTTAAAATTGATTTCATAAACATTAAGATAAAGGAAAGAGAATTTCTCAATATTTTGCTTGTTTGCTTCCATTTATCTCTGCAGAAATTAATTTCTTGTGAAACTTTCTACCACCACAACACTCCCCCTATTGGTAGTATTTGCCTTTTACATTTGATACACTTAGTCTTCAGGTTTGTTTGGTGATGAGAGGAAGCCATTAACAAATGTTATGTGATAACAAATGGTGGTGTAGACAGATTGGTAGAAAGAAAAAAAAAAAAAAATTGTGTACAGTTAAAAGTGAATATTTAGCAGAAAAAGTTAGAAATATTTTTGGGTTTTTATTTACCAAAAAAAAAAAAAAAACCCTACTAAACCTTGGTTTTACTTTTTTTTTTTTTTTTTTTTTTTGAAACTTAATGTTCAAATTTCTTTTTTCTTTTTTGTTAATTTTTGATTTTATGAGCAGTAAAAAAAAAAAAAAAATTTTCACTAAAAATCTGCTTATTGTATTAAAAAGAAAAAAAAAAACCCCAAAAACTTGGTTGATTACAATCAAAATGTTGAACAGTTTCATTGTGAATACACCTGCCTTTCCCCCCTCCCCACACTTAATTCTGATATCAGAAGGAAGTTTCAAATTAAATATTAAAAAAAAAAAAAAGGGCACAAATGCAGAATTAGAAAAAAAAAAAAAAATCTCCACTTTTGATTATTAGGAGACTAAAATGATAATGGCTGAAAGAAATGCAAAACAGATGTAAAAATAAAATTACAAATCTTTGTCTGTAAAGCTCTGTATACATGCATATACTTGTGTCTGTATGAGTGTGTACATTAACATATCTGTGGTAGGGACTGATTAAGGTGTACACCTGAGTCCTTCCATATCCCCCCCCTCCTTTTCAGTGTGTGACAAGGGACCCAGCTTCCCACCTGGGCATGTTTCATTTCAGCTAACAAAGTTCATCAACCTCATCACATTTGGGTTCTGTATGAATGTTAAAATGATTTTTTAAAAAACAAAAAATAAAAAAAAAAATAAAAAAGACTTTCTCTATCCTTTTAAGGACATGAAAATTTCTATAGAAATAAAAAAAAAAAAAAAACTTTGTTTGTTTTTTTTTTTTTTTTTTTTTTTTTTTTTTCTTCTTCTTTGCTGTTGTGAATAAATTTCTTGGGACTTAATTGTAGCATAATTGTTAGATCAGATTATTAAATTTTTTTTCTCTTGGTTAGGAATTAACCTTTACAACTCTACACTAATTTTCGAAGTTGTACCCCATGGATCTACATTAATTTTGGGTGTGCTAAGTTTTTGAATGATGGCTATATTGCTAGCACTAACTAACTTTTAGGGTTTTTAGAGATATAAAATTGTCAGGGTATTTGCATGAAAGGATGTAGAAAAATGTAGGCATTTTTATTGCTGTACATGTAATAAATTGAGCTGAGGGGAAGGACCAGGAAATTGATAAAAAATGATTTCTACTCATCACATCATGAAAGCCTTGCATATATAAAAGGAGGTCTGTTCAGTAAGATGAATACAAAGGTTGCTTTATGAAACCTATCAACAAAAGCAAGGCCAAAAATGTTTTTTTTTTTTTTTAAAGCAAACGTTTTTCCAAACTTTGATTTGCAAGTTGGGCTTTGCTGTATTCCCTAAACATCATTTACATACCAGTTAGTTTCCACTACCATTAGTTGAATGACTTAGATGGTTTTAGCCTTTTTTTTCTTTTTAATCTATCTTGCTTCTTGATCATCATCAGTATAGGAAAACTCTGGTAGTTATTGTATGCCTGTGATGGTTCGAAAATTCCTCCTTGGTCAGTCTCACTGTCACACACATCAGTATCTGCGTGGGTAAATTCGAGAAATTCTTCGTTGATCTCACTGTTCATGAAAAGTTCCTCCATTGACACAACAGATCCAAATCTTTAATTTCTTGTCTCACTCTCATTTTATGGGGTAGGGTGGGCACATTTTAAGTGACTTAAGGCCTGGTGGTTTTATGAGTGGTACCTCTTCTCCAGCATGTCACTATAGATACTATTAAGGTAGAATCTGTCTTGCAACTATTTTCCAGACTGATGATTCTGTAACCTTGACCCCCCCAAATAATGATTTTAAGAAAATTGCAAACTTCACATAAGGCAAAGGAGTAAATCAATGACAAAAATTAATGTATATGTTAAGTTTTAATTTCTGGAGGCTCATCTGAAGAGAAGAAGAAAAAAGTGAAGTAAGGTTTGTCAGTACAAGGTGCGATGGGTAAATTGTCGCCATTTTATATTTTTCATTTTGTTGACTGCATGGTATAGTAGAGTCAGCTGGGCACAGTCTGTGAGAAAAAGAGCACCATGATGCAATTCACTCTACCAGAAATTTGGAAATGACATGCTGTACTGCTTGGTATTTGTGCCAGAAGCTCCAATATAAACATTTCAGAGTGGTTGTGTGTCAAGCTGAGGACAGTGCAGAGGATTCAAAAAGAGTTGGCTGAGTCTGATGGTGATTAGAAAGGTGTTTTAAGTGATCACAACATTATGTTTCCATTCATCTTCCCACAGGGCCTCAGACTCAACATGAAGGCCTACATCAAGTGCCTTGAGGAGGTAGTGCTACCCTGGGGCAAGAGGGTGGCTGCTGGAAGACCCAATGTCTGACAACAGAACTGCACCATGCCATATAAGCAGGAAAACCCAACCATCCACATCATCCCTTACATTTGGCCACCTAACTCCCAAGACTGCAACTCCCTTGATTATTAATGTCTGGGGTGCAGTTGAGTGAGAGACAAATAAGACAATAAAACTTCTTGTAACACCAAAGATGAACTGAAGGCAAGGATTATGGCAGCATTCACCTCCTTAAACTAGGAGACCGTCCAAAAGATTTTGAAGTCATCTGAGGCCATGATTGAAGCCAATGGCGATTTTATTGAATTCAAGATATTTTTGTGTAATTCTGGTAAATATACCTGTTAAAATGAGATGTCAGTGTTATTTTCATTTTTGTGTAATTTAGATGACAATTTATCCATTGCACCCTGTATATTCATGTTGTTCACAAATGTGGGTCTATCAAAGAAAACTGTTGTATCATATCCTTGATGTTTTTATATTACAAGTGAAACTTTTTTTTCTCTGTATTTAAAAAAAGAAAAAAAAAACAATGTTACAGTTGATCTTTAACTGACTGCACATGTGATACTGTTTCGGATTTTCTCTTGGTTTCCAGTAGGAACTGTGTCTCTGGGCGTTGATCTGTCTTCACTGCAATGTTTCAAGAATTCTTCAGTCAGCTGTAACAAATTTAGAAAAAAATAATTAGTATAAACACATACAAAGCTAACAAAAATGCTTTTAATTTCAGAAAAAAATATTAGCCATTTTGTAATTCATCAGAAATTAATATCTGTGTTGATGGTAATTATCAATAATAGTTTTTTTTTTTTTTACTGTTTCACTTAGACTCACTTGTCTTCTTGAAATGACTGAATCTATGAGGTTGAGTCATAAGTAATTTCCGTTTTGGGGAACCAACTAATGTATCATCATAACAGGTGATGAAAGGCACCTCGATGTGGTGTAATGGTTACCAAGCATGTCACGCTAGAACAGTTATGACTGCGTAGTGAGTTCAATCTTCACTTGGTGCACATAGATGTGGCACAAGGCCAAAACTATGTTATGCTTACAAAATCATCATGATGTTCATTGCAAAATGCAGTGAATTGTCAAGGATAATTCTCCACAACCGACCCCCAAGATCTCATGGAAGAAAGGTGACGTGTGGTGGGATCAACAGAACATTATTCATTTAGAATTCTTAAAATGAAGCAAAACACTAAATGCACATTTATATGTGTCTAGCAGCTGCAATGGGGGCGGAGCATAGTTTGATTGACAAGTATTCTGTGTCTGTCTATATTTCTGAGATGAGGTATTATGTACGCTATTTACTATCATCCTCATCTTTGTTGCCATATTTATCACAACGTTTCAGCTGTTGCACGCTTCTGGCCTTCTTCAGGTGGTTAGAATGTCAAACTGAACCCTTTATTTCACTCACTGGGGTAGACTATTCTAGTTCCATGTGCCATGTCTAATGGATATCAGTTATCTCCTGTTAATTCCACTCCAAGTTCTCCTCTGCCTTAACCAGATATTGAACTCACTCTTTGGGTCCTGTCACTGGATCTAACTAATGCTTTTATCCACTGTACTATGTTCAGTTCAACATTCCAACCACCTGAAGAATGCCGGAGTGTACAACAGCCGAAACATTGTGATAAATATGGTAACAGATGAGTATGATAGTCTGAACAATGTAAAAAGTATTCTGTGCTCAGCAAGAATATTTATTATCCTCCATGACAATGCAAAGTTTTATACAGCAAGAATAACATTAAAAAAAATTTTACAATTCAGTCTTTTATCCAACTTGACTTTGCACCAACAGATTATCTTTTTTTTGATCATTGCAAAAACCTTGCATAATCTTGTTCAAAAAATATCAAAGAGCTGCCTGATAAGTGACAACAACTCATTGCAAATAATGATCAATTATTCAGGATGTCAACAGATATTAGCTAGATGAAGACAACATTGTCACTTACCATTATGCAGGAGGTATTTCTGCAGCACATTGTAATAATTGAATAAAATTGTACTTTATTTTTTGAAAAATAAAGTTGATAAACAAAAACAAAAATTATTTATGACTCAATCTAGAGGCTTGTTCAAATCTGGTTATATTTGATTTTATATAATGATGACCTTAATAGTTAACAAGACTGAAACCAGCAAAACATCCCCCACTGAGATTATGCCACACAACTCTTGACTGGATTGAATTATAAGAGGATTAAAATCAAAGGACATTATCAGACAAAGGTCAGAAAGAACTAGCTAAAATATTGGAGTGGGGAGGTTAATATATATTAATGACTTTTTTTTTTAAAGTATATCTTTCATCTTAATTTCAGTTGCTTTTTATGTCCATTCTCAAACTAGAGTCATGAGTACTGCAGATTGAAAATAAAGAATGAGCCTCCTTCAAGGCCACCTTGGATGTGAGGGTAGTTTAATGGTTAGTGTCTTGAAAAGAAATTGGTGAGCTGAGTTCAAATTCTGGCCAAGTTTGTTGCATTCACTTTTGCACAAATACCCTTTATAAAGGTATTCATCCATATCTTCCCATAGCTATGGGTTAAATAGGGCAAACTCAGCTTGAGCGGCAACCAGTCTAAGAGATGGAAAAGTCTGAAATCAAAACTGGTTGATGCCTAATTGGTAGATATATTAGCAAAGAAAGGTTAATGAAACATGCTTTTATAACCCAATTATGAAATGGACTAAGTCCAACAATTATTTTAATATATTTTCTGTTTATACATTTTTATAGATACAAATATTTAAGTAAATGCTCTGTTTATAAAAAAAACTATTAATTCAGGCTGATAAATGTAGTTAATACTGTTTATTATAAACAGAGCATTTACTTAAATATTTGTATCTATTACTTCAAATGTTATGGATACTTCATATTTGAAATAGATGCCATATTATTTTCAAGAAATTCATATACCAAAAAAAGATTTCAAAATTTAAAATATTATAGATTACTTGTAATTGCATGCATGAGTCCCAGTATAATAGTTATAAATAATTACTGACCAATTTTATCATTGAGATATTTTTGCATTCTACCAATTATTAAAAATATAGTAACTATAGTCCACAAATTATAGGAGAGAGTTATCAATGTTCTAACTTTGAATTCATGGTTATCTCCCTTTAATCCCCTCTCTTTTTTTAATTTTTAAATGTACTTTTTATCAAAAAATTTGGTGAAGCACAAGCAAATTTTCATTCAGAAAAAGCAGCACAGAGAAAAAAAGTTTGGGAGCTACTGCCTTAACACAAGAGACTATTTAAAGAAGATAATGAGAATAATTCCATTAAGTTTAAAACGAAAATTGAAAATAAAATCTTACGTTTATCTTCTGTTTCAGGTTATCTGTGCAGTGTTGGTTAACCACCTTAGAATAATCAATAATGCCTCCTGACTCCTTTGCTTCAGCTGCCAATGCTTGTTCATCTTCTCCAAATATGTATAAACTGATTGTCTCCCCTTGATCATCAACAGGGGACGATGACCCACCACCCTGGAAAAGATATGTCAGCCTTTTTTAAATTGAAAAATCAAAAAACTACTAAGATCTATGTGGTCTAAGGATAGAACATAGTATTTGAATAATACAGAAAAAGCAAAGCAATTTGTTTAAAAACATCACTATTTCATTAACAAATGTATAATCTTAATAAAAGCAATATTTTAAAGAATGATCCAAAGGACAATATTCCTTGTGGGGAAATACAATTCCCATAATAGTTGTTATATATATGAATGTTGAAACATGACAGCCATTATGGGCAGGGTTGTATTCTCTTCTCTTTTGCTCTTTTTCTCTGTTAAGCTTTTGCAATATTCAGCTTGTGAAGAAAGCAGTGAAATTATGGCTAAATACTGGATGTGTCAAGAATTTTCTAACACTCTTTAAAGTTTGGTACGATCTTCCTTATCAACTACTGAGGTTAACTAATTTGCTTGGGGAAAATTTTTGTAGATTAACATTCTTTAGACATTTTAAATACATTCTGAATACTTTTGTCAGAATAAAAAATTGTTGATATTTTTTTATGGTTTTAGAAGTGGGGGTTACTGTTCATAATATAAATACAGTGAGGGTCAAATTGATCTCCGATTTTGTTTTTATTTATGAATGTCAAGTTTGAAACTGTGCAGATGTCATTGATAACTGAACTGTGTACTACTGATGTCCTTTTTTACTGTAACTCAGGAATTTTCTCATTTTTTAGACAGATTAGCAAAACAAACTTTCTTATTAACATTTTAAAAAATATCTAATTTAAATAAAGATCAAACGACTATCTACATTTTTATGTGATTTATTTTAAGAAAATATTTTAAACAATTGTTTGTCTAACAAAAATATTAATAACAACTGCAAAGAAATGGTTTAAATCGCCTAAAATGTTAGCATTTATGTCCTATATATTATTCTTTAGGATTTTGTCTTTGAATAAATGTAATGCTTACACTCTGAAATCAGTTGGACATACAACTAAAACTAAATTCTTAAAAGAATGAAAAAGGCAGCTTCTCACACCAAATTGAAAAATCTCAGAATAATTAAATCTAAGGGAGACTACTCTGCTAGGAATTTTTATTCTATTAGGTGATAATTGCTTCAGAAAAAAATGAAATTATCAAGCACACCAGCTTCGATAAATGAACTAAGTTTTTGTCTTGTTGGTAAAATTGTTATTACCGGAATTTTTTTATATATATATATATATATATATTTATCAAAATTAGAAAATAAGTGATCAATATTATTAAATCAGGATGAATGCATTAATAATTTCACCGATACAGACTATGTTATAATTTATATTTTTTAAAAGAAAGTAATTACTAACAAAGTAAGACATGCAGATGTCATTGTGTTAATGATAGACACAGAAAGAAAACTACAAGATAGTAAAGTGGGAAGAAAGGTTTAACTATCAATTCTAAGAAAACAATGTATGTTCATTAGCAAGAGGACACAGCTCAAGATGTGAACTATGAATTGGAGCTGTCAAAATCAAGCAAGTACAGAAGTCTAAATATCTGGAAAGTGTTTTATCAGATAATGGAAAATTTCACACAAATCCAAAGGCACATTGGAACAATGCACAACATCTTCTAAATACTAAAAGTATTAAGCAAGAGGAAAAGATTTCTTACAGATGAAGAGGTGATCTGAGGCAACAAAATACTTTACATAAGAAGACTGGGAATATGGAGCAATGAGGAAGTTTTAAGAAAAATGGAAACAAAAAAGACATTTGATTTTGAAATCAAAAAGAGGCAGTTGAAATTTCTGGGACACATAATTAGGAAAGAGGGCTTGGGGAATTTGGCACTCACTGGATATCCTGGAGGCAGAGGGGAACAGCAAGTAACCTATTTGTGTAAATGGACAGCAGAACAGGGAATGAGAGGAATAGTAAAAAAGCAAACATTGCTAAGAGCTACAAGGGATAGGTAGTTGTAGAGAGTCATGATCATTCACATCCTAAAGGGATATAGCATATAAAAGAAATACTGATAATATTTTTAAAAATTGCATTAAAACTATTGCAGTTTAAATAGGTGGGGGCATTTATTTGATTTTATCAAATTTAACTAAATATGCTTGTAAAATTTCACATTTAAGTTGGAAAGAATTCTATTTTAATTAATCAAATGACCTCAATAAAACTTTATATACAGGGAAGCCTGAAACTTTATGTTAATGATAAGAAATTATTTATCACAATAAAATTAGCTGAAATTTTCACTGTATTTGATTAATGGAACAGAACTAAATTAAGTGCATTGACAATAAAAGATATGTTGAAAAATAGATATTTGTTCTGTAAAATGCTTATTTTTTCCCCATCATTAGGCTTTGAACTAATTAATGTATCTGTATATGCTTAAATTAGATAAAGTGCAATAGGAGTACCCATCTCAAAATAATTGTTTAGATTACAATATTTATATTTTTTAAGCGTTTCTTAGAAAGAAAATGAAGGGAAGAATTACTTTACAACTAATCATACATTATAACCAAAAATACTTCATTATTGTTACATACTTTACAAATTAAAATATTAGCTTTATATTAACATACAAAATAATACTTAATGTGAAACATTGTTTTATACCATTTTTTCCTTTTTGTAATGAACCGTTTTCTTTTTCAGTCAAAGAGACAAATAAAACATGTTCAAGTATCTTCTAGATCAGGGGTTCCTAAACATATGCCAAAAATAAATAAGATTTCAAAATTTAAAATATTATTATGGATTACTTGAAATTGCATACATTAGTCCTAGTACAAATAATTGATTAATAATTATTGATCGATTTTATCATTGATATTTTTGCATTATATCAAGTATTAAGAATATAGTAACTAGGGTCTACAAATTGGAGGAGAGAGTTATCAATGATTATGTTCTGACATTGAATCCACGGTTATCTCCCTTTAACCCTCTTTCTGGACCCTCTTTGCCATAGGGATACTTATGCCTTTTCATCAGGATTTCCCTTTAGTGACTCACAAAGTTACATTTAAAAAATGTGTCCCAGAAAAAAAAAATTTTGGGAACCACTGTTTTAGATCTTTCTGAACAACATGCAAGTGACTTAAATTCGCTTGCATCTTACATACCAAAGGTTTTAAAGGTTACAATCATTGTACTTAAAATGCAGGAAAATCTTGAGCTTCATTTTGTGGCTTTATAGGGTGAAATTATTAAAAAAAAAAAATCTTAATTTTTTTTTTTTTACTTGTGTGTGTATGTGTGAGAATGAGTGAATGAGAGAGAGAGAAAATTGTCTTGTACACTGAAAAATATAGTGAATATTGTTTGTGGATATAGTTTACCTTACTAGTTCTCCGAACATTAGTGCGAAATTTTGTGCCCGTACTTTTAGCAACTGCTGAAATGGCTCTCCAGAATGGTTCATATTGCTGTTCATCTTCAGGCCTTTGTGACCATTCGACACATAATTGCTTGAAGAAAAGGATAATGTAAACATAAATTTTAAAGAAATACGTTTTAGAAAATTTAAGATACAATTTTTATTTTATTTTTTTCTGAGCACTTTCAAATGTTGCTACATCCATTTTCAATTATGAGAATACCTGAATTAAACAAAAATAGTTACATGAATATACACAGAACAATCCTTGAAGTTGAATGTAACATTCAAAAGTGGTAATATAAAATAAATCTGAACCTCGGCAAATAAAAAAAATATATATATATATATATATATATATATATATATATATATATTCTTTTTTTTTTTTTTGCAAGGGGGGCATTTAAATTTGATCAGAAAACAAGAGCATAGATAATACTTTAAAATCATGATGAACGTCAAATATTAATTTCATTGATTTATGATAGCAACAGTTTAAATATAGTCTTTATTGTAATTTCTTTTTTTAAAACAAAGTAACTACCAACAATATTTGACTAAAGAAAAAATACTTGTAGGAAAATTAGTATTTAATTAACTCTTTCAAGACGGATGTTTTACAACATTCGGTTTCCACGTAAACCACCAAAATCAGATATTCATAAGTAAAAATGCTTCTACCATCTAAATTGTATCAAAATATAAAAAGGGAGGTTAAAGGGGTAATTTACAAATTGAATTAAATTACTGTAAAAACTGTGTTAAAATTTAGAAATGAATTCAGCCCCAAAAGGATTAATTGAAAAATGTGAGGCTGATTTTGTTGTTCTTTTAATATGTTTTCTTTGTATTTTAATGAAAAAAAATAATTGAAGGATGAATTACAGACATAAGGTTTGTCTGAAAAGTACCCAACCATTTTGAATATCTCAAGAATCAGTTGTGCACTGTGCAACAAGTAAGATTGGTATCTGGCTGCATATACATGAACAGACACTCTCTCATGGGATTATTAAGTTTACAGTGAGATATTGAGAGAGAGTTTGCGCATTGTATTATTTGAATGATTATGGTTTTCAGAGATGATTCTATGAGTGACTGCAATTAAATTTTGATGGAGATGCTTCAAACCTGGCTGAAAAATCTGTTGAAAGCAATTTTTGAAGGCCTTCAACAGACAGAACTTCCTAAAATATTGAATGTGAGTGAAGTTTGCAATCAAAGGAAATTGGTGATTTACATTACAAAATTACAAGATCTGGAGATTTCATTGATTGTTTGGATATTATTCAGCCTCATCTGGTCTGGTGCTCTGGTATGCATTTAGAGATTCTTGATAAAATACAAAGAAGAATATGCAATATTATATGTTCTGACCTGGCATCTTGATTTCAGTCAATTTCCCACCACCATAATGTAGCTTTCCTGTGGCTTTTCTATAAGTATTTTTATGGTAATTGTTCTGATGAGCTCTCCTCTTTGGTAACTAGACTAACTAGACTTTATGAATTGATGCATACTACCAGATTGGCAGATAGGTCTCATCATTTACAGTTGAAATCGCTAGATGTAACTGTAACTTCTATGATAACAGTTTCTTGCTTATGGAACTCTCTTCCAGTGTCTTGCTTTCCAGTCAACTTTGATGTTCAAAAATTTAAAAGCAATGTCAGTTATTATCCTCTGTCTTCTTAATTCCTGTTCTTTTATTGTTCTCTCAATAATGTTTTCTTTCTCATATTTCCTCACACTCAGTAACCCCTTGCATCTTAGTGGCTTTATTGCCTTGCTTGGAGTGAAATGATTTACAAAAAGAATTTTTTAATATTTTGACTATCCATTCTTCACATCTTGTGCATGTTTTTTTGGCAAAATATTGCATCACCCATGTGTGTCAATTTCCATAACATATTTGGCTTTTGCAACTTCTGGTTATTTCTGATAAAAGAGATTTTAGCCTGTGAACAAAATTAAGATAGAGGATTTTTTTTCATTAAAATACAGAGAATGTTGCAGAAAAGGAAAAGGAATGCTAGTGTGACACAATGGGTCACTGCTTGATTTGTTAGTACACGTACATAGTCAAAAGAACTGTAAATGATTTTATCTTGTTCTGGAGCAAGCGGAGTTTTATTATTGCAACACCAGTAAAATAAAGATGTGAGAGTTTTAAAGCAACTATACACTGTCCATAAGTAAGGAAAAGGAAATAAAAACTTTTAGGATCAAGTGCTAATCAACCAGAAGAAAGGGAATTCCAGTCATCATTCTAAAGGCACTTACAAATTGTCTATCAAAATTGTCAGTCAGAGAGTCAGAGTCATAGTTGAGTAGAGTATCAAAAGATGTAGGGTTAGAGATTGGGTTCTTTCTGTCTGAAGGGAAAATCTGGTCCATTAATTTGTTGTGAAAGAAGACAGAAGTAGCAGAAGATATTCCAGATGTCACTTACTTACCTCCAGATGGTGCCAGGTGATCCAAGAATAAAAAAAAAAACAACAAAAAAAAAAAAAACAGTATATTGAAAACAGGATATAGGTTTTCTTTTCTCCTATGCAATATTTCACCTTCAGTTTCTTTGTTGAATGTACACTGAACCTTTTCCAATTCAAACCAACACAAACAGGATTCAACCACAGCATGAGGACCGAAGCTTACCAGTTGGTGAAAAGTGACTGAGGGGACCCAGTTGTATGTTTACACTGGAATAAGTGTGTATAGTCCCAAGAGATGTATTTTGAAGGGGGAGTAAGGCATAGGTAGGTTACTATTTTTTTTTTTTTTTTTTTTTTTTATTAACTGGGTGGATATTTTCCGGACAGATATTTTATAAACATTAAATCAATAAAAGGAACAAAATGGAAAAAAATTTTTCAATCTGCTCCCTAGTTATAGAAAAATTCAGGACCCCCTTATGAAACTGAAATAGTTACCTGTATCCGTCGTTCTTTCTGTGTCAACCGCTCATTTCTCTTTTGAAGAAGAATCAGTTCTGTTTTTAAGTGATTATAATTGTCTACACAACTCTCTCCATTTATGCTGCCTGGGTGCTTCACTGTGCTTTTCACTTTGTCTTTCTGTCTCAACTCCTGGAAATCAAGAAAGGAGACAATTCTTCTCCAAATGCTGCAGTGACAAATAAGTAACAACAATCTACAAATCTTAACCCCTTCAATTCAATCATCATTTATCCTCATAATTGTGGATGTGCAGGTGGTGTAATGGATAGTGGCCCAGAATAAGAAATCAGAGAGCTGAGTTTTAATTCCAGATTGGTTTGTTACAGTTGCTTATGTGCAATTATGCTTGAGAAAGGCATGAATCCATCTCTCCCCAACTGGAAAGAACATTGCTATTCTCAAAAAAGCCGTTATATTATATGCAATATTCACTCACAAAAAAGAATTATTATTACAACCGCAAATATATTTTGGCATTAAATAACTCACAAAGGGTTGAAAAATCATAAAAATAAAACAAATCAATCAATCAATCAATATCCTTATCTTCACTTCCTGCTACCTCTTCTTTCATTCATATCACTCATTCATTTTAACAATAATTCTTTATTTTGATTGACTCTTGAGATTTGTATACAAACATTTTTAGTACTTATTTTGAGCTCAAGTTTTTATTGCCTCATTATTCAATCATCAAAGTGTTTCATGCACTAATTTTCTGGTAAATTGCGCATTTCATCATAAGGGAATGATTTTGTTTTTTGATTTGGTGAATTCTTTCAGGATTTCTTCCAATATCTTGAAACTGAAAACTAAATAATTGCTGTGTGGAACAAACCAAATGATAGTTTGAGAATGACAGACCAGAAGAACATGTGAAAGAACTTCTCATCCAAACTTCATCAATTGTTATGTTAAACAAAAAATATATTAAAATAATTGTGGATTTAGTCCATTTCATATATATAATATTAATAAAAATACATAATACCACATGCCAACAGTATGACTCAGTTTCATGCCTGATGCAATCTTTAGGTACTGGCCATTGTTTACAGTTTGGTTAATGTTTCTGGGTCTTGCAAGTGTGTGTAAATATATATATATATATCTCACATTGAGTATGGTTGTTAATAAAATAGTGCTTGATGTAATATAACAGAGCTATCAATTATATATTAATAAGTATGCATTTTTTTTTCCTTACCAGTAGCATGACTCAGAATTTCATGCACAACACAATCTTCAGAATTGAGTCTCAATTCAGTACCTGAAGATTGCATTGTGCATGAAATTCTGGGTCATCCTACAGGTGGAAAATATATATATATATATATATATATATATATAAAAAGAATGAAAAACAGAAATAATTACCCACCCGTGTTGTCATCTTAAGGTTATTGCTGTCATTAATTTTGTCATTTTGACGGGCAAATAACCAGAAAGTGATGCACCCAGTTTGAAACAAGTTCAGGTGCTCTTCTGTAAGTGGATGAAAGCTGAAAATTTTGGAATGGTTGAAGACTGGATTTAACGTTCCAGTTATGACATCTGTTTCAACAAATGTAGTGTTGGCTCCAGTACGATACCGGATTCGCAGACCTTTGCAGAAACGATCCTTATAGACTGTTGCATCCTTTATCATAACCTAAAATAGAAAAATTGATAAGAGAAGATTAATATTCATTTTGGCATTCAATTTTTTTTTTAATATATAAAAATTACTTTAGTAAAGAGATTTGAGCTCTCCATCCAATTTTGTTGGGTACTTGGACTTTTCTTAAAATTCATCCACTTAATTGTAAATTACATTCCCATCATTCAAAGAAGCTTATAAAATTTTCTTTCCAATAAAATATTTAATTCTGAAATAAATTAACCAGTTTTTATGACAAATTTTTGGTTGTTTCAAATAGGAGGAATCCCCCACCTATCATTCCTCAAATGAAATTCTTCTTTTCCACACTTAACCATAAACTGTTCAAGTCTAGGGTTAACGGTTATCTTCCCCACATATATATCCCCATAAACTGTACCTCTTACTCTGTAACCTTCTACTATGAATGGCTCTTTGGCCTAGTAAAGGATAAACATTATTGTAAAAAAACAAAATTGGAAAAAGAAATAACTATCTTCAAATGACACTATTTCCACTTCAGACCCTGCATTAGTCATCTCAGCTTTGAGGATGGCCAAATAGATTCAGAAGGTCACTATAGACACCAAGCATTCCAGGGGACATTATTCGAAGCTAGAAACCATGAACTTATGTTGTTTTATCGTGATCCTGAAGAGGTCTTCCATTGAGGGGTTGAAACCTTGTCAATGCCAAGCTGAGGTGATATTGTACAATTAAAGTTAACATTATTTCCCTGGATGAAAAAAATGCCACTTTTATTTGTCTTTTCCACAAGCTATGAATTTCAACATATTTTTCCATTTTAGTATTTGGTTGGCTTTGTCAATGTGATTGGCTCCTGAAACTTTCTAGCAATTTTACTATTTGTACCATAGGAGGAAGAGAAAGAACCAATCTGGGTGTGTGTTCTTGTATGATCACATGATTAGGGAATTGACTGTTATATTTCTCTTTCTCCTGTCAGCTCAAAACAACAAATGCAGTCTTTGTCTTTTCAAATCAAATCACAAACTGCTTCTCAACTTAAAATGACTACTTTTTATGAACTCATTTCCCAAACTGACAAGTACAAAAAAATAATTTAAGAGTTGTAAAAAAAAAAAAAAAAATTCTTTTAAAAATATTTCACTCAAAATTAGCATTAGTTTTTTTTCGATTCACATCTTTATTTAATAAAAAGAATCTCTTTTCTCATCAGCAACCTGAACAATTTCAAAGTCACAATGAAAAATATCAAGTAAATTTAGCAAATAAATATACATTGTGGATTTTTTTCTCTGCCAAATCTGAAAGAAAATAATATGTTTTTATTAAATTATGCAAACACAAACATGCTACAAAAGTTATTTCGAGTTTTACGGAATTATTTTTGTAAGGTTTCAGAACAAATTTTCAGTATATTTATGATTGACATTGAAAAAATTTTTATGGAAAAAATATCTTCAGGGTTTTTCTTTATAAAACTATAAAGATATTTATCAAACCCCCAACTTTAAAAGTGTTTGTGATGTATCAAAATGGTGGTAATAGTGTGATGACTTAATTAAAAAAAAGATTTCCACAGTTTTCTAATAAAATAACTTATTCAGTACACAATTCATTCATTAATATATGAATAATTTTAATTTCATTTTTGGTAATTTTTAAAAACAACAGATGGTGTTAATTTGCTTTCATTTCAGGAAAAATGCATGCATTTTTGTGGCATATAGTATATATATTATTCCGTATTATCTACAATTTTAGGCGCCCAATGCTGGGGCTAGGTGTCTTGGAACATTATCATCTGTAGGAAAAGGGAGACTACTGTACATTCATTAGCCCAGAGGAGAAAACTCTTATTGAGATGAATTAACACAATCGATATAGGTGGTGTTGGATGAAATTTTTAAAGCAATTCACCACAAGCAAGGCGGGAGTGCCACTAGCATGCAATGGGTTACAGACGATTGAGAACAAGAGTAAAGAGGCATATTTGGGGAAAGGATACAGAGAAGAACGGGGAACAAGTTCAGGGTATTAGATGTCAATTGACGTTACACTTTAAAGATTATAGTCATTGGGGAAGCAAGTAAGGAGAAAGGAATTCCACAGACAGGAAGTGTGCGAGAAGCTATTTGAGTAGAAGAGATGGTTACATTTAACAATTTTGACAGTGAAAGGGTGGGACCAAGATGTCAGCCTGATAGTTCACTTAAATTCATGCAGTCCAGGAACCAGCAAAAGTAGCTTTTTGGAACAGTTGCCATGAAAATACTTGTAGAAGAGACAGAGGGCGGCCACAACACATCTGTGGGATAGCGATTGTAGACTAGATCCCAGATCAGGACCTATCCTCTTGCATATTAGTCTCTGGATCTTGTCGAGGACCTTGAGATATACAGTGGCAGCACCAGATTATATATGACAGCAATATTCTATGCAAGGATGGATGGTTGATTTATAGATTTGAAGGATGGACTCAGATGAGAAAATCTTTCTGGACACAGAGAACCAACATTCTTTGCAGTAGATGAAGCTATCGATTCAATGTATTTATTTCACCTCATGTCAGTGGACAGCGTGAGACCAAGCAGGTGTAATGAGGCGCTCTTGAGGAGTTGGGAATCAGCCATTCTGATAGGAGGCAGGGAGGGTTCTCTGTGGTGGGTAAATGAGAGCAGTTTTGTTTTGGAGGGATTAAAGTTTACAAGCCATTTCCTGCCCCAGTCAACCACAGATTGGAGGTCCCTTTCAAGATCAGCAGCCAGTATGAGAATATTAGGATTCCAAGAAGCTAAGAAAATGAAATGAGTCAGCTAAATGGTGAGTTATAAAAACTCAGAGTGTTAGTCTGTCACCAGAGCTTCTGAAGGAGAGGCAGTTATACATGAGATTCACAGGTGTAAGGAAAGAGGAGTCTGTAACATGGTGACGAAGAAGATTACTTTAGTTGTAACACTAGAAGCAAACATTCTCATGAGGAGATCATATATATATATATATATATATATATATATATATATATATATATATGACAAAAAAGAGAGAAAACAAAGAAAGTGCAGAGACTAACTGATTTTGATAGAAAAAAAATTTCTAGGACTCTATGGCTGATTCTGTTTCATCATTGTTAACATTTGTCTTTTACAATGTTAAAAAAGAGAAGCTATTTATCCTCCATTATTTATAATTCTGTGTGTCTATTATTCAACTCTACATAACGCCATTCAGTAAACCCCAAAATGTATGCTGCAATGTTCAGTTGTGGTATTTATTCTATGATATAAAACAATGCTACTTTATATATTTGTTGATCATGCAACCTAATCTCCTAGTCTTAACGAGGAGATATTCTGATGTTATAGTAACAGGAGGTTTTATTCAACATGTCTTGTAGTGGTTGTGAAGAAAAACTTAAAAAATCTATTTAAATTAAAATTTGGTAAAATGAACACATTATAGAGAGCACATTATTGCTACATTAATTAACTCATCAATGAATTTCATACAAAATATAAACCTCTTTTTTATTGGAAATTATTATTAATAAGATATGATATCCATACTGAGTGGATACCAACTTAAAATAAAATTTAATAAACTTATAATTTATAGAGAAAAATAAACTTTATATAGTATTTAAAACATCAAATTATTAATCTGCAATGTTTCAGCTTTTAAGCATGTATAGTTATTAAGTTATTAGAAATTTTTTACTCATCAAGTAACACAATTTAGAAGAGTGCAATGCATTTTTCTGTTAGATATTCATGTGTCTACTACTATGTGCAATGTATAAAGGACAATGTATCAAGTAGCTAGTCTGCATGATAGAGTAACAGCTCAAATCAAAGTAGTAAGAGGAGTCAGTAAGACATCTTAACTGCAGAAATTATACCCAATGCAATTGCAAAACAAGTTAAATATAGCCATTACTATTTTGACAGTACTGCTCATGTTAGTTTTTTTTTTTTAATATATTTTTTATTTCTAATGCTTTGAAAATCAGAATTCTTTCTTACATGTGATAATAGAGTTAATTTAATAGATAAAATCCTAAATTACTCATGCAGAAATTATATCCTATTTCAAAATTACTTAAATATGGCAGTCTTTTGTTTTTTTTACAGTATTGGTGTCATGTTAGTTTTCTTTTTATATTTTTTATTTTTCATGCTTTAAAAAACAGAATTCTTTCTTACATGTAACAATAGAGTTAACTGAAAAGATAAAATCCTAAATTACTCGTGCAGAAATGATATCCTATTTCAAAAGTACTTAAATATGGCCATTTTTTGTCAGTATGGGTCATGTTAGCTTTCTTTGGGTATTTTTACTTTTAATGATTTAAAAATACAATTCTGACATACAAGATTTTTCTTATCCACAGCAAGAGAGATAATAGTATAATGATTTACTAAGTTTAGCTTAGATATGGAACAAGGCCAAAAGTATGGGCGACCAAGTGAGGATCAAACTCACTATTCAGTCATAATTAATCAAGTGAGACAAGCTTGCTACCCATTACACCATGCTGAAGTACCAAAACAATTAATTGTATAGATAAATATCCTAGATTATTCATGCAGAAAATATAATCAATTCAATTGCAAAATTACTTAAAATGGTTGCCATCATTTTTGGTTAGTACTGGTCAATGGGCAACAATATAAAGGTTTACTGAAATTAAACAAAATTAATACTCTTTCTCCTTACCTTAAAATGAAATGCATGTTCCAACAATTCTTTTGGATCCTCCACAAATGTGTCCTCACCTGTGGTGTTTCCGCTAACTGAACAGGGAGCTACATTTACTGTGATGAAACCTTCTTCTGTGCCTTTGTAGTCAGCAACAATGATACGGTCTTCAAACTCAAGACAATATGATAAAGACTGCAGGAAGACATTAGCAGTGCCAACCAATGTATCTTCTGGGGCCTCCCAGAAAGGGTCGTCCTCTTTGGAAATCTGGGAGACATCTTCTCCATCTTGGTATTTTTGATACAGTTCCTATTAAAATAGCAGATTTTTTTGTTATCTTTAAAAAAAAATATTTATCTTATATTTGAAGGGTGTTGAAAAATTCTTATTTCAACCCATTTATCAAATTATAAAATAAACTTTTTTTTTTTTTAAAGAGCTTCTTGGTTAGGCTGAGAACTTTTCAGCACTCCATCATAAAAGTCCAATAATTTTTTTTTGTTTTTTAACAAAGATTTTGTCTTGTTGACGTACTTAGAGAAGTTAAACTTGGGTATTTTTGATATTGTTAAATTTATTTTTTTAATGGATCTATTATTTTTTTTTTTTTTTACAGCAATAAAAATATAATTCTCATGAAAAATAATATATAAAAAATTTGGCTATTTGCTATTAAGAAAACTAAAAAGAAAAATATGATAAAATAACTAAGCAGGGAAAGTAACCTGTTACTAGTTATATTTACTAGTAAGGTACTAAATATAGAGAAAAGATAATGTATGTAATGGATAAAATTCTATCCTTCATATTCAGAATCAATCTCCTGCCTCCTTTAAATATGAAAGAATACTGGAAATTTGCAATGCACTCAAAGATTGGTAACTTTTTGTTTCTAAAAGTAAAACTTTTTGATATCACCAGAGATTCCTAACATAATCAATTTTGAAAAGTCACTCACCTGGATAAGATATCTTCGATTCATAAAACGTCCTCTTTCCCAAAGCCAGGTATTTTCATTTAACAAATCTTTCATTTTTACCATGACACTGGACAAGAAGCAAATATTATTTAATTAAAAAATTAAAAAAAATAATTTAATCATGGTGCCCATGTTTCTAAGATGTTAATTCAATAAAAAGAAAAAAATGCTTAAGACACTTACTTTACAGATTTTTGGTCATCTACTCGTCCACAAATTGCTAGGGAGGGCATAAGGACAACTTCGAAGGATTTGTGCTTGTTCAGTTCATCAGAGACAGCATTCACTTCAGAAACCATTGGCAAGATTTCCAGAACTTTTTCCTGAGTTATTTGTTGCTCTTCAAAAGAAAGCAAGTGATATTTGATAAGTTGATAAATGAAAAACAAGTGTACAGAGGCATGCATACACACAAACGTTTTACATAGGTTGGAGCAAAAATAATTGTTTTTCAACCATGACTTTTAAAGCGGTATATCTCAGTGTAGAATACAATCTCATCATTACTTGATTGATTTGTTTTTTATGACTTAGCAATCTTTTTGCAGACTATTTAAGATCAGAAATTAATTTTAGAGTGTAAGAATTTTTAGGAGATAATGATGATTTACTAACTACTAATTAACCCATAGCTGGGGGAAGAAGAGGTGGATTCAAGGGTATTTGCACATAATTGCATCTAATGAACCTGACTGGAATTAGAACTTGGTTCTGATTTCTAATTTCAAGCAGGTATCCATTACACCATCTGCACATCCAGGCACCTAATATTTCTAACTGGTCATCCACCTAGGTACTGACCATTGCATGAATATAATTATATTTATCAAAAAACGAACCATTAGAATCTATGCATTGTTTTCAATAATAAGTCTATTTATTCAGGTAGCATAAAATTTTGGAGTCCTGGAAATGGTAAATAATGAAATTAGCCGTTTCCATAAAAGAAACATTTGGTATTCCTTTGATATTTAGTGCTGTTTTTGGTTGAAACTTATAAAACCTTTTTATTAGAACATTTTTTTTTCAGAAAATTAGACATCTCAAGTCCATTAAATGTTATAGCTTTTTCTAATAAGGATGGGAGTTTCCTTTAAAACTTCTTGTTTTTGCTAGCATGGAAAGTTAACAGATTTTTTTTTTCTTAGATTTAAAATTTCTGCTGTCTAAACACATAAGTCAGTTGATCTCATTTAACTTTCCCAACACTTTTGTTTTTAAAAGGCAAAAGTAAAAGCATTAGGAAAGTAAATGAGATTGGCTGAGCTGTCCACATTAGACACTAAAATTTTTTTAAATTCAAAATTTAGTGTTATTCAAGCACAGACATATATAGGACTTCATTATCCACAGTGGATAGATTTCAAGAGCCCATGTAGATAGTGAAATACAACAGGTAACAATGAAGCATATACTATACTTGTGTCCTGAAATTTTAACTGAGAAATTACACCCAATTTTTCAGTTAAATTTTCAGGACAGACCTAGTATATGGTTCATTGTTATTTATAGAAAGTTTTTAAATTTTAATATCTGCAGAATTTTTAATAAATTTAAAAAAATAGTTTTTTTTTTTTTTTTTAAATATCGAAGTTAAAAAAACTTTTCTCTTAATTTTCTCATGCTAAAAAAAAAAAAAAAAAAAAATTGTAAAAAGATTTTATTAATTATTCAATCTATATAATAAATGTGAATTCTAGTGTGTCACACTTTTTCAACTTTACTCCAAGAGGTAATAGCCCAACATATCACAACATTTTGGAATTGGGCAAATCATGAGCAAATTAAAACATTCCAGGCTGGATCCAGACCTGCAATCTTGACATTTTGGATTTCCAAGTTTTCATTACTACGATTATTTTCAGTGATTTTTTGTGACAAATTTTTTTGTACAATAATTTTTATAACTTGAAAATAAATTTGGGAATCATGAAAATTAATTGTGAAATCCAGCAAAAGTAATTGTGTATTGGTTAATGATCAAAAGCAAATGCTTTTAACACAACATTGAAAATCCGACTTGCAGTTGCAAAAAATTGCAGAGACTGACACATCTACACAAAAAATAATATCTTTGTATGGTGGCAAAAGTTGCTGGTGGTGACACTACTGCTTTAGTCACTGAAATCACATTACCCCCTCTGATTGGCAGCTGACAAAGGCAGGATATCACACATGCTTTCACATATTGTATGTAGAAAAAGAATATATATAACATTTAAGCCATTAGAGAATATATATATCATTAAACACATTAATTATTGTTAATTACTGCAAACCTTTGCAAATAGCATAGTCAATATTAAAAAAAAAAAAAAAAAAAAAAAAAAGCAACAACAGTTAATAGATAAATAGAAGCATAAATGACTTCTTTTGACTTGATGTTTTTCAGAGACACCAGTCCACTTGTCAGGGTAAAATAAATCTAATTGAATTCATTGACAGATATCACATTTATTTTGCATATGCTGCATAAAAAGTTATTGACGTCAATGAAATTTATACTCAAATGTTATGCAACAACATTTAATCTGAACAATTTTAGAATAAATGTTATCACCTCATTTTTTTTTTTAGTATAGAATAAATTTAAAATTTATTTGATGTCAATAGCTAGTCTTTTTTATTTTATACATCCAGTGGTGGATCAGCTATGAAACTAATGAAGCTTAAGCTTCAGGGACCATAATTCCAAAGGGGCCCCTGAAGCAGCATTTTTATGAGGTGATTTTTCAACAAAATTGGTGTTTTTTAAATTGTTTATAATTAAAATAAGGCCATTTTAGTGATAGAATCATAAACCAATGGATTGAAATAACCAATGTTGGCCTTAGAATATGTTCTAATACTCATTTCATATATCAAAATTCTCTTGGTGGCTTGCAGTGCCCACACGCCAGCTGTATAAGTTCATTGATTGGACAGAATCGATTCATAGCTTACATTTTTGGAGTGGGATCCTTGAATCTGTTGTTGTTGGTTGTGGAGACCCCTCCCATATATATTCAAGCTTCAGGGTCCCAAAATGTAGATCTGTCACTGTATACATCCATTATTTTGTTTTTATACATCCTTTTTCCTATGAGCAATATATTGAATTTTGCATTGATGCATACATTTTTTGATATATGTAATCTTTAATGCAGATGAAACTTACAATTTTCAAAGTAAATACATATCTGAGGTAGATTCCTCTACAGACTTATATTGGCAAGATAAAAGTAGAATGATTATTTATAATACCTTTTGTGAGTCCATTGAGCATAGCAGCTGAGTAGCCACTGGCTTTAGCAATTTCCTTTTGAGCAAATTCCCAAGTCACATCTTTTGGGAGGTTTGGATCCACATCAGTTGCAAATGGATTGATAAACAGATAAAGGTGGTTGGATCCTTTGCAAAGATTTTAGAAAAAAAAATTATTTTTTATTATCAAGAGGACCAATTGTATGCAAACATAAATGACCAAAATGAAGCTGGAAAAATAAAAATCCTATCTAGTTGATTATAATGTATAAGATTGTGTAGCATCAAATTGTCTGCAAACAAATTCATTAAAAATGGGAAGTTTTCCTTAATTTTTTTTTTCATATATAAGAAAAGAAAATTAAAACTTGGTGTCCATTCAACATGACTTTCATTACATGTTTTGTTTGGAATGATTGGATTAAGCTAAATATTTGTCCAGAGAACTGTAGCTCTTGAGCTTGTGGAGAAGGCCAGCATGCCAAACCCTGGCGAATGCCTTCAAGATATCTAAAGTCACAGCTTCACTGTTCTTATCTAAATCCTCATAGACAAATTTAGTGATAATGGTTAACATGTCAGCGTTTACTCGAAAGAAGGCCATGTTATGTAATTAAATATTCTATTGTCTTCTCTTTTTTTTTTTTGACTATAATGATGGTAAAAGAAAAATTGAAGACATTAAGATTCAATAGCAAAAATAATATTAATTTAATCATATCAAGTCATTTATTCAATATCTTTTATTAAATATTATTTCTATCCTAACTTTCTATTAAAATATAACAAGATCAAGAAAGAAGCTATCTATTTTACTTACCAAATAAGATCCTGTCCATATGGTTGAGAACTTTTTGTTGAGTTAAAGGCAGTCCGTTCACTTTAGTCTTGGCATTATTGCTTGTAGGTTCAATAGAAACCTCTTGGTCGGTGTATGTTATAGTAGCATGTTCTTTTTGAATACTAAGGTTAAAAAAAATAATGGATATTACTAGTATTGTAACCCTTGGGAATTATTAAAAGAACTATGTCAAAATTTTCATAAACTTTAATTATTACATATACAAACCTCTCATTAACAGACTAATAGGGGGAAGGGGTGTTCCATTAAAGCCGATTGTAGATAGAAGAAGCTCTAATTTGTCACTGATGCTTAGCTTCCTTTTTACCCTTTCTTTCTGCTTTGATGCCATGATGAGGGTTAGAACAATATATTCATCAAAATAACAAAAATAATAGATTTCTAACAGCTACTTTCTCACACACATGCTAATGTATTGCACTTTCTCTCTTTGTTTACAATTGAAAGGCCTGCTACTGCCACCAAGCAGTCATTTTGAGAACTAACATGATTCATTTCACTATCCCACAAATTTCAAAATAAATTGCTGATGATTTGGAATTTTTTTCTTGTCGGTTTTTTCTTTTTTATTTTGCCTGTTGTATGGAAGTTTCTTGTTGATTGGGGGGGGGGTAGATAAGAGGTTTGTCTGATTTTTTTAATGGCCTTGTTTGAAGAAAATGACAATCCTGTCAGCACTTGTATTTGGTATTCAAGAGTACATTTAATGTGTGAAGAGAAATTGGTGAACATGTATTCAAAAATCACTTTTTTTTTATTATATTTTGTTAGAAAATATGCCAAATACTAACTCCAGTGGTAGACCTCTAGAAAAAGATTCATCTTGTACATACAGAAAAATTTGTAACAGCCCATTCCCTGTACATGTTGGTAAAAAAAACCTGATATATTAACTTTATCTGCAACTGGATTCGATTAAAATTATTATGACAATAATATTTATTCGATGAGAAATACAGAATTAGCTTCTGGTAATATTTGAACTTGTGTCCCTTATGTCTGACTTAAATGAAAGCTTATTGATTTTGCTCACTTAATGATCCCAGAGAATCAAAAGCACCAGGATCTTTAATGTGCCATGTTTCTTCAGAATGTGGGGAATCATGGCCCTTCACAGCTCTAAGTAATGTTTATTCCTTTACTATTAATTCCAGTCCCTGTTCTGCCACGAGCTCATTAAGGAGGTTTTAGATTCACCAGGCTCTCTTTTCTCATAATTTCAACTCTTTGCTTCTAAGTAAAAGTGTCTCTTGTTTTCATTTTCTTTAAAACTTCTTTGTTGCACACATGTTCTGCCCATGGTATTTTCGGCATCCTTCTGTAGAACCATATTTCTATTGCCTTAAGTCTCTTTATCTTTGAGGAGATTTCCTAGCATTTATGGTGTGTAGAAAGATTGAATTTACCAAGCAGTTTTTTTTTATTTTTTAGTTTCTAATATTTTCCTCATTCTTGATACTTTGTTTAGCTTTTGGAAGACATCTTTCTGTTTCAATGCACCTTCAGATTTTGGTGTCATTTTCTGACATTTTTGTTTCCAGATAGTTAAATTTCTATACTTGCTTGATTTTGAGGTTTTCAATTTGAAGCTTACATCATGGCCTGTTCCTCATGCCAACAATCGTACACTGTTTTCCTACAATTGATAGTTCTTTCTTCCTACTTTCTTTTCCTATGACTGAGTTCCTTTTTTTTTCTGTGTCTGCCATCAGCACATGGTCAGTTGTATATCTTATGTTGTTAAGATTGTGCCCACAGCAATGATAATTCCTGGTAGGACTTCTAGTTCTCTTAGCATGGCCTTGCTGTAAAGGTTAAATATGGTGAGAAAATGCATGGCCTTTTCTATTTTTGTGTACTTGTTCAATTTATTGCAGTTTGCTTTCAGTAAATGTCCTAGATTATTCTAATAATAAAAATGACTAATAATTGATGTTTCATCTAAGAATAAATGTCTCAAAAATCTACACAAGTTCAAATCTCTCTAAATTTTAACAATTGAGAAATTGATATTTACAATTGGTTGTTAGTCCTTTCTTCCTACTACCTTGTCTAGCAGTTTTGTGCAGTTTTCTTTCTATGTCTGCCATCAACATGGTTGAGATAAAATTCATAAGATGAAAAGAAAAGCTAATCAAGAATGAATAATATTTCATTTAAGAAATTTGGACAAAAATTACATAATACTAAGATAAGCCATCATTATTTAAAAAAAAAGATAAAATTAAAATAAAAAAGATAGAAAAGTGGTTGAAATCTACATCAAAAGAGAAAAACAAAATGGCTCACCTCAAGCCATTAAGGCAAATTTTAGGCAATGGTTTAGCTAACTTTGAGCCTATTGTGGTTTTACCTTCATCAATATAATGAAAAACCACTCTTGACAACATTGGGTCTTCATTAAGATTAATCAAATGTGGCTGTGTTGATTGACGCTGGAGATCACCATGAATGGATTCATTGTCCATTGACCTGGCTGCTGCCAACTGAAAACAAAGACATTCTCCATGTCAGGACTGTAGGAATTACAATGTAGAAAAGAGTATTTCTATTTTTAAAACTTGCTTCAGTAGCATTTAGGTTCAGTCTAAAGTCAGTTCCTATTTATAGAATTTTTAATTATTTTCAAATGCTAATTATCACTAAAAGTCAAAACTTTTACTTTTACATAGTAACACATTAATGGCCACCAGAAAATTCAGTACTAATTCTAAAAATGTAAATGAAAATAAAGTATTACTTATAGGTTTATAAAAAATATGGTATTAACACTTCCACTACTGTGGATGTATTTACATGTCTTTATGAAACTTAGGTTTTCCTTTTGAAACATGATATAGGATTTCAAAACAAATATTGGTCCCTAGTATTTTTGTTATAAATTAACTAGTGTTTAGTATCAGGAGTCATATGAGGAACAATGAAATTATAGAGAAAATGGAAACTAAAAGGACATTTATACATAGCATCAGAGAGTTTAAATTTCTAGGGCAGATAATGAGGAAAGAGGGTTTGGAAAATATGACACTCATAGGACATACTGAAGGCAAGAGGGATAGATTAAAGCAGTGCATAATCTACCTAACGTAAATGGTTGGAAGAATAGGGATTAGGCAAACTTTAATAAGAGCTACAAAGGACTGTAAGTTGTGGAGAGCCATGATCAACTATGTTCTAAAGGGACATAGCATGTAGAAGGAATGTTTAGTGCTATTTCCAAACCAACAGACATTTAGTAGCATACAAGATAACCTGTTTTTTTAATGTATTTTTATTGTATTGTTTGTTAGGGGTTCTGTTTATTTTAGTCTGTACTGTAAAGTATCTGATCAAAATGGTGACACTCATAAGAAATTGCTGTCAGTGTCTAAATGCTCAGCAACTTGATAAAATTTTTCTAAAAATGGGCCAGCATTGCCAGTCAGCTATACTATAACAATGCAGCAGTAAAAGTCAATATAGGCTTCTACTAATAACCAATTAATTGGTTAATATTTTTAAGAAAAATGAAAACAATTCTGTAATTAGCTTTGAATAGACCTGTCATTATCTTGTTCTACTATAGTTAAAATTTACTCAGAAACTAATTGATAGATTAGAATGAGAAATGCATTACTCTTAGGTAAAACTGTTTTTAAAATTTAGAGCATTTAATGGTATTGAGCTAACAAAATTGTGCTATGATGTGTTGCTTTTACTTCAAGCATGCAAGAAATATCAAGAAATTATCTTATATTGTATAGATATAAATATAATATGGGCATAATTAGGTGCAAGAAGCTAAATCTCAGTTACTGTATGCATACAATAAAAAACTGCTGTCCTTAACTGCAAATAATGTTGTTGTCATTATAAGTATTATTTGCAGATATTAGCAGACAGAAATTTATGAAATTTCTTTATTTTTTATATAAATTTGTAAGGAATCTAAATTTCAGATAAAATATTTATAAGGAGTAAAAACTTAAAATTGACTAGTATTTTTGCCACCGTGAAATGGCTTAAACGTTTTGAAATTCACAATATTTCCAATCATTACTTTTTTTTCCCTTCATATTTATCATGCTCAGAAACACGTTTTGAAATATCTACATTTAATCTGCTTACAATGACTCTTGCCAGGTATTGTTTGATCCAATTCAATATATGAAATTGCTCTTGTAAATGATTAGTGGAACTCACAATGGTTAAAGTTTCTATTCAACCAAGAAAAATCCAAAGTTACAGATGTAAATATTTTACTTACTTTTTCTTCCCAAGTTTTGGTTGACTCACTGAGAAGTTTTTGGTTGGCAAACAACTGAGCTCTCATATTTTCTAATTCCTGCTTCAGCTGCTCAGCATCTGATTAAAAAAAGAAAAAAAAAACTGATATGATTTTCTATAATAGATTATTAAAAGTCTATGTGGAAATAAAATTACAAAACAAAAGAAAAATGGCTTATCTAGGTCAATTGCAGAAAATTTTAAACTGGAAAGAAAATGAATAAATATGGAGCTGAGCAATTGATTGGGGAGGAATAGAAGAGTAGGGAGCCAAGCAAGTGGTTAGGGAGGAATGAAAGAGTAAGGAGCCAAGCAAGTGACTGGGGACAAACAGAATTGGCTCTTTGACTGTAAATTTGAATTCCATATTCAGAATGTCATGGTAAAATACAGAAAGAAGATAAAATACAAACAACAACAAAAAAATGTAAACTTTATGTAAAAATATTTATATAAAAAAAAGATGAAGTAAAGCCTTGTGAGGATTACAGGATGCAATATAAGCTCAAAAAAATCTGGTGGAATGTTGTGTTAAAAATAAAAACAATACTACTTTGAATAATTCATAGATTAACTGTCAATGCATTTCACATTTTCCTTAGCATTTTTGATCTTTCCTGCAACCATATGGGTTATGAAACATGATGTGATGTGACATATTTGGCCGCACATGATTCCCATACGATAGAGAGACAGAGAAAAAGACAAAGAGAAAAAAAGGACAAAGAGAAAAAAAAAGTCTTGTAGGTAATCAAATATAGTAGTTTAAAAAAAAAAAAAATTTAAAACTCACCTTCAAAAGATTCAGGAGTTCCTAAAGTTCTGCTCTCCATATTTTTACGTAGACGGTCATTTTCTTCCTGTGAATATCAGTTGCCAAATATTAAATTTTTAATACAAATAGAAAAGGGCAGCAAAAACAATGTGACACAATATGGTTCAATATTTGTTGGAGTTAAGGAAACAGGTAAAATGGTTAATTAGCTTGAACAGAAGGCAAAATTAGAGGCAAAGATTAGGTTATTTAAGAGGTTTTTTTTCCTTTCTTATATCAGAAAAAGCAACTTACAGAGAGAAATGTCTGTTATATATAAAAGAGATTTGGTTTGTGAGCTACACTGTTCTTTCAAACAGTGCAGCTCACTATCTCCTTACTTTTAGTTTTTTTGCTCTCTACATTGACACTTCAATACTATCTCATTCCAATGAGAAGTCAATGAGGGGGACAAATCTGAATTCAAAGCCATACTCAGAATCAAGAAAAGACAGTTGAAATTACTTGGACACATAATGAGGAAGGAAATAAACTTTTTTTTTTTATTTTAAGGATTTCACCCCAAACAAAGTGGGAGTGCCACTGGTTTACAGGGTGTTACATAGAGTGAAGGTGAGAGAAAAACTGTATAGGGGGAATGAGGAAAGGATAAAAAAAAAAAATGGATAGGGTTCAAGACATCAGAAGATGGTGATTGACATTGCATTTAACTTTATGAAGACTGTAGTTATCAGGGAAGCAAGTAAACGGAAAGGAATTCCATAGGCAGGAAGGGCAAGAAAAGAAACTGTTGGAGTAGAAGTGGCAGTTACATTTAACTATTTCAATGGTAAAAGGGTGGGATCGAGATGCCAATCTAGTAGCATGCTTAAATTCATAGTCAAGGCACCAGGGAGAAAAAAGCTTGACAGAACAGTAGCCATAGAAATATTTGTAGAAAAGACAAGGGGAAGCTACATCACATCTGTAACTTCACAAGAGGAAGGCAGTGAGCTGCTTACCTGATGAGCTTGTGTGAACGGATGGTAGAATGGGGTAGGGGTGGAGTTTAGCAAAGAGAGAAAAACTGTTAAGAGCCAAAAGGGATAGGAAGTTGTGGAGATCCCTGATTGCCGATGTCCTGAAAGGCCATGGCACTTAAAGAGAAAGATTACCATAGAGTATGGAAAAGGTTATTCATTAGCAGTATTTTTAAGATTAAAAAAAAAAAAAAGCTATGGAAACACATACCCTTAATTCCCTTAATAATTTATCCATGGGATTTTCATTTATCACAGCATTATTTTTGATTTTTTTGGCTCTGTCTGCATACCGTAGGGTGGACAAAGTTTCTTCATAATTGATATCTGCTGGGGACAAGGCAGCTATCATTACTGTCCGGCTTAAAAATTAATAAAAGAAAATTATTATTTTTGCTGGTCTGATGATTTTCTTGTATTGACTACCACATTAACCAATTGATACCCACCATAAAATCTGGTATTAATTATTGGTATCTTTCTGTAACTGATCAAAGCCCACCATCCTCAAAATGGAATGGTAGAATTTAATGAGCTAGGAATTTAATGAAAGAATTTAATAAAGTCAATATACAGTGCAAATATGCACATCACTGGTGGTGTTAATACTAGGTTCATTGATTGTGATGTGAGTAGCCATGGTTAAATGCAAAATAAGTAACAGTACTATTTGACAAACAGAATTTACAAAGTTTGCAATAAACAATAACAAGAAAAAGAAAAGAACAGGGCAAAAAATAATATAAAGTAAGAAAACAATATATGCAAGGCAAAGTAATAGTAATATGGCAAAAAGTTCACAAACTAAGAATTGGGGTTGATATACAAAAGCAAGTTTGAACGAGTGAACATAATGTTTTGACTTCAAGACAAGACAGACTGGGACTGAGATGAAACCGAGAACCAACCTGTTTTATTGGCTGGGAAAAATTCTAACATGCATTTGTGTGCTTCTGCCTATAAATTGGGGAGGGGAAAGTGTTTTGCAGTCATTCCAACACAGATTGGAATCAACATTGATATTTTCAGATCTTTTAGCAATATACCATCTTGCTACACGGACCCTGCCATTGCTGATCATATGATAGCTTCCTGCTGGGATGAGAACCATGGTTAACTGTCAGTAGATGGAAAATAAATAATTTCTAAGAAGGCACAATATATACCTACATAACTTGTTTACCCCAAGCTCCAGGGAGCCTGCACCCTCAGGAGGAGGCTGAGTTTATTGCCCTGCGCCTGAGGCATCCCAAAAGGAGTAGAGCTGAGAATGTTTGGGAATTTTCCTATGGTACGACTGATAAACCCACTTTAAAAAAAAAAAAAATCACAACCTTGTGTCATATCTGGTTTCATGTGGGCATGCTGGTAAATACCTATATAACTTGTTATATATATTATTGAGTGTTGATTTTTTCTTTTTTATTATTAAGGTTTCTATTATTTTTAATCTTTTTTACATGTGGAAACATAATAACCTCATCTACATGTAAAAAAAAAAAAAAAATTAAAATAATGGAAGCCTTAATATATTTTTATTACACATACACTAGCCAAATTACCCATGCCTTACTGTGTGTCACATTATTTCTACAAGAAAATGATGATTGATTTTAAATCATTATAATTTGTGGAGAAAAATGATGCATTTAAATATTACTCAATGATTTTGCTGATGTGACCTCCATCTTCTGGCTTTCTCTTATATTTTGGATAGGAGTCATTCCCTTGTTCAAATTTAAATCAAAAGGGAAAAAAAAATTTCAGTGGTGGTTTGTGCAAAAACAGTTTGATCTGATGCCTTTGATATGTATTTGATGCAATACTTACTTGAATGAATTGGTGAGCAGATTTCAACATTGATATGACAATTGTTGCAACAAATATGTATTGTAAGGCACTACCCATTGATTGGGGATTTCTTGCTCAAGTTGATGTCCATATTGTCTCATTATGATCTTGCCCATGTGACCTCCATCTTCTGATTTTCTTCTATATTTTGGATAAGTGTCATTCCCTTGTTCAAATTTAAATTTAATTCATATCACAGGGAAAAAAAAATTTTCATTGGGTGGGAAGGTTGTGACTCCCCTTTGATCAAAATGAATCCTGGGTAATGTAGTTTCAGAATATATATGTTTATGGGGGTCTATCTCCAAAAGCCTAAGAGGAGTTCAATAACAGACAGAGACTACAATTTGTTTGTGTGTGTGTGTGTATATATATATATATATATATATATATATATATATACACACAAATTGTAGTCTCTGTCTGTTTGTTATATATATACAGGGTGACCCAAAAAAACAGGAATTTTTGAAGTGCGTATTGCCAGACATGAGCAAGTGGCAACACTGCGAGACAGTGACCTTGAGCAAGTAAATATTTTGCCATTTAGAATTCAAGATGAAATTCACAGTATCCCAGCTGTGATGTTGCAGCAGTCAATGAGGAATCTTAACAGCAGATTTCAAGAATGCATTCGGACAGGAGGACGCCATCTACAGGACGTAATTTTAAAAAAAATGAAAATTCCATCATTGTTTCTTAAATGGCATGTTTTATGGTTTCAATTACTATGAATAAAATATTTTTCTTTCATCCCTCTTGGTTTTATTGGATTGTTAAAAAGTTCCCGTTTTTTTTGGTCACCCTATATATATATATATATATATATATATATACGCACACATATACACAGAGGGTGTATCAAAATTACTTTTACAAAGTTTGGGGGTGGGTTCCTCACAACAAAACAAGGACAAAAGTCCATATAAACATATGTTCACAAATCCTTTGTTTTTGAGTTATTACATTTAAAGAAAGTTTATGATAGATGGCACTGTTGCCATGTAGACTTGATCCATAGTTTGTGATTCCACAGATCCTGTCTCAGCATTGCAATGAAGCAAAGTTTGGATGACTCGGCTGCCTTCAGTCTACTAATGCAATTTTATACAGCCTTGTAGCCATATGTAAAAATATCTGCCTGCTCATGATATGAATATCCTGCCATTGTTAAATGGAACACTTCTCAGTTAACTCACTACTACACACGTTAAATGTTGAAAAGAGACTAACCACAAATGTACATGAATGACAAATGTAACCTAGTCTACATGCCAACACAGCACCATCTACTGTAAACTATCTTTAAACTTAATATCTCAAAAATCAAGGGTTTTCAGACATATGTTTATATGGATTTCTGTCTTTGGGAGTGAGTTCCTCACACCAAAGCAAAGTTTGTAAAAATATTTTTGATATAGTGTGTGTGTGTGTGTATATATATATATATATATATATATATATATATATATTGACCATTTAAAATCATGATTTTAATTATCAGTCTACATTTGACTCTATAATGGCTCTACATTATGATAATGAAACACTGTTAAAAAAACAAAAAACAATGTAATTGTGTGTGTGTGTGTGTGTGTGTGTGTGTGTCTGTGCAGGTGGTGTAATGGATAGTGGCTTGGAATGAGAAATCAGGGGCTAGAGTTTGAATTTCAGTCTTGTTTGTTACATTCACTTATGTGCAAATACCCTAGGAATGATTCTTTGTTTTTGTTTTTTTTGTTTTGATTTATGGCATATCAACCTCAATAAGTTATTTAATGCCAACAAAATTGTTATTGCTGGTAATATTTTTTTTCAAATGTATTGCTGGAAATTTTTTTTTCTTCAAAAATCTTTCTGTTAATATTTTTTCTTCAAAAATGTATCCCTGGTAATAACTTTTTTTTTTTTTTTTTTACAAAGTATTTCTGGTATTAAACCCTATTTTTACACTTTCATGCTGGTAATAATGTACTCCTGTTAATAATTTCTTTCCTTCAAAAATATATTGCTGGTATTTCTTTTTCTGAAATATATTGCTGGAAATATTTTCTTTCCAACAAGGCATTTCTGGTATCAAACCCTATTTTTACACTTTCATAGTGAGGTTTAACTATTTGCCCATAGCTGGGACCCTAACAGGTGCTACCACCCCTTGTCATGGTGGACCTAGGACCACACTCCTCAAAACCTCCTGATCAGTGGCCTTGATGTTGGACGTAGTTTATCGTCTTATGCAGGATGTGGATGTAGTTTATCATCATACCCAGGACCCTAGGAACAAATTAATCTTCTTTCCCAAATTAAGGTAGTAGAACAGAAAGTGTTCTTTAGCCTTTTTTGGCAACTAGTGTAAGAGAAGGGCAACTTGAAATTTATAACCTAAAGAGTATTGTTTAGGGACCTTGTGAAATACAATGTGCACCAATGCTCTGTATTCAGGTCTACCAAAAAGTGTGAATGGTTCTGCACAAGCCTTCACCACTAAAACCAAATATGTGTGTGGGTAATCTGACTGTTCAGTTTTAGGAGCTGAATTGTCGAATTCTCATATGTTAAAGATGATGTTAGAGTTCATCATGTGTGTGTGTGTGTGTGTGTGTGTACTTCAAAATAATTCATTATGGTAAAATATGTAGCCATTACTCTATGTACTGTTCATAGTTCAAGAAGCCAAACACTTTCAGAATGAAAAATGATTTTTACATACAGCATGTCTCTGCTCCATCATGTTTAGCCCAGAAAACTAATGAAGAAGTGAATGAATTTCAAAGTTACTCATTTGCTCAACCAAATGAAAACTTGTAGAGCATTCTGAAGTGGAAGGATTACATTGGTAGATGGCAATTTAGTAACAAAGGTGAACTTTATTCTGGATTCGGTGCAGTAATTTTTCATTTGAAGAAATACAACAGGTGAGAAGATGAATGACTTTTAAAACTTGTTTTAAAACAAGGAACATATATTTTACATGATTGTTGTTTATAACTTGTCAAAAATAAGGGCAAGTTGAGAACTTTTCACTTTTTAACTAACTTTGCTCACATTCTGTAATTATAATTTTTAATTGCAATATTTCTTGAAATTTCATTAATCTGGCTAATAATTTTAAAGTTGGTAGATATAACATGTTACTTCCTTAAAGATATATTCCATTTTATTTAATCATATTTGTTAGTTCCAATCTACAAGAATGAGTGCTAAAACATCCCCTCCCAAAATTTATAAACAAATCCTACAGATTCATGCTGGGATTTCTTTCTAACCAATAAAAAGGGATGACTTCTCAATCTCATCAGGTATATTTTTTTTTATTCTTCCTTCTTGTCTTGAAGTTAGAATGCTTTAATCACTTGACTGTATCCCTTTTACATGTGAACACAATTCTAACTTTTTACCTTAACTGTTGCTTTGCCTAGTTTTGACTTGCATATATAGTGTTTGTTTAGTACTATTTTGACCTGTTCTTTCTTTTTTATTGTTTATTGGAAACTTTGTTGAAACTTATTTGAAATTTTGTTTGTTGAACATGTTGCCAATTGCACTTAACCAAAGCCAAGTACTCCACAATATTAAAGACCATTTATTTTTCAAATCTGTAGCCAATTTGATTATCAGTATAATGAATACTTGCTTATCGAATAATTGTTTATGTGATCAAACAATTACTGTGATTGTGTATGTTGGGAAAAGGATATGGCATTTGAAAAAAAGAAATTACATTAAAACAACATACAGTGGTTAAGCAAGAGAAGAGACACTTACCTATTGCCCCCCAAAGCATTTTTCAAAAGTTTTGTAAGGACAGAATCTCTGTAGGGTACCAAAACCTTTTTTTTCCCTGAAGCCAGATCAGCAAGTGCCTGAATATTAAAAGAAAATAGAAGTTAATATAGAAAAAAAGATCACATTTTTAAGAAATATTTTGACTTAATATCAAATTTTGATATAGAGAAATGATTATTTGGCTGATCCCCAATGAAGTTGATCCACACTGAACACTCCAGTGTTGTAGATATTTTAGTAAAATTTCAGATATTTGAAATACAAACAATTTGATAACAAGATTTCTTTTGAAAAAAAAAAAAAAAAAAAAGGTATTTTTTTCAACAGGCATTTGGAATGAGCCTGCCGTCTTTATCAAAAACACTATGTTCATTGTTTTAGATATATTTAATATATAAAGCTTGTTTTAAGAAAAATACTTTACATATTTCCTTATTAGCATTAAAAAAGATTTTAGCTGTTTGTTATTTATAAAAGTAAATAGGTTCACCTATTGTCTGGTTTACACTCTTCCCTGGTCTTTTGAACAGGAGTAGAGGTTTATCCCTTGTTTCATGTTTAGGAGTGGGTTTCTGATTCCTTTCTGTCCTCCTAAAATTTGTCCTTTCCTACACTAAGTCTACACAGTAACCCTCTATTTTGAGTGGCTCTTTGGCCTTATATTGGGTGAACATTGGTACCCCAACCCCACAAAAAAAAAAAATAAAATAAAATAAAATAAAAAATAAATATTGTCTCTCAAAATCTCAATGTGTGACTGCTTTATTTATGATTTTGCCAACATATATCATGACAGAGTATATATGGAGTGGGTTATGGCAGGTTGAACACTGAGAGACATTATTTATGTGACAAGTTGAATGCTAAAGACTTTTAAACACAGATTAAGAGTGAAAAACAAATATCACAAAATTATATTTTTATATAACCTATAAAACTGAATTTAACATCAGAATTATCAATCTATTCCTCTTTTGTTCCTCCCCACTTTTATTCTCTTGTTCTTCTACTGAATGTAGTCATTCTTTTCTAAAGCCCTTTGTATCCCATGTCAGCCAACTACTACTCTTTCTTTCCTTTTTTTTTCTCATCTCTCAGGACACAAAGTTTACACAACACTTAGAATAATCCAAGTATGGTTATGTAGAAATATGCACAGCCAATATTCTTATATTTCCAAATACTCCAATAAAGTGATACTAAATTTTAAACAACTACTACTGGAGATTGATATTAGTTAAATAGTTTACAGTATATGGTTGATATTTGAAATATTTAACAGTTGTTGTTCTATGTCAACAACAAAATGTGTGTGTGTGTATATATATATATATATATATATATATATAACGAATTATTACTACACTAAATCTAGTATATCTAATTCAATCATTTATAAGAACTTCTCCACCAACTAACTTGTTGCAGAAAACCAGCATTGTTTATGAATTTACATGTCCTCTGGGAGATTATATCTCCAACAGAAAAAAATAATATTTATGTTGACTACACTATGACCACATTGTCTTGGTGGCTGAGTTTTCATTTGAATGATGCACCCAACATTTCTAAACATTTACAACAGCATACCTGTCCACATTCACAATTCAGAAAAATTCTTGTTGAAAAATACATTGATACTTTTTCATGAAAATAAAGAAACCAAAAATTCTCGAAGCTATATATATTAAAAAATTGAAATCAAACCTTAATAAAATTAATTATGAATACTGCACAAATTTTTTAAAATGTTTACAGTAAATAGTTTAAAATATTGAGATTTGTACAAATAGTTTTAATACTTATTTCTTAAAAAAACAACACCATACTTAGTTACCTCCCCTGAAGCATTATGCAGGCCAATCACAGTACTAAACTCAGTGTTTTTCACTTCACAAGTAAAAAAGTTTTAACTTTCAAATGAACACAGCAACTTTGAAAATGAACACTACAATATTTGTTTTGAAATAAACAACAACTTGATGATATTGGGCTATGTCGAAAGTACTTGGAATAAAATAATATGTATCAACATGGTAATTTTCTTCTTCCTTCAATAATGACACCAAAATGTTTGTGAATATGAAAAGATCCAACTGAAAATTAGTAGACAAAACTTGTCTAAATTATTCAATTAATCACACACACACACACGTGCATATACATACATGTGTGTGTGTGTGTGTGTGTGCATGAAGAAATATAGTTTTAAGGTATGCTATATTTATGGGATAAAGTGCTCAATATATAGAGACAGAGCATATGTAAATATAAAAGTGAATGTTGATGTCAACACCTAGCCTGATGATTGCGTTTAGCATGAAACAGTCTGTAATCTCTGGGTGTTGCATTATATAAGAAATTATAAGAAATGGCAAGGTGAAGAAGTTTTATGTCATCATATTTCACTGCTTAAGGAACTTTATCAAGGCAAGTGTAGAAATTTTATTTAGTAACCTGTGTTTATCCAGAGAAGTAACATGGAGAAACATTAAGTTTAAGCATTCTATTATTGAATTAGAGAATACTCTAAAATATTCTAAAACTTATTCTGTAAAGGAAAGTTAAACTATGGAGGATGTTAAGCTTCAGTCATATCATTTAGTAGCATCTGCCATAGTTTACCTTTTCTTCACATTACTTCTGTGCATAAATACAAGTTACTAAGTAAAATTTCTAAGCTTGTCTTGATAATGTTCAAGGAATAAAACATGTTGGCATAAAAGATTTTCCTCTTGTTTCTTTTATTAATATTGTCTTTATAGACACATTTTATTTATATGTAAATTTTTATACATGCAAATGTGTTTATAAGTAATTTTTTATGACACAATCACTACATTATCATGCTGATTAACTTGCCATTTATTCAATAATAGTTCAATTGCATATCAGCAGCAAAACATGTGAAATCCAACAAATCTTTATTAATGACACAAAAATACAATTTTACATACTGTCAAAATAAATAATTACAAATATTAAATGCATAAAAAAAAATAAATAACCCAACATGAATGAAATGTTATCAAATTTAGGAACAAACATGTTCATTATATTTTATTCACTTTTTGGCAAACTACAGGATGCCTTAATTCTGAATTGGTTAAGCATCTCACATCACAGGGTATTCTTTCAGACAAGCAATATGGCTTTCACTTCTCTGGGTCAACTGCTGATGTACTAATGATTATTGGTGAAAGATTCTATCAAGCTTTAGATAAGACTGTTGAAGCTGTTGCTTTGGACATCTCGAAAGTGTTTGACAAGCTTTTGCATACCAGTCTTCTTCATAAATTGAACTATACAAAACTGTCAAATGCTGTCAATATGTGTGTGTGTGTGTTTTTAGAGAGAAAATAGGAAGGAAGTATTTTTGTATGAAATTTTGATATTGCTAATATTCAATGTTTTTGAATTACTCCAATTCTTTTTTGACAACATCTTGGCCTGTTCATTCTTCAATATTCCAAGGTAAGTAGCAGAATCTATTATAAGTCTTTATTTTTATGGTCTTTGTCATGGATTTTACAAATGCAAGAAAATATTTTTCCTACTTTCTCAATATGAATTTGTCTAATGTAATATCTATTATTAGACTTCTGTTTATCATCAACTTTGTGGGCTGTTATCTATTGTGAGGCTTTTTATTTTGCTCACTAACTCAGTCTGGCTGAAACTTATATTGAGGGACTAGAGAAGGTAATGATTTCTTTGTTCTATTCTTGAAATCAAGGAGAAAGAGAAATTATTTAAAAAAAAAAAAAAAAAAAAAAAAAAAAAAAAAAAAAAAACACGCTTCCTGCATTCGGCTTATACTAGCAGACAAAGCCACAAAAGATAAAAAGAAAGTTTAAGCCAATATATTACAACAGAGTGTTAAGGATAAACTGGAATCTACTTGGAAATTTACCAAAATGCAGCTATCTATCCAATAACTATTTAACGTAGGAATGAACATACAGACTGACTTTATGAACAAACAAAAATTTTATATCAACAATAACCAGCAGAATGTGAAGTGATGAGTAAATGAGTTGAAAATAACATGTTCTTCTATTTGTAATTCATCTTCTGTTCCAATTGTAAAACACAGTTCTCAGACTTAATCATTGAATATAATTCCTTGATTCCCTTGAAAAATTCCATTAAAATTCTCTCATTTTGGGATATTGCATAATAGACAGGTAAGTATTTGTATATAGCAGTATGTATATAGCTGTACCAGAGTACAACTAAAATAATGGATGGACAAAGAAACATTTTTATTCAAATTTTACTAATACTAGAAAACAAAATATATATTAATAACATTTAGCAGTTATTGCCAATCTTCAATCTAAAAATACATAATAAACATGTCATTCAATGTATGCCAAGTTGGATTAGAAAATTCTGTTTTTCCTGATATTAAACCAAAATTCCATGATTACCTGGTTGGCTCTGAACCCAGTAAGAGCATGTTTATAAGCATGTATTATATGCTTGTAAACTTGTGCAGAGACGTGTAAATAGAATAGCATTATTAAGTGTTTTATCATGTTTTCTTATCTAAATGTTAGTCTGTGTAATTGTGTTTAAAGATGAGGATTGAAAGGTTGAAGCTAATACTGCAAATTGTTGAATTTCTTGGGTAAAATTTGAAAGCGTAGTTTGATAATGCCAGTTTGTTTTGACTGACAGAACTTTTGAGAACTTGATTTGTTAAAACTGTCAAGAGAATAGGAATGAAGAAACATTTTTGAGAAAGATTTCAGTTGGAATGATGAGTCAGTGTGTGTGTGAATAATCTTGTAGTTGGCACATTGATTTTGTGACTCAGTTTGGGTCTTCCTTTATGATTTTTAATTTGGTAACCAATTAGCTTTTTTTTCAAAGAAGAACAGAGATTGTGGATTTGTTTAAGTTTTATGGCTAGAATTGAATGTTATACTTTTTTTAAAAAAATATTATTCTCATTTTTGTTATAGACAACATTTTGGCCAAGTGCTCTCTGGCCATCTTCAGGTTTCCAATACTATAGGATATGTGTTAATTATTGTGTTATTCTATTCCTGCTGGTTCCTACTAGACCAGAGTATGTTATTTCACTACCTGATCCTGGAATTGAACTTAGTATTCTGCACTGTTATCTAGTGATCCTGACATCCTTTGAAACTCAATTCTGCACTTGGTGGCTATGAGGTTACCTTTTTGATCAATCCTCTAATGCATTGAACTTTTCTTACATACTGATATGACAGAGTACAAAGTTTACTTTGTATACTGTTCATATTGGGGTCACCCCAGATCAACTCTTCTTAAAAGGTTCCTCACGCTGGCATTGATCAGATATTAAAAATCATTAAAATTGAAAATACTACATCAATAAAAAAGGTCAGTTGTAACAACTATTTCTCAGGTTTTAATTTATGATGAATGTCTAATGGTCTTGACATTTTTATTCTTGTTTTATTTATTATTGATTGTATTTGTCAAATCTGGAAATCCTACAAGTTATAACACTTGTCAGTAGGTAAAAGTATATTTTTAAGTATAGAAAATATTGTAAGGATGCAAAAGGCGATTATCTCCCTTTGGTCAAGATAAAGTCATAAGTGACGAAAGCCAGTTTTAAGTTAGCACTCCTAGAGTCAAGACATGCAAAGAAGACAAACGTGACAAACCCACAGTGCATACCAAGAAAACCACTTGCTCTCACCAGGTACAGAGAAGACACAACTCACCTGCACATTTTTCCCAGTTGGGAAATATTACAAGTAAGACCCTCTCTTTTCACCCCTTTCACACTGCTTGTTGTGCATGCATATATATATATATATATATATATATATATATATATAATAGTTTTTTTGTGTGGTACAAATTTGTGACAAATATATATATATGTAAAATTCTCTTTAAGAACCAAGCATGTTTGTCATTCCTTTTTTTATATATTCTGTTCCATTCGTGTATTAAGGTGTTACTATATCATGTATATAATAATGTCTATAATGGGAAAATGCAACTGAGAATATTCTTTCTTGCATAGCACCTTCCACCATTAACATGAAGTAAATACTGAAGAAAATGTACTACATGTAAAAGTTTATTGATAATTCCAAAATTTATTCAAACTATCTCATTTGTTTGATAAGTTTTACTGTTTTTAGAATATTTCACCTGTTCTATTTCACACTTTTTCTCAGGTGTAAAATCTATGTGGAAAGAAGGTCTTTTTTTTGTTCAATAGTCTTGAAGGAATAGATATAAAGCATCAGATAAAGATAAAAAAAAATCTGTATAAATTAGTCCTTCAGATAAAGGTATAAATCTGGATAGTATGGATTTCATTATTGGCATAGATATTTCTGTTTAATAAGAAAAGGATTAGCAAGCAAGTTTGTGTATAAAATATAGAATCCTTCATCTTACATGTTTTGCTGTGAATGTTGACATAATGGATAGGTTCAACCAGTATTTTGTCACCATTTTCTGTTGTACAGTTTTGATAGATAACTTTTTATGCCATGTCCCTTATAAAAACACACAGACATGTTAGAAAGCATACCCATTTAGGCAGGATATATTCAGAGAGGTTACTGGTGCATTTAAGCATATTTAAAGCAAAGTCTTAGTAAACAAAACATTACTGTATATTAAAAGCAATCTAGCCAGTACAGCAGAACATAAAGCAAGAAATTACAAGGAACATATCCTACGTGATTACAGAAATAAAACAAAATGCTGCTTTTTATAGTTTATTTTTTAATACCATGTATCTTTATAACCAAAGTGATAATGATTTTTCATAGATTCCTTTTCTTTATTATCTACTAGCAGTAGAGCCCGGCGTTGCCCGGGGATATAACAGTAAGACATAGATCAAGTATCCACCATCATAAAGACTGAAAAATAAAATTGACAAAGATTATTGTTTAAGGCTGACGGACACACATGTCTTAATTAGTTTTTTTTTTTTTTACGAATTGGTCAAACCCAAACTCAAACAAAAACATTGTTTTCAATTGTTATGAGTCTACTGATTGAATAGAATTTTATTATAAATAATTGTCTTGTAAATGGAATTTTAAAAACATTCTGAATGTAAAAATAAAGAAAAAAGTGTACAAGACAATAAGAAAGACTACATGCCAAAAAAAATGAAGTTTTGTTGAAATCGGTTGGAAAATGTAGGTAGCCTTTCTGTAATCTTTTAGTTTTACAATTTATGATTTTTACTTATTGAATACAGTAATAAAAATTGCATATTTTGCTTGTGGTGATTCATAATTAGAATTCTGATTTGAATATATTTTCCACTCATTGTTTCTAATACAAAAAATATTAACTTTTTTTGGGTTTATTAATTATGATCTAACAAATCTTATTCATTTAGTAGCCTTTCTGTAATAATAATCTTTTACAATTTATGATTTTTACTTATTGAATACAGTAAAAAATTGGACACCATGTGTATTTAAAGTAGTTTCCCGTTCGGTTATTATTTTTAGTTAGGACTTGTGTATGTTTAGATTTCATTATCTTTCCCTAAAGATAAAGAATTTATCCGATGTTTGTATTCGTACAATCAGTAGAGATCGTTAGATTATTGTTTAAGGTTGACAGACACGCATGTCTTAATTAGTTTTTTTTTATTTTTATTTTTTATGAATTGGTCAAACCCAAACTCAAACAAAAACATTGTTTTCATTCGTTATGAGTCTACTGATTGAATAGAATTTTATTATAAATAATTGTCTTGTAAATGGAATTTTTAAAGCATTCTGAATGTAAAAATAAAGAAAAAAGTGTGCAAGACAATAAGAAAGACTACATGCCAAAAAAAAAAAAAGTGAAGTTTTGTTGAAATCGGTTGAAAAAATGTAGGTAGCCTTTCTGTAATCTTTTAGTTTTATAATTTATGATTTTTACTTATTGAATACAGTAAAAAAAATTGCATATTTTGCTTGTGGTGATTCATAATTAGAATTCTGATTTGAATATATTTTCCACTCGTTTCTAATGCCAAAAAAAAAAAAAAAAAAAAGAAAAAAAAGTGAAGTTTTATCAGCTGAAAAATATAGGAAATCCGCTCCCATAAATTTTAAAGTAACCCCCACACACAAACAACCCGATGTGAGTTGTCCCCCTTCCATTTTCACGATGTCTCTTAATCGTGTTTTCAAATTGATTTTGTGCAAAAACAACTATATTTTTTCGATTTTTGGCGCTGTTAGAACCACCACAAGGTAATTTTATGTAGTCCTGTGAAGTTTTGTTGAAATCATTCGAAAAATGTAGGAAATCCGATCCAATATATAAACGTTACAGACACACACACACACAATCTGCGTTTTATAATAAGTAAGATGAATTGCCATGACTTCTTAGGAAAGATTGTGTAGTGACTTCCCATTGTCTTCTCTATTGTTTTGAATTCAGTTGTCCCCCTTCTAGACTGACAGCAGACCAAGGCTAGAAAGCTTAGGCTTCTTTGTTATTTAACCCACAGTTAGTGAGTCAGAGAGAAGAATGCCTGAATTTGAACTCATCTTGTCAATTCCACTTTCCACACTGATAACTGTTATAGTAACAGATGACACCTGAACAAAAAGATACCTACCTTCTTTCTATATTGAAAAAGCTGTAAAGTTGTGCTAATGAAAAGAATGAGATTAAAAGCCCACACAACTCTTGCAATGATAATGGCTCATCTCAAAATTAGTGAAGGTGTCTTTTATAACATTTAATATTTCTGACAGTCATATTTTACTAGATGTTATTTATCATTGGAAAGAGAAAAAACAAAATATTTTCCAAAAGATTTGAACCAACAAAAAATAAGTCATTTTTTTTAAAAACTTACCGATATGACATTACCAAGAGCTGAAAGAGACTTATTGATGTTAGCCCCTTCACGCAGTCTGTCTCCTGTGGCTCCTGTGCTGTCAACACGTTCAGATCCTTTTCAAAAAAAAAAAAAAAAAAAAAATATTAGAAAATAACATTATAGTAGTACTACATCAGATTTTATTATATAAGTCAATGCTTTCACAATAAAATAGGTATAAATCAATGTTTGTAAACTTTTCAAGATATACTATTTTAACACATGAATACCTACCTTCCAAAAAAAAAAAAAAAAAAAAAAAAAAAATCTGGTATTAATTACCTTATTTACTTATGTTAAGGATGCACCCAAAGTTTAAAGTATAGATTTTTGAGAAAAAAGAATAAACATGAAAATAAAGTTGCAGCACTTTCCCATACCTTACCAAGATGCTTTGTGGGTGGTTTAGCAACATATTAATCATCTTGACCCCTTGTGAACTGGATTTTATCATTTTATCCTTACAGATTGACGTAAGTTTACTCTTTTAGGCATAAAGAAATACTGAGTGGGATTTGTATCCACAGTAGAGTAGCATCAAATACAAATGATAGTCTAGTTCCACAATTCATTGTTGTTCTCCCCAGGAGTGTTTTTACATTCACTGAACTATTGACTCAAGGCTCCTTATGTGTCCGGAGGGGAAAATATTTTAATTGGCTTTAGTTTTTTTTTTTTTTTTTTTTTAAATTTTACCCATAGGGTGGAATATACGAAAATTAAAAATAAAATAAAGCTTTATTTTAATTGGAAACAATAAAAAAACTTTACTTATGTAAATTTTTAAAAAATATTTTCAAACTAAGATATTCATCGAGATAGAGTGGTGCTCATGCTGTCCAAGACTTTTTTTTGGTGGGGGAAGGGAGATTTCCAACTAAACGAACTTACAGGGTTACAAATTAGGTTAGAACAATTAGAACACAAATAAATATGTTAGATTAGTCAAACAGACAGAGGGAAGAAAAAAAAAAAGAAGAGAGACAGAGACAGAATGAGCTTTGGGTAAATTTTGGTAGAGCGAATTCTATTCACTTATGGCAACAAGTGTCTGCTTTCATTCTCATGGTCAGTTAGTGAAAGTTCCAGCTGGCTTTATCACCAAGGCTTTGTTTCAATGAACGCAGAGCTGGGAGGGGGGGGTTGAACGGGCATTCACCCCCACCACCAGCAATGGGCTTGGGGGACTTGCTTTCAATACAATTATAAAACAACAGGAAGAAATATACGGCTAAACAATTCCACGCTGGTCTATTTTATCTCGCAAGATATTCGGCCCACTAGAACATAAGAATACTGACGACATACATTTGCATGCTGTCCAAGACTTTTTTTTGCAGAAGGGAGATTTCCAACTAAACGAACTTACAGGGTTACAAATTAGGTTAGAATAATTAGAACACAAATAAATGTATTAGATTTGTCAAACAGACAGTGGGAGGAAAAACAAAACAAAAATACAGACTAGATAGGTTGGCAAATACAGAGAGACAGAGACAGAGTGAGCACCCTTTGGGTAAATTTCAGTACTCACTTATGGCAGCAAGTGTTCATATTCGTCCAACTACTGGTCTGTTGGCTCTCCTACCCTAGTCTACCATGGGAACATTCTGTATATATATCTTATTCTTTGTTCATTTTCTGCCTTAAATGGTGTATAATTTATAAATTTAAGAGATCACATACAGGAATTCAGTTTACCATCTGGCATAGATAACCTTCTTCTGGGGTTAGCATAGGCCTATGAAAACCCTAACCATCCACCTCAAGGATATACAGCAAATTTTTGAGACTTATTTCAGGTAAAAAAAATACTGTCCTTGATGCCAGCAAATACAGTACAAAAAATTAGAATAAAAATTTAGTATTAATTATGAGTGACTAAAAAATCCAATATTACTTATAGGTTTCTACTTTTGACTCATCAATGCTCACCATCCCAAAAATGGAAAGTTCTCTGGAGTCTTGATTTCAATCCCTGCATTTGGCAGTGCATGAGTAAATCAGCTCAATGAATAAATTGGTAGAAAAAATGAGTTTTAGGTTCAAATCTCTAGAAAAGACAGGGGAGATGAAAAATATTGAGAGAGTAATTGAGAACACAATGTATGTCCACCTGACAAAATAAAGTTGTAGTCACACAAAAATAGTAGCAGCTCAGACTTTCCCACCAAAAAGTCTTGTGAGTTCACCAAAAACAGTTAGTTGGAGACATGACAATTTTCAAATAACACGTGTAAAATCTAAATTGACTTTACTCTTATGTAGTGAGCTACAAAATCGGATTAGAGTAGCGAGGAAGAAATAAATACAACAGCATCATAATTGTAAGTACATTCAGGACGAGAATTCAGTGGAACAAGACAAGTTGGAAACTTTTTTTTTAAATTGATGTTGATCCCTTTGCTAGTTATTTTAAAGAAACGTTTCTCTCACACCCTATTCTTTGCATTTTCTTGTTTGAGATACATTCTTGGGTGTAGGGTTAAAATTAACCCAACAAAAGGTTTGATTCAAGTTGTCTAAAGCTACCAAACACATCATATATTTATAGATGGGTAGTTAATGCAGAAAAGACTTGTACAGCAATAGGATCATTTTTTTTTTTTTTTGAAAATTCAGAAATTAAATTATCAAAGATCATAATTTTAGCTCATCTGTTCTCTTCTCCAAAATATACTCTGAATAGTTCATTTTAAGTCATTATAACTACTCAAAGCTGATGATAGATTATTGGTTCAGATTTTTCATAAATGTCTGCCATTTTTTCATTAAAAAAAAAAAAAAAAAAATGAAGGCAAATTAGCAGTCCTGAAAAAGTTGTTAATACTGATGAAATATTAATTACCGCAGCCAAATATAATAGAGGATGGATGGACATTTGACGAACAACAAATTTTTTGAGGAATTGAAAAATTCTGAAGAATTACTTCATTGAGCTTCTTTCTGGTATGTCTCAAATGACTCTCAAAGAAATAATTGATAGTGCTATCCATTTAGGATCGACCATAAGTGATGGTTGATCAGCTTTCAGTAGACTTGACTAATTAGATTATGATCACAAAGGGATTATGCATGAAAACGTACCAGATGATCCATCTGCACAGAAGGAATTACAAACAGCTTTATTTCAAAGAGTTTTAAGAGGGAAAGGAACATTTAGAACGCCCATCAATGGCAATATGTTTGTGAGGATATATTCAATAACAAATTCAGATATATTTGATAATTTGTTCACAAATTATAAACAAAATGTACAAATTTATAATTTTGTACAAGTGTGTTTGGCTCCTATTCTAGGCCCTTGCTAGTATTTTCAATCTTAAATAAAAATAAACAAAAAAACAAAAAACAAATTCGTAGGTTGTAAGATAAATTGTGATATGTGAGAATTGAAATTATGGTATGTACTTTAATTAGTAAGCCACACAGACACAGACACACACGCGCGCGTGTGTGTGTGTGTGTGTACTTTTACTTGTCCTAAAAATAAATATTGCTTTAATAGTTACCTGCAAGATCTACTAGATTAATTACACTAGATTTTCGTGTTTTCTGTTGTGATGACTTTAAAATCTGGTCAAAAACAATTGTCACTACAGTGTGGGCCCTGGAGCTGGTGGCATTCATGTTAGTTGAGGCTACTGTGCGATTGGCTGTTCCTGTCAAAGAAAATAAGAGAGAAACACATTAAAAAAAAGCAAAAAAACTTCAATCATTTCAAGTTATTTTATTCTACATTAAAATTAGTGAAACCTTACAAGTTTATACTGAGGAAGAGACTTTTTTTGTTACTAGTTTTTCACCTCTCAAAGGATGGAAGTTTAGGGATGCATTGTACAGTAACAAAGCACACTTGCACTGCATCCTTTTAAAAAATACTTTTCTTTTGCTACTTTTTGATGAATTTTAATGTTTGACTTCCTGTGGGATATTTCATCACTTCCTGCAACTTGTTATATGAAAGAAGCACAGGTTCTGATCTAAAAACTGTTGATATGTGTATATCTGTTTTAAGCATCATCTTCAGGTTTCATTGACTTCACAAAGCAGCCAAACATAAAACAAAAATATCCAGTAACCAAAATTTGAAATTCTTTATGGTTTTCCATTCATGAGGCAATTCCATTCCATTGATGTAAGCAAGCATAATTCAGATTTGTAATCACTGTAAGCAGCTCCTTTTTGGTTGTAGTTAGTAGGCAAAGTTTAATAAGTAAAATAAAAGTAGTTCTTAAATCCCCTGAAAAGTATCATCATATCTTTGTAACACCTCATTAACATTAATGCCAGTATTCTGAAGGAGAGATCAATCAACTAACTTTGTTTCTAAAGTCAGATACTTGGATAAGTGAAACAAAAGATCAAAGATACAGTACAAAAGCAAAGAATGATCCTACACACACTCACTGCACTCCTTGACCATTTAATGACCTCAACATAAACCCAGGAAAAGAGGGCTTTGAGGTCAGTTCTCTCTACCCTTTCTCCAGAAAGTGAGACTGGCTGATCCACTCTTCTAATTACTAAAGAACTAATCAGGATGACTGCCTGCTACAAAGGAGGAGGAACTCCACTCGCTGTCCCAACATACTGTAAGCTACCAACTGTCTCACAAGGATACAAATTATATTTGTATACAAAAGAAGATAAACCTTCTGAAACTATGCTGACTCGGTGTTCATTCATTTTGAATATAAAAATTAACATTTTGTGCCAACCCCCACATAATAAAGAGAAAAGTACAGAACTTTTTTTACCATGTACTTTGAGCTTTTGTTATATTTCCATTTAAACATTTGCTACAGTTAATACATGACCCATATGTCATAACAAGTAACTGAGAGTGCACAGTATTTTAAGGTTTGTTAATTGGAATTCCACGAGCCAGGAAAGAAAAAGAAGTGAGTCAATGGAAAAAAAATTCTCCAGAAGGAACATCTTCAGGGAATTCATGAAAAAAATGAGAGAGTGAACACCAAGATTAATGATTGTTTTCTTTCTGACAGAACAGAAGACTCTAAAACTGACTCTAGTCAGGAATGAAGGTAAGTGTTACTGATAGAATAATAATAATGATGAGATTAACCATTTCCTTACAAGGAAACATTCAGCATTCATTGACCAAACAGTGAAACTGTTGGCTGACATTTATAAAATATTTGTCCCAAAAGAGTTTTTCAGGAAAAAAAGGTTTCTCAAGCCCACTGTTATCACTATCTAGTATTGAGGGGGGTTTCCTTCCTAACCTTTTGTTTAAGGAGGTGTGGAAAGTCAGCATTTTGATTGTTATTATTTTCTCTTCTAGTTACATGTGCTATCCATTTTAGTTGTTGCTGTCATTGGAAGTCTTCAAATAATGTGTTTTCTTTTTTTTGGTAAAGATCTGCTCTGAGATGATCATAAAAATTCTTTATTTTATAAATTTATTATTCATTATTCTACTACATTTATTTTTTTCAGACTAATATCCTCATTATTTATAAGATCTTGCTTGATCTTGTCAAAGTTGACAATGAAAGTAATAACTTTTGGATTTTACTGCCTGGGGAGATAAGAAGGAAGGAGAGAGTTTTGCCTAATTTACTCTTTCTTTTGTTTATTAACTATTGTGGCATATCAGTAATGAGAGATTTTAAGATATCTAATAATGGAACAAACAAAATTAAAACATTTTCTGCTTGTGTCTTCATCATTGTTTTTAATCATGCTATTTCAGTTCTCTTGTTATTTGACCTTTCTCAGACATATATTCTATTCAATGATTTAAAAAGTCATTTTGTACTTTCTCTTTTTACACAGCAGCAATAGCATCATAAATTTATAAAACTGTCAAAGCTTCATGCTTGTGATTTCCAAAGGTCACCAAATGCAACAGGCATGAAGGCTCAAGAGTGTATTGGCTGAAATGTGATAAAAATAAGGATAAAGACATGACTTTGAAGTCATCTGGAATTATGAAAATACATCATCTTAAACCATAGTTAAAGTTTTAGGACAGTGCAGCTAAGTCTATATCTTCTGTAAATGTTACAAGTAATATTTTTACCATATCAAAAGGGTGCCTAGTTAACTTTACTTCCCCTCCTAATTAGCATACACCATGCTTGGTCTGTAATATGATCTTCAACAGCCAATCAGTGTGAAGTCTATTTGATAGAGGACAAAGTTTTTTTTTGCAAAGATACTGTGAAGAGATAACATTTCCCAAACACTTGTAATGTGACATGCTGGATTTGTAATATTAAACAGCTTTTCTTTTCAGGGTCAGAACAACAAAAAAAAAACAAACTTGTAACAAATTTCTACATTTTGTTAGTATGTTCTCTTTGTATAAAATAGTTCATTTACATTATTTCAACTTCTCCTGGGACATTGTTGAATTTTTTGGTTTTACAAGGTTTGACTACGGCAGGTATTATTAAGAGAACCCATATTTGACATCCCCAACAAGGAGACAGTGTCTTTTTTTTTTAATAACTTTCTTTTTACTGAGCTTTTATATGTTAACTCCTTTCATTCTTTGCTAAACCCTAAAAAAATACACTTTCTGGCTTTATAGCGGTATAAAAATATTTCATTTGTACTTACCTTGTTCCATTCTTCTCTGAATGTCATTGTAGCTGCCAACTGGAATCATTTGTAAACCCTCAACAAAGAACATTCCCATCTTAGGATTTTGTCTCACCTGTAAACCTCCCTTTGGGTTCTCCTTTGTCAGCAGGTCACGTACCTGTTCATTGTATATCTCCATCATGGAGAATGACACTTCATAACTCTATATAAAAGAAAACAAATAAAGAAATAAGTACTGCATTTTCTTGTGCATAATACAAGTAATTTTGAATGAAATTTAAAAGCAAAAACGGGTGGACATCGTATTATACAAAAGTACACATTCTCAGAAATGTTTCCTCAGCTTGAATAACCTCTTAAATTGAAAATTTGAAGATTACAAATAAATTCAGTTAACACAGTGATTCTCAACTGCTATGCCATTCTCTTAGGTGTGCCACAAAATATTGTCACAGTATACATGTGTGTGTGTGTGTGGGGGGGGGTGCAAGTAGTAATGCTAATCATTAGTATTCGAATAAATGAATAAGTATGAAGAAATGTGAAGAAGAATTGGCCACCATTTCTAAAACATTCAGTGATACCCATTGATACAGTTTGAACATTAATACAAAAGGAATATCCCACATTAGCTAAAAAGGATTTATAAAGTTTTATTGCAATTTTCTACTTCTTATTTATGCAAATTAGGATTCTCAAACCTAAATAATATCAAAAATAAGAAGGGAGAAAAACTATGCTCAACTGAAGAAGAAATGAGGGACTGCTTATTGTACATTCAACCAAACATTGAAGAAATTGAAATAAAACATCAGACACAGGTTTCACACCACATAAACTGCACAAATATTTGAATAGAAACATTCAAGTAAGCTTATATTTGTTCCTTTTTTTAAATCTATGGTTTCATTTCATAGCATTTAAAAATTTTTCTAAGAGTGCTGTGATATTTTCATTTGCTCTTAGGTGTGCCATTGCTTAAAAAGGTTGAGAAACACTGAGTTAGCACAATGGATAATAAAACACTAAGTTGGTAGGTAGGTGTTAATAATTGTTTACAATAGGTATTTGATATTTATACTACTTACATCATTTGGACTATTGTCCTCATCTTTATCGTCATATTCACAACATTTCGGCTCTGACCTTCTTCAGGTGAAATATATTGGAATTTCCAACTAAACCCTTTATTTAGTCCATGGGGGTAGATTGTTTTAGTTTCAGGTGCTATGCCTTTTCTAGATATTTCAGTTTCAGTTAATTCCCTTTAATAACTAGACTCTCCAAGTTTTTTTGTTCACCTCTGGTGTCATCAGGTATTGAACTCCTAACTCTTTGGATCAAATCACTGGATTACTTCAAGCAATGCTTTTATCCACTGTTGTCCAAACAATGTAAATAGTGTAAATAGTTACAATACCTCATCCCAATAATATAGACAGAAGTATTTGATATATCAGCAATATTTGTTTCTCTCTTCATTCATAATGAAAAACTATTTCTTTTTTATTTTCATAGTTTATTAATATATAGAAATATCAAAGTTATATCAATCAGAAAAATGATAGATTAATTAACACCTTCAAACATTACTGAGTATGTCTAGTTAGCACCTGTCCCCCAAAATTTGAAAATAAGTTTTGAAATAGAAATTAGAAGAAACATGCAATAGGGAAACATCCACTTCATTTCTATTCTTTAATATCATGAAAAATTAAATAATTTAGTTAAAATATATGTATGACATTGAGATTTTAATGGATAACATGGTATATCTTAAAGAAAGAAAATTTACAGAGATATGGCAGTATTACAGGTTCCTGTCATAGACATGGATGTAAGTTATTCCCGGTTTTTAGTTTCAGAAACATATGGTTGTATTATACTAAAGTCATATTATATACAAGAAAATACTGTAAATTCAAATTAAAAGTAGCAGAAATATGTAACATTTCCTTTAAATGAGAATGCATAACTTTCTTGTGTTCTTGATGTTGTCACTACAAATGTTATGAAACATTGTCTAATCAAAGCATAAGAGTGGATCTCTCATACATAAAATTAGATTTTATTTAACTCTGGACTTCAATAACTGTAGGCTAAGTGTTTGCATATGTCATCATCTGAATGCAGACCTTACATTCTTGTCTATGATGGCTGGGTCAATGTTTATATATTTATCTGTCAAACAGTTTTTCTCACATACCAGGTGCAGCTGGGCTGATCACATGGATCTGCATTTGGCACCCAGGGTTAGACACGTACTATACAAAAGAGGAGTTCAAATTTCTGAACAGAATTTGACTATTAATGATGTCTTAAAATTATAATCAATACATAGGTAGCAGTTTATGTAACCCAGTACATCACAGGTAGGACTGATTAAAAAAAAAAAATAAATCAGTAAACAGTTAAATTCTAGAGATCATTTCTGCCTGAATTTCTGGGATGAGGAGGAGTCATTATTTATATCAACTTTGTTGTTATTATCACAATGTTTCAGCAGTTGTACTCTCCAAACATCATCATCAGGCATATGTTGATCTGGGTAACCTAGAGTGAATTTTGAACCGATTCTGTGTGTAGAACTTGAAGCTTTAAACCTAACTTGCCTGCTGCTTGTCATGCTTGACTGCACTCACCTGAACTTTCTCTATTGTTACAGCTGCTGCTGTTGAAGACCTGCTGTAATCTGTTTTTCTTACTTTATTAGTGACTGATATCATATTTATTTCTATACTAAGTCAACTCAAGATCATCTAGTGGCACAGTATATTCTGGTAACAGGTAAGAAAACATAATGAAATCTATTTAGCACTGTTTGGATTTATTCAGTGTTGGAGCCTTGATAAAAAAGAGAAAAGGTTTTTCAGCCAATGAAAGGCTTTAAAAACAAATAAAAACACTTATCTCAGCCACTATTATGAAAGCTGATTTTTAAAAGAAAAATACTTAGCTAAGCAAAGTTATCCAACAGATATGCTGTTTTGTCCAAGTTTAGGTGCTCTTCTGGTAAAGAGAAACCTGATATCAAAGGAAACAGCTTTAAATCATAGTTATTAATAGTAAGAAAGAACTTTTTCAATTTGACTTTTTATTTGTATTATTTTCAATTCAACCTATTGTTACACCCCACTTCAAATTAGATCTTTTTCTGATTCACTTTACATGTCAGCTGGATATGAATGCTAAGAAAGCAAAACCAAAAATAAAAAAGTCATCCTCTGTGCAGGGGGGTACAAACATCACATTTGGCCCACAAAAAAAAAAAAAAAAAAAAAAAAAAAAATTAGGGCTAACATGAAAGTAGCCAATCATGAACTTTGCTGCCAAAGGAAAAACATGAAAAAAGATGAGTGAGAGCCACCACATTTGCTTTAAGAAAGCCACCCATAAACATCAGAGTAAGATTTGCGGCGAACATCAAGCTTCAATAATACACACCAGGCCTCTCTTGATGTTACCACCATGACCTTGGTCAACTGACCTGACAAACATATCAACACCAGGCCTTACCAACTCTACCCTTCCTTCAAACCTGCCTCTCTCATCTACATTTAGAGACATTTCCATTCTCAATACAAAAGAATTTTATATTTACAATTCTTGTCTTCTTTTCACCTCATGAGTGATACTGTTGTTTCATTTATTCTTCCATGCACCATAAATGTGATTATAACACTCTTTTGAAATGTATGTTTAAGCTTACAAGTCAGATTAATACACAAATATACCTTTTACCTTACCCATGTGTCTTTGGTTGTAAAATATCTTTCTTCTTGGTAAGGATTATTTGCATATTAAGAATAGTAAAGGATTATTTGCTTGTGTGCACACAACTTGAACATGTTTCTCAGCCAGTACCCTTTTTTCATATATTTTTATCTCCCACTGTGGTAAGTCAAGATAGTGCTAGTTTTATCATCATTAAACTGAATGTAACCAACTTGATGTCACTTTTGTGGTAATCCATGCCTTCCATTTCCACTCCAGCAACATGCTACTGGAATACTGAACTTTGGTAGATCAGTTTTCTGCCCAGCTTTTACTTCTCCTTAGTGGCTTGCAAGAAATAAGTTTCAAGATATTTGTATACTCTTGGAAGTAAGTCATCAAAAGATATTTTTCTAACATGACAAATAGTTCAACTTCATGTAAACTTTACAAAGAAATGTCCGAGTTTGTTATATTACCTATATATGCTTATTATATTGCTTTGTGTATTTGTTACATTGCCTTGTGTATGCATTATTCTTAATATCACCTTACATTTTTTTTCCTTTTTGGTTTTAACCTTTTACCTTTACTAATAAATCTGTTGACTATATGCAGATATTCAGTATGATTAATGGCATAAGTTTGTTTATTCTAAATCTCAGTATTTATGCATGAGTTAAAACCAAACATTACTCTTGTTACACAGGATCATCAATTTGTAGTGTCATATTAATGCAGATAAAGTTATGAGTTTTTGACTACCTATTACATAAATAAAACTGAATCAGAAGTTTATCTTTAAAAAATACAAGATAAAATATAATGAGATAATTAAAATTTTAAAACAAATTCTTTCCTTCCATTATGGCACATAAGTTTAGCAATAAACAATTGATTTTTCTTTTGATAAACTTTTCTATTTAATCATACAATAGCTTTTCTGATACATTTGTGATTCTGGAATAGTCAGGAATGAAGGTGCGGTGCTGTCACAAGTGGTATAAGATCCAAGATGGTGTTGGTTTATATAGCAGCAGGAAATTTCAATGACACTTGGCCATTAGAATAAAAAATATCTCCCATTAAAATCTCTCCAAGAAGGATCATGCAGGATGATTTTCTAGGCTACTAAAAATAAGTGGGGAAGTCTCTGATTGGTCAGAAATTGAAATTGTATTTACTTTTATTTATTCTTGCATTGTGCATCAATCCTTAAGTGCAGAGACCAATATTTTGTCAGTTTGATTTCTGTATTTAAGTTATCTTCTTCTATGTCCCTTCAGAATGTAGGAAATCATGGCTCTCCACAACTTCTAATCCTTTGTAACTCTTAGCAATGTTTGTCTTTTTACTATCTCATACATTCTGTATTTCCTGTTTTTCTTGTCTTCAAAATATCCTGTGAGTCCCAAATTTTCCAAACTTTCTGTTGGTTTCAATTCAAATAGGAATGACTGCAAGATACTTTCCTCTTCCCAATTTATAGACAGAAGCACACAGATGCATGCTGGGATTTCTTTCTAGCTAATAAGATAGTCACAGTTTGTCTTGAAGTCAGAATGCTATGTTTGATTGTCTGACCTTGCTCTTGTGTGTCAATCCCAGTTCTTAGTTTGTGAACTTTTTGCCTTAATACTGTTAATTTGCCTTGCATATATTGTTTGCTTGCTTTATATTATTTTTTTCCCTGTTCTTTCTTTTTCTTGTTGCAAACTTTGTCAATTTTGTTTGTTGGACAATTCTATCATTTATCATAGCCTATGAAAATTGTTTTTCACTTTTAGTATTCAATTTCTTTCTATCTTGTATGTAGGTATAACAAATTGTGCCAAATATATACATATTGACAAGGTTAGGTTGGCAATCTGTGAACATTTCAAAGGTAGTTTTTCCTCATTATATGTCCCAGTAATTTCAACTGTCTCTTCCTGATTCTAAGTATAAGTGACCTTTTTGTTTTCATAAAACTTCCTGGTTTGACATACTCCATAGGCATAAATGAAATACAATTGATTTTATTATAGAAATAATTTGCAAATGGGAAGCTCTTGGTAAAAATGTGACAATGTCAGTGTTTAGATTGAAGAATCGAGAACCTTGAACAAAGTCACATATTTATGGTAGAACCTAACAAAAATGTCCCAGTTCCCTCCAGTCACTAGGTTAGAATTAATTTTTGGCATTCTGTTATGTATGACTGGAACCTAAAGAAAGCAGTTGCATGTTTTGGGCTTGTACTCACTAGATTTGGATCCTCATTATTGTTTACTCTTTTGAACAGCTCATCACAAGCAATTGGGACGATTCCTCTGAAGAAGGAAAGAAACATTTTAATTTGATAAACAGGCCACTTAGAAAAGGTTAAAAAATAAAAAGATGTTTATAAAAACTTATCACGTAAGTGTCATTATTATTTGTATAGTCTTTTCTTCCTTTTATTGTTGCTTTTTATCACAACTTTCTATGTTGAATACTCCTCCATCCATGCTTGAAAATTTAAGATAAACATTTATTCAGTTAATGAATTGGAACAAAAGTTGCATATTTACTAATATGTATCTGTTTGTTCATACATTATCTCCCAAAATTATCAATGAATTTCAATGATAATTTTTGAAAGGGCGAACTGTAAGCAAAGAAAAAATTGATCAAATTTAAGTGAATTTTGTTAATATTGCAGGAGAGGATAATTTTTCAGTTGTTTGGATGTAATAACGTCACCATAGTGATATATTAAATTAAAGTGAAGTGTAATAACAGCAATAATGGTATCACAGTGATTATAAGATTTATTATAAATAGTCATTACAAGCTTTAACTAAAGCAATGTCAGGATCTGTAATCTGGTTGTCTTGTTTTTTAGTGACAATGCTGTGGACAGGGATATGCATTCTCTAAGTGTTTGCCAGTTTAGATTCATGAACTTTTTTTTCCAATATTCTTTAACCAATATTTTTTGCTCGCTTTCTTTATATTTTATAGATTATGCAAAAACCTAGAGAAACTTTCACAGCAGACCTTTACTGTCAACTATTTAGTGTATTAAGGGTAATTTATGCCAGAGTTGTGCTGCTTTAATGAATAAAAATGGTGTCATCCCTCTGCATGATAATGCAAAGCCTCATTTAATAAAACAAAGCTTAGAGAAAAAAAAGCAAGGAGGCTGGGAAGTTTTACCTCATCTTTTTTTATTTAACAAACCTTGTATCTTTGAATTATCATTTGTTTAAATCAATAGAACATTTTCTTAGTGCTAGAATATTAAAAAAATTAGGAAGACATCCAATTCAGGTCTTTTTTTTTTTTTTAATGAAAAAAAAATAATAAAAAATATACAGAATTTTATCTATAGAAGAAAAAGAAATATTGCCTTTATTTTGGGTTACTTTTATTGTTTATAATAAGCGTCAGATCTACATTTTTTGGGCCCTGAAGCCTGGACAAATATGAGGGCTCCTTGGCAACCAGTAACAATAGATTCTAGAAAGATAAATGAACCCATATAGTTATACTGCAACTGAAAATCTGAAATTTGACCAATTATAGGGGAATTTCGTGGCTTTATGAAATATGTATTAGAGCATATACTAAGGCCAACATTAGCTACTTCAACCCATTGGCTTATGATTCTATCACTAAAATGGTCTTATTTAAATATAAAGCATTTACAAAAATAAAAGAAAAAAACAAAACAAAAATTATTAGTTTTGTTGAAACATTTACTCATTAAAAAAGTTGCTTCAGTGGTCACTCTGAGTTTAGGAAACTTGAAGCTTAAGCTTCATTAGCTTCATAGTAGATTGCAACTGTTTATGAAATTGTTTATCTTGTTGAATAAAATTTAACTTAATTACATTTCCATGTGTCTTAATATTTTCCTTGAAATTACAATATTGGTTTGGTTTGGTTTACAGCATATCAACCTCAATGGGTTATTTAATGCTGACAATTTTTATTGCTGGTAATATGTTTTTCTTCAAAAATCTATTTCTGGAAATATTTTTCCTTGAAGAAATCTATAGCTGGTAATATTTTTTTTTCAAAGAATGTGTAGCTGTTTGTATTGCTAGTACTTATTTTTTTTAAAGTATTGCTGATAATAATTTTTCCTTCAAATTATTGCAGGTAATATTTTTTTTTTTTACAAAGTATTTCTGGTATTAAAACTTATGTTTTTTTTGTTTTTTTTTTACACAAGTTTGGGTGTCAACTATTTGCCCATAGCTGGGACCCTAACTGGTGCTACCACCCTGGGTCAGGGTGGACCTGGGAATGCCAGCAATTAAGAGGTGGTTACACACTCCTCAAAACCTCCTGATCAGAGGCCTTGCTGTTGAACGTAGTTTATCATCTTACCCAGGACACAGATGTAGTTTATTGTCATATCCAGGATGGTTGAAATTATATTACTTTTCAAACAATTTAAAAACATCTGTCTATATTGGTATCAATAGAAAACATTAAGATTGAAATGTAAAATGGAGGAATTGATAGGTAGGCAAAAATAAAGGGTACATTTCTAAATAAAGAAAACTATTTGTGTACCCACAATTATGTTTTCAATTTTGTTACTGGTGTTTTTATGCAAACTTTGTCTTTGGGAAAGTCAGTCGTCTTCACTTTAATCTTCTTACTTGGATATATAAAACAAACAAAAAAAAAACAAAACAAAAAGCAAACAATGTTTTCTAATTACAATGATAGCTCTGTATAATGAGGAAGTCTGTGGGTATAGGTGTATTGATTAGTTACTGAGTGTTTGTATTTGTCAGCATCCACCCTGTTTGGTCTGTATTCATAGGTAACTAAACAAACACTGACCAGCAGATATAAATATGAGAGAAAGAAAGAAAAGGTTTGACAGATTTACTTAATGCCTAAAGATTAGGGAATTAAGAGAGTGGGTTGCTTCTCTGCTCGTTGGTTGTTGGGTTTATTGAATGCACTGATTGGATGGTAGTAAAGAGAATGTAAGACTTGTAAGTTAACAACCAATCAAAAAGAAGGTCAGATTAAATATATATATATATATATATCACATGCACAAAGATCATTCTGAAAGTAATGTGGGGAAATACACTGGCCTTTTGTATAGGATAGGAAAGGCACGTTCCTGTTGGAAGCTGGACAAACCATCACATTTGACTATTATATCATGATGCTGACTAAGGCTTGAATTTCCAGATTCAGGTCAATAAAGAAAACAATATTTCACTTATAGCATGATAACACTGTCTGAATTTGGTACATTTGAAATTTCATTTGTTTGGGATGACAGATGGACTATGTGGACATCATTTTCCCAACATTGATAAAATCATTGTGGCTGTGATAGTGGAATAATAGCATTTTATAGCTGAAAACTTGTTCTAATCAATTTTGTTATTGAACTCCCTATGCCCATTACATAGAAATTAAATACTTTTGGAGCATATAATTTTTTCTACAAATTGTTTTTCTTATTACTATAAATGTTATATTTAGTGGGTACACATGTTTGAGTAGACAACTATTCTTTTTAAACAGAGAAATTAATGTCTGTTGGCCTAGATATTGATATGCTTCCAGTGAGAATTGAACGTATTCCCTTTCGCCATCAGTAAAACTTCTACTTAAACACATGTACCTACTAAATATAATGTGAATAGTAAATAGAAATATTGTTAGATTAAAAATATCCATATATCTTTATGCAAGCTTCATCAGATATCAGAGTAGAAATGATAAATAAAAAGCAAAGAGACACAGATTAATGGTATCTTGTGTTTGGCTATTTCTTATTGGTTGGATATGTGTCGTGTAATGAAGTAACAAGATAATATTCAAATATGTGTGAGTAACATTCTGGATGCTCAAGTGTGCAAAATTTAGTGAGAAGCAGCAGGATGTTTTGAAAAATTTTGTTTTGGTTTGATTTTTCATTAAAGCTCATCTGCCTATTTGATATATATCTTCATTGATTTTTATGCATTAGAAAGAGATAAGTTAGATTCATGAATAATGGCTCTGTAGAAAAATGATGAAGTAATATAGTTTTTTTTTTTAAATGTGTGTTGATAGTTGGTAATATTGTTATAAATATGTTTTCATAATATTTTCTCTTTAAAGGGTTATGTCTTTTTTTAATAAGGCTGGCATTGATGAAATTAAAGTTATGTCCCACATTGTTGTGGTTTAAGATGAGACAATTTGAATATCTAATTGCAAGTCTGTTTTGTGTTTCTGGATGCAGATTTTTAGATCACATGATATATATAAATTTAAAGCAATTTCTAAAGTAATGGAATTTTATTTATTAATCTGACATTTTATCACTTTATACATTATTTTTAGTGGATACTCATATTTGAGTAGACATTCCATTTAATTTTAAACTGTATATTTAATTTATTTTCACCTACCAGCCTGAATATCTGAGAAATTTTGTTAAAGAAAAATACTCCCTCCAGCAGGATTTGAACCAGTGTCCTCTATTGCAGGAGAAACTATTGTTAGATCTGATGTGCTTTTATATATATAAAACTTCCCGATATATTTTGTCTCACCTTATGAAATTAAATCAAATAGAAGAGTGCATTCCTTCTAATGCACCAAATCATTCAAATAGTCTGCCAGCTTGCTTTAAAATTCAGTATTATAAATCCTGAATTTTATCAGAATTCAAACATTACTGGTTGGAAGTAATACAGAACTGAGTGGAGGTACTACTCGGAGTTAATATAGAACTGCTTCATCAACCAGGCTCTGTAACACTTTTGTTAAATACTTCAAATTATATTTTCTAAATAAATACTTAAGTAATTGAAATTTTGATTTTAGATTGATTTGGACATTAATCTCTGGCAAGAGTTAGAAACTCCCACATCAGTGGCTACTGTGTACTCCATCTTTTATTATTACAATTCAGTCAAATGATGGTGACTGCCGAGTAGGAAGTCAAAATCTCCAATGATGCTGTCCAGAAAAAGCACTTACTTGTTTGGCCCATATCCAATCATGGAATAGGATTTTCCTGATCCAGTTTGTCCATAGGCAAACAAAGAACAGTTATAACCTAAAAACAAAGAAGAATTCAGTAAACAATTTTTCAAGTTTATCAAAAATATTTAGAGATGAAAAAAAAAATTAATGTAAAAATATTTTTATTAAGATACCAAATTGAATCATCTTTCAGGTGCCATGGCTCTCCACAACTATCTTTTGCTGCTCTAAGTAAGCATTTACAATCCTTCTTTGTCCTTGTTTTGCCAGCCATTCATTCAAACCTGTTAAGTGGATTACTCACCATTTTCTCCTTACTTGCTTGCTTTTTCACTGCATCCTGTGAGTTTTAAGTTCTTCAGACCCTCTTTTCTTATTATCTGTCCAGAAATTTCAGCTGTCTCTGATTGTAAGTATTAGTTACTTATTTTTCTTAAAACTTTTTCATTGTTCATATGTTCTGTCCATGGTATACCCTACTGAATATACTTCAAAATTGAGTTCTCTTGTCAATAGGATCTAATTATAATATCTGAGTTCCTTTTATACATTGATTCAGTATAATGATTAACCTCATTTTTGTTATTTTTATGATAAATCTGTATCCTCTTGTTTTGCCTTCTTCAGACGTATGTTGTATCCTTCTGGGAATGTTGGCTGCAACATATTATTTGATCCACAAGACATATTGAATGGATCAGTATATAACAACAACACCTTGTCTCAAAATTAAAAAGTATTATCTATCTACATAATAAGTAGGTCAGAAGAATGGTATCAGAGTGGTATGAAGTTTTTTTGTTTTTTGTTTTTTAAAAAAAAAAAAAAAAAAAAAAAAATTCAACCCAAAAAAGTGTTGAAAAAAATATTTCTTTCTCTTGTGCTTATTTCTCACAAGTATTTGAACAAATGTCATTTTATTCAATCTTTTGTTTTAGAATACAAAACACATTTAATGATCAGTGACATACTGATATTTGTCTTAATTGTAAAAAAAGATAAAATTTTTATATACTCTTTCGGCTGTCATTTTTATATATATTTTTAATTATTTCACTTAATAAAGCCACTAAGATGTGCAAGGGGTTACTGAGAGTGAACAAAACCGAGAAACTGTTACTGAGGAGAAAGAACAATAAAAGAACAGGATTCAAAAAGACAGAAGATGATGATTGACATTGCATTTAAATTCTTGAACATTGCAGTTTACAGGAAAGCAAGAAGTTAGAATAGAATTCCATAGGTAAGATGTGTGAGAGAAGAAACTATTAGAATAAAACTTATGGTTATATTTAGCAATTTCAAGAGTAAAATGATGAAACCTAGCTGCCAATTTAGTACTATGCTTAAATTCATGAAATTGTGGTACCAAAAAAGGAAAGCTTTATCAGAACAATTGCCATGGAAATATTTATAGAATAGGCAAAGTGAAGCTATATTACAGTTGTGGAAAAGTGATTGAAGCTGAGATGCCAGGTCAGGACCTATAACAGATGCTTCTTTTTTTCTGTAACCTAAAAAAATACATAGAAGTACCAGACCAGATGTGGCAACAATATTACTAGTCAGCACACACTGGGATAGTCATCCTCTCTCATTCTCTTTTTCCCCTCTGGTGGCGGAGATGGCTGTGAAGGTCCAGCCTACTCCTAAAGAGTAGTCAAAGAGAGTTTGATGAGGCCATTCACGTGAATTTGATTTTTGGGAACACCTCTGTGAGACAGAGAAGCCCACACACTTGACCAGAAGTGCCTCTCTTACAGCTCAAAGGAGACTGAAACTGGTGAGATCTGGCAAACCTGTTTTCATCAGGCTGTCAGACACGTGGTATGTCAAGGTCCACCTTGGTTATGCTAACCGAAACTGATGCTGCTCTCTTCCACTTGTTTGGTTGTTGAGATTGTGTAGATCTTTGCCTATTCCGCCAATGGGGTCTTCAGACATTGGTTCCATTCAGTTTGGTACATCCTCCTTGACTTTATCACCATGAGTGGCCCTATAGGAGTTGGAACTCCAGATGGCTTCACTCTTGGGATCACTGGGACACACAAGCTTTCTCCTATAGCTAGGAATAACCATACATATTTTAGATTTGATGTCAGAGTGAACAGTTCATTATCAAATGTACAATTTTGACTTATTACTTTAATGATAATAATAGAAACAAATCAATAAATAAGAAAAGAGTAAAAGTATAAAATTATCATTAAATAAATGAGAACATTTCTTATTATTGTTGTTGCTAAAAAATATTTGAAAGATAAATAATAATGGATGGAATTCGCTACTGAACCAATAGTTAAAAAAAATGGAGAAGTTAAATAAGAAAAGGATAAAAGAATAAAATTATTGGCAAAAGGCAGCAATATTAAATACATTGATGAATGATAGACTTATAAAGGTTCACAACATATTCTAGTAAACAAAATTGTTTAACATGACACAATCAACCAGTAACATGCAGAAGGGGTGGGGAGAGTGTGTGATTCCAGGCATCCAGATTGGGAGAGCACCAATCAAGGAGTGAAATAAAAATTATTTTCAAAATTTCAAATTTAAATTTGAATAAAGTGTTTATTTCATGTTTCATCTGTTTTTACATATTTAAAATGTCTTCCTTTCTCACATTTCTCAGTACTATGCCCCTCCCCACTTACTTGAGCCTTAGGGGCATACAATCAAGGAGTTGGTCCCAAGCATCATCAGACTAAAGTGAACCAACATTCCTAACAGCAGATTTAGCAATTGATTAAATATAATCCTTCTTAGTACCATCTTAAACCCAGCAACCATTAAGTCAGCAAAATAAGTAACAGAATTTCATATCTCAAATCTAGTTCAGATTTCATCTTCCTTCATAAATCCACCCAATTCCATGTTTATAATATTTTTGCATTTTTTTTCCCATATCTGACCAGATCCCAACCCCCATATTCATCTGACTAGATCCACATTTGTTCTCTCAATTTCTTGCCATATTTGCATTTTTTCCTGTCAAAATCCAGGAATCTCACTTCATGTTCATTCAACTGGTAACATCTACTTCTCATTGTGTCCATCTTTATGGGTTCATGAAACTCTCTTCATGCCTATCCATCTGGATCATTAACAAGTCTTTTCATACTGTATCTACCTCTCTTTATATCTATATTTCTATGCATATCTTGCTAGATCTATAATTTGGCAAAGAATAAAATTTACCTTTAATACTAGTCATTTTTGGTTTAGCATTCCCAAAGAGGATTAGCAATACAGTTTTCATTTAAAAGGATTTATGAAGAATGTTATCTTTTTTTTTTTTTTTAGAGAGGCCAATAATATCTGATGTAACTCGCTTGAGGAAGGTAACAGAGAAGGGATTATCTACTTCTTGAAGATTAAGGATTTTATTCAGTTTAAAATATCAAATGACAAAGACTTGACTTAAACATGAAAGCTATGTGCTGCTTGTCTTTAGCTTTTTAAAAATATAGATTTTTTAAATATAAAAATAATTCATAAATTACTCTTTAGTTAATTTGGGCACATTAGTGCACCTGGGAGCACCAAATGAGAAATGCTGGTCTAGATCTATGTATTTTCCTTAATCCATTGTAACGGGAGAGAGCTATGGTAGAAAGGTTTATTCTCCCATTTACATTTCCCCCATTATGGGCATTAGTATATCTGTGATATAACAACACTGTATTTCACAGATGGAAAAGAATGGCTAAAAGGAATGACAAACATGCTATATTCACAGAGAGATGTTTATACCACTATGACATGTATAAAACTACATATACATATTTACACATGTTCTATGTAAAGAACAATGTCATATATCTCCACAGTGAGAAGAGTGTAAGGAGAAACAAAAAGGAAGGGTCTTATATATAATACGGAGGTTCTTATGTGTTTCTGGAGAAATTATGTTTAGGACTCCAGATTCAAATGGGCTGGATTCATCTACTATATCCAAGGTGAGTACATATTCACCAAAGGGGAAATGGCAAGTCTTGGGTTTTCTCAAATTGATGACGTCAAGCCAGACTTTTTTTTTTTTTTTTAATATCTGGGGAAGATATATTCTCAAAGGGAAATAATGGTGCCATGTGATTGTAAGCTGCTGGGGAAGGTAGATTTAGCCTCATCCTAAACTAAAAAAAAAAAGAAAAAAAAAAGAAAAAGCAACCACTTGGTGTGGCTGCTGTAAACAAACTGAATGAATGGCCACTTTTGTCACTAAACAGCTGTAACATGATCCATATGACTTATTTTCACCAAAAGGAGATAATTTCATTTTGTATCCCTACACCATTAACACCCACCATATCCAAAATAGAACAGTTGTCAATGTATTATAGGTAAAAACCTGTAATTAATTCTGCATCTTTACTTCTATAATTAGAACCAGATTTTAGGGTGGGCATTAATTGATTAATATCCACCCGTGCAGATCTATATGGCTTCCTTAATGTCAGTCTATCCAGATCTACACACCTTAACTTTTCAAGTCTGTCTAGATGTATACATTCAGAGCTACACACCTTAACTTTTCAAATGTCTTGATGTATACAACTCCCTTTGATCCAATTTATCCAGATCCATAAACATTAATCGCTATTGATATCAATTTAGGTACTTTTTGGATGAAGTGATCTTACATTCAAAGACCAATGATTTCAGGTTACTTATTAAACTCAAAAAGCAATGGCAAGTGTAATCAGCATTGGTCTTTCCATCCATCATACCAACAAGATATAAAACTTATCACTGCTATTGGAGCTTTCAGTCAGTCATTTATTAAATTGTCTTGCACAATACTGTGAACCAACTTTCCTAGCAGCAGACCTAGCAATTGATTCAATATAATCACTACACTTTATGTTAGTGGAAAACAAAAGAACAAGAAGACATAATAAGTTGCTCTTTTGGAGGTTAGCATCAGCCCTACTGATTGATTGCAGAAAAGGTTCTCTATGGTGCTTCTTTCACTGTAGTTCATAGAATCTACATTGTTCTTTTAAAAGGATATATGACCCCATTCATAAGACTGATGTGTGGTTTGTTGTCTGTATCAGAAAATAAAGAGCAAGATAAAACATGTGAACAGTTATATTCTGGAGAAAGCAAAGTAAAATATTACAACTTACAGGAAATCAATACAATCCTACTTGTTTACCAGTTTTACGACAGCTTGTCTAACTTGACTACCATCACCTTATGTCCTCTTTCTAACCTGTCAAGTCCTATAAGATTGTGTTCGGATGCCAATGTACAGTTTCTTTCCTTTTTTTTCTTCTAAAAATGGAACGTGGGTAATTGTAGGGAAGGACTTTTAATGGAGATCAACTCATACAGTTTGACATATTATTTAACAGAAGGGACGCTTTAGTGTTAGTCGTCATTGTGCATCAGAAAATAGATTTCATTATCCGTTTTGCTGACTTCAATGGTCACAAATGGGTCATGTGATAAAACTATTGATGCAGGCTTCAAGAGCAACACCAGGTGAGAGATTCCTGCCTTTTGTTCCCTTTACCTTTGATTGGAAGAAAAAAAGAGAAGAGAGAGCGAAATGTAGACAAATAGTGTGTGTGTGTGTGTGTGTGTGTGTGTGTAAGTGAACATTGCAGTTAACCCTCAGAAGCGACAGACTGTTTCATGCTGAACACAGTCATCAGGCTTTATGATTGTGTTTAGCATGAAATAGTGTCACCTCTGAGTGTTGACTTCAATGTTCACCTTTATATTTACATGCATAATCACTGATATTTATGGGATAAAGTGCTCAATATCAGAGATGGGATAAATATAGCATGCATCAAAATTATATTATATATGAGAGAAAGTGAAAGCGAGAGAGCGAGCTAGTGAAAGAGAGAGAGAGAGTGAAAGAAAGTGAAAAAGAGAAAGAGAAACGGAATAAGAGTTACAGATCTTAAGTTCATTAAGGAATAACCATTGTGCTACTTCTTTTTATGATTGTGCTTTGCAAACAAGGCAAGACTCAACTGTTGTTCAACGGAGACCACAGAAGTGTTTGTTGCACGTATCTCATTGATCCTATGTCTTCATATCCCCTTCTTATTTTTCTCCTTTTTTCTAACCAGACTCATTCATTTTTACTCATTTTGTTTATTAGTGCTGTAAGTTTTAATTCATAGTTAATATGCATATAATAATCCATATTCGTTTAGTAATTGCAGAAATACATAAGCAAGAATAATTACGGTCGCTTCATTTACAACATTCGTGAAATTTCTATGGGTCCAAGTAGCAGAGATGTAGGGATGCAGAGGATGATTATTTTCACCTTTTGAGAGGACAAATTCACAAGGATCGTGTGACAGCCGCGGAGTGACGACAACTCATGAAGTGGAGGACCAATACCAGTTACTCTGGAGACCGCGAGGAAGATAGACATTATAGTCCACGGTGGTAAGAAGAACAAATAGAAACAACTTGGTCCCAACAAAAAAACGTAAAAGATACCACCTGGTCGTTTTGCCCCCGGGAAATATTACAACTTGATTTTCACTCTTTTTACACTGCTTGTTTTATCCATGTTTTTTTTTTCTGCATGGGATAAATAGCAACAGATATATCCATATTTGCATGTAATTTCTCGTATGACATCTGTATATAAAATCATTTTGATTTGGCATTCATTTTTTGGCTATTCTGGTCCTTCCTTTGTGTTAAGGTGTTAGTATAGAAATACAGAAAATATAAGGTCACTAAAAAGTTCCTGTGTTTTTTTTCCCCTTCTCTTGTTTTAATCACTAAGGTCAAAAGGCAATCATTCCCCTAATATGCTATTTGTTCAAAGCAGTTCAAGTGTAGACATAATTATATTGCTTATGCCGAATATTAGGGTAAGCATCTAACACTTTTGAAGTGAATTAGATTTGACACAAGTTCTCACTTGATTATCACTAATGTTTACCAGTCATTATTTATGAGACTGCAGCTTGAAATTTACTCAAACCAATAGCGACTGGTTGAAAAAAAAAAAAAAATTATTCACGTGATCAGTTTTTTTTTTTTTTTTACTACGTCTGCAAATTTTAAATCTTATTTTAGATATGGCGGCTTTTTTCTTGATGCCAGTCGTTGACATTTTTTTGTGTGGATTTTGACATATCTCCGAAAGATAGCCATTTTAGTTGTAAAGTTTTCAATATTTCTACAATAGTAGTCATTAACAGTCTATCTTTATGGATAAACGGAACCACAGTAATCTCTCATTGTCTTAACTGTTCGTGTTCTTTTACGACACGTGATCAGTAGTCAACTTATCTGTCTGTTAGTTTACTATACACTTTATATCTCTTTTACTTAATATATGCAAATAGGTACAATCCTATTTACCAATCTACTATAGTAACTATTGGTTCACTGGAAATAAAAAAGAAGAAAAGCTCAGATAAAAAATTCAGCTACATTCCAGGTTGCATACTTATTGATCTACCTCCGTATATAGGTATATACAGGTACGTGCGTGCGTGTGTACGTGTAAAAAGTACGACAGAGTTTAAATGATAGAAACTTGCCTTCAATTGCATTATTAAGTAAGCCTTTTCCAAGGTCATTAAAAACTGTTTGTTGCCCGGCATAATGAGAATCTTGTTTGGGAACCAAGATTTTGTCTTCAGTTTCTTTATAACCATCATGCGACCTGCAAGAAATCCGAACAATAAGATTTAGTTACTTTTTAAATTTTAATAATACTTTTGGACTAATTTATTTCTCGATGTTATAGCATTTATTGTAATTACAACGTTCAGGGCCTCACTGTTAAAAAAAAAAAAAAAAATTGGGTAGGAAATGGAGCAATGTAGCCTCCACTGAGATGATCTTATGTCCTCCTAGCATCTGTTTAAACGGACACATTCTTTCATTATATATATATATATATATATATATATATATATATATATATATATATATATATATATATATATATAGCAGCGTTGCCCGCGCTTGATTCCAAAATCGTACGACTCATACAGCAATCGCTATCACTTGACTTAAAATATTTTTGCCCTTCCTTGCCTTTAAAGGAGTGCCCTTTTCCGTGTTGATGTTGCTACATGCCTTACTTCTTGCCTATGTCACACTGCAAATTTTTTCGAAGCTCTATACTAAACATTAAATCTGTTACGAAAAAAGAATTAAATAAAATGAACACAAAACGATCAGATTTAAAAAAGGACTCGTAACTGGAAAAACCGAATGAAAAAAGAATGTTAACAACAAATACTTTTTCACACCCAACCCAGTTCTGCGGAATCAGAATCAACATTGAGTTTAAGCAAGCGAATGAGCCAATTGGAGTAAAGTGCCATGCAGATTTAAATTTTTCCCCACTTGTGACGAATGCAGCTATCGATTTTTTTTTTTGCATGCTAGTTAACATTTGTGTCAGTCATCTGTTGGCTCTCACGCTGGCCAATAGAATCTTCCTGCCTATTCGTGGCAGCCAGCTATAGGCTCTCACTCTGGCCAGTAGAAAATGGCCGCAAACTAAATGAAAACTGCCGTAGAAGCATGAAAAAATCGATTATTTCCTCTATCGATGGGAGTTGGGAAATGCAAAGTCGGTGTTGGCCTTCCCGCTAACTTGGAGCGTATGCATGTAAATTTTGGTGCAAATGCGTCGAAAATTGCAGCCGTGCATTCGTTACACACACACATCCCGCCTTATATATATATATATATATATATATATATATATATATATATATATTATATGAACTATAATTTTGGAAGGGTAACATTTCACTGAAATAGGTTGGAAAATAAAAAGTTTTCATTTGAAATCAAGAAAATACGAACTTTAAACTAAATAGTCATGATATATAGGGAAAAAAGCTGTCAGTTTGAACTGACACCAGGAGGATAAGGGTTTATTCGCATCTCATATATCTTGTGATCTCGTCTGTCTACGTATTTCTGATCCATTCCGCCTGCTTAAAAAAAATAAAAAGAATAAAGTAGACGACAACAAGCTGACCGTTGTTATAAACAGCAAAAGAGAAACTTGTCAAAAATATAAACGTCATCGAATAACTTATCATTCACTTTTTTTCTCAAGGAAGTATATAAAAAAATTCAAGTGTAGCAGACATATTTTATAATGTGACCATAAAGTACCTCCAAATGAACTGACTTGAAACCGTAATCCAGTGTTTCCCAAACTTTTTTCTTTGGGTCACATTTTCGAAATGGTAATTTGCTCATGCCTCACCTAATCTTATGTGATGAAAAGTACATTTAAAAGGAACAATAAAAAAAAAACCCACAAAAACACCCCCCCCCAAAAAAAAACAAAAACAAAAATAGAGCGAGGATTAAACGGAGATCACTGCAGATTCGAAGTCAGAACATTATTGATAACTATCCTTTATTTTTCGGATCCTAGTTACTATATTCTTAATACAATGAGATAACGCAGTTTAAATAGTTATAAATACTTATTTGACCGATTTAGTCAATAAGAATTTAAAACTATTTATACTGGGATTCATGCAAGCAATTATAAATAATCCATAATAATATTTCAAATGTTAAAATCATATTTATTTTGGCATATGAATTTTTTGAAACTGTTTCTAAATCTTTGATTGTCTTTCGATCATGCTGCCTCAGCTATGAGATGCACCGCACCGTTTGGGAACCACTGCCGTAAGACAACTAAGTTACTTTGAGCACTCGATACTTGAAAACGCGCATTTAACTGTTGCAACTGCTATGTAACCATGACATATTTGGGAAGAGTATTAGAATAATACAGAACCTATATTGACAGCAAGCTAACTGAACACGGATAGAAAATGGATATAAATATACAAAAATAGAAAGACAAGGTTGTATCTTCTCTCCGGACTTATTCAATTTTTACAGTGAGGTGATTCGAAGAGAATTAAAATTCCTACCATGATTCATTATAAGCGACCACAATATTAACAACATTAGATGTGTTGATAACAGATACAGAAAGGGAAAATACCGGAACTCTAACAGAAGGTAGTAAAGAAAAGCGAAAAGAAAGGACTAAACATCAATTGCAAGAAGACAATGTGCGGTTGTCAGTGAAAAGAATGGCCTAACATGCAAATTAAAAATTGGAGATGCACGCCACGCATATTGTAGCGAACCATCCTTCGTTTTTCATTTGTGAGATGCAAGTTCCACTCGAGCAGCTGGTGGAACCGACTCCTAAGAGGATGTTTTACCCGATCACTACAATCTTAACGTATTCATGTCTCGCGTTAACCGTTAGCTTCTCCACATATCTCCATAAACCATGCTTCTTATTCTCTAACACTCTACCTCGAGTGGCTCTTAGGCCTTGTAGAAGGTGAACATTGTGGAAAAAAAAAGTCCTACCACCAATTCTAAGAAAACCAGTCGATGGAGTTCAAGTATTTTTATTATAGTAAAATTGTGTCAAATTATATTACAACTTGAATGTTGCTTGTCATATGAAAATATAATGTTGAAAATATTTTTGCCATGGTGGGAAATAGCAGATTTTGTTATTTTTGGTTATGCGTACATCAGCTATTTTACGAGAAGCTTGACAAGCGCTCTACAACAGGCGCCCTTCAAAAAATAAATATACATACTGCAAACAGAAATTTAGTTTGAATGACGAGTTGTCATCCAATTATTCTCTTTTCTTGTAAAAGAATAGTATTTTTTTTTCTTGATTTTTGATTTAATTTACCACCCAAACGAAAGAGTTCAGAACTGAACTTTGCAGTCTACTCAAGGTGTCGTCCATTGAGCTACCAAACGATGAACCATAGTGCTCAATAGTGACTATATCAAAAGATAAAAATATAATAATGTTGCACTTACCAATAGGAATAGTCGAATGAAAACTGATGATCCAATCCGATTGTTGTAGATTTCGTTAAAAAAAAAAAAAATATATATATATATATATAGAAAAGAAATTTAATAATGAAGAAAACGAAGATTTGAACGATTTTTTAAAAAGTCTTTAGCAAATTATGTACGTATCTTTATCGCCTGAAATAATTCAATGGGGCCCTTTAAGTATGACGGCTTTTTCACATAGGAAACATTTTGTTTAAAGTTCATATTTATTTGATTTCAAATAAAAATTTGGAAATTAACATATTACAGTGAAATGTTTCCCCTTTTCCAAAATTACAGCATATACTTATAGGTTAGGTATATGGGGAAAAACGAAGGTATCAGTTTAAACGGATTGGAATATATGAATACATCTAAACCATCTGGACCCTTTACGATTTTCATTCAATCAGATAACCCTGAAAATACCTTTGGAAGTTGGGAAGATTCAGCACTATCAAAATTATTTTCGTTTAGATTAGAATCAGATTTTTTTTTCAACGTGCAATATTTACTCTTACGAAATGGCTTTTATCATCGCTAATAATTTTGACTAACGTTTATTCAATTTAAATAGGGTAGGGTATCATTTTATCTCCAAAAAATACATTACTTCCCAGACAACCGGAATGACTGCCGTTAATAAAAACGAATGAGTGGGTCTGAAATGAGGCTTAGGTATTATCATTATATATGTACCAGTATCCTCATCTTTGCTGTTTTGACTACCATGGCGTAGTTTGGGTGGGCCAGAGGGGCGATTGCCCGGCCGTTAAAAAATAATTCTGTTGAGAAAATACGTACGAAATTAGAATTTATAACAGCTCATGGCTCAGGAAGAGGCACAATAGTTTAAATTGCCTCGTGCGCTCAAGCCCCACCATATATTTTATATATATATATATATATATATATATATATATATATATTATATTATATATATGTGTGTGTGTGATGTATAATAATATCCGAAACAAAAGTGGAGACAGTCGCATGGTGAGGTTTGGTGATGCCCGGGGTCAATCCTGACCTGGCATCTCGACTTCAGTCATTTTCTCACAAACGTGATGTGGCTTCCCTCTGTCTTTTCTACAAATATTTTCATGGCAACTGCTCTGACGAGTTTTTTTTTCCCCATGGTGCCCCAACTACATGAATTTAAGCGAGCTACTAGATTGGAATTTAGATTTCACCCTTTTACTGTTGAAATAGTTAAATATAACCGCCACTTATACTCCAACAGTTTCTTATCTCGCACGTCCCGACTGTTGAACTCCCTTTCTCTTACTTGCTTACCTGATAACTACGATCTTCAAAAATTTAAATGCAATGTCAACCGCCATCTTCTGTTGACTTAAACCCTGTTCATCGTTTATCCTTTCCTCAATCCCCCTATACCCTTTTCTCTTACTTTCACTCTCTGTAACCCCCTGTGTGCTTGTGGCATTTCTGCCTTCCTTTTGGTGAAAGGATAAAAAAATTTTTTTTTTAAATAACTCCTTGATTGTATACTCCTAAGACTCAAGTAGGGAGTGGGGCCTATAGGGCCTAGTACTACGAAATGTGAGATAGAGGGACATTTTAAATATGTACAATCAGACGAGACATGAAATAAATACTTTATTTCAAAACTAAATTTTTATTTCACTCTTTTTTTTCAGATTGCCTCCCAATATGAATGACCGAGGCCGTCGCATCCTCTATACCCCGCTTTATCTGCACGCTACTGAGTAGGGAAGATGAAATAAAGTGGAAAAGCTATAAACGATGCGTTTCGCCGAACGTCTGTTTGTTTTAGCTTCTTCAAGGCAGAAAGGAAGAAACAGAAACCAGAAGACGTTCGGTGAAACGCATCGTTTGTAGTTTTCCACTTTGTCTCATCATTGTTTGTGATCGCATCCAACCTTTTTCCGAAGAGCTGAACTTACTTATTTTTTGACTAACAATCCTTCACTTGTAGTCACATTGATATTTGCACTAGTTCGTTAATTTCCTCGTAGGGTTCAAGTACCAGCTAACAAATGTAATTATTAATAAAATAGTTCATCTGTACTCAGAGATTCGGGATTTTTTTTCTTTAATTTTCAACATTTTTATGTTCAACTTGAAATACACACACACATTATATATATATATATATATATATATATATATATATATATTCATGTAGAGAATAGGTGTGGTAAGGAAAATAAAACTTATTCTCTAAGCTATAAGATGAAGGCAACTCGATTAATTCATGAAATTAAAAAGTCGTAAATCTTAAAACACCATTTAGGAAATTGATTGATGAGAAAATGCCAAGCATGAGCAGACATTTTTTTTTAGTGATAACTATTCGGCGACAAAGGCAGCCCCACAAAGTAATTATATCGACATTAATAACAATATAGAATAATTAAGATAGAATTTCTTAACACCTTTTTTCGCCCTCTGCAGTAACCAAAGAGCAGACCCAGTTATACATCATGAAGCTGCTAGTAAGTCAGGCACTTTTGCATGTTAATATCCGTAATTTTCAATTGGATTTCGCTATTAGCTGATGAATTAGACGAGCCAACAACGACATCCAAGCACTCATCTATCATTCAAGCCTGACCACCAGTTCTCATTTTTAATAGACTCGTTATTACTTTTTTTTAGCATGCAAAGATTAATCAATTAAAGCTTTGTAAATTAACCTCTTAAGGGCGTCTATGTATTATTTATATTACGTCCACCAATGAGCTTATTTATTTATTTCTCTGCAATGAAGTACCTCTTCTTGCAGCACAAATAATAACACATTTGCTTCTCCTTCGTCTACACAATCACTTGTTCATGCATCCTTCAGATGTGCGAATTGTGGTAATACTTTTTAGTAGCAGAGTTAACACCAAGGGAGTTAATCAATGCCGTTACTATCACTCCATTTAGTTGTTTCCAATACAAGAAACGTAATCGTCTGGTTTCATCATTGGTGATTTTAAACGCGTGCTTCTGATAGCTTCAAGAATAAGATGCACAAAATGAAATAAAGTCTCAGTGGATATGGTATTTTTCGTTAAACTAGTCACCAAAAATGTTTAATTTTCTCCTTCAATCACTTCTGAATACTTATCTTTTATATTTTGTGTATATTAGGTTAAGCCAAGTCAAATGCCACATCTCGCAATTAAACATTCCATTTTTTTCTTTTGAAAAGACAATACTAAACGAATTTATTTATAATAATTACATTATCCTTTCATCCAAAGGACAGATCCATACCCTGTCCATATTAAATTTAGCAATTAGATGTTCCCATTGCCATTTTTCATATCTAGGATGTAATTTATTTTACAAAGATTAGGTTTAGGATGGCGGGGGATTAACGGAGAAGTACCGTAGAAATTATTATTATTTGTTATTTTCACTGAGTTTCAATAAATATAGACCGAAAACAGATTTTTTTTTGCAAGCAACCAAGGCATTAATATATAACGGTGCAGAAAATGTATGTATTATATAGAGAGCTAAATGCAATTTTGATTATCCACTGGAAAATTCGCAATAGTTTATGTTAGTAAGTAAGAGCAAGAATAATTTAGAATGAAAAAATAGGAAAGAAAAATAATACATAACTACTGAAAATAGTTTAAAAATAAAGGATTTTAAGCAGGCAAGATAAAAATATTCTAAGAAATGTTTAAGACACAAATAAGAGAAAAAAAAAAAGGAAAAGTTCAATCAGGGCATAAGACAAAAATAAATTAAAAAAAAAAAAAGTCATGTAAATTCCCTTCACGATAAAATGTTTTTAGAAAAGAACGAACGAATTTGCCGATAAAAGTTGGAAAAATAAATGGCGAATTATTTTGCGACGAAAAGCTGAAAATCTATACTTACACATTTAGGAGGCTCATCTGAAAAAGAAAATTAAGAGTTCGTTGACAATCGTTCAAACTCAAAGAATGCCCTGCTCATTCACGTAAGCGTACTTACGCATGCGTAGACAACTATAGCAGGACCATAAAGAATAAAACTAAACTGTAATTACCAAATGAAAAAAGAAAAAGAAAAAAGGAACGTATCAGTTAATATTTTGGCACAAAATGAATAGGAGAAATTGGGAAAGTAATACTTTTTTCTGCGAAAACGATATGCAGCATATAGTCAATAAATATTCAATTTGTTTGTCAGTATTGATACAAACAAAGTATTCAATTCCACCACTTGTTGTCGTAAGCGTCTGACTTATGGAGTTCTTTAACCCACCATTTTAGAAGTTTCATGAGTAGGGAGTGCGGGGAGGGGAATCCTTAGGAACTAGGTGTAGAGAAAAACATCAAAATCTTAACGTGTACTGACAAGGTTGACAATAGGTAGGTACCGAATTTTTAGATTTATTACTACCACAATTTAAGTGACGATAACTGGCAATAAAAACGAAGCGCGGGGGGTGGGGTAGATTTATGACTTTTCCAAATATAGCACTAAATGAACATCGGCAGCTTTGACCGGAATTCGAACGCGGTTTTTAACGAATCTATTTTAATTTTCCATACTGATATAGGTCGCACTACTGGGCATCTTCGATCGTACTTGAGAAATATAGAAAAAAATACAATCTACAATTGATAATTGAAGTAACAATATTTTCACACGTTCAATGACAAAGGCGTTCATAAACATTTTCACTAGGTATTAAGATGATTAATAATAATAATAATAGTAGGTGAAGCACGATGGACGAGTGTCAATAGGATTTTTTTTAAGCTTGAAGACGAGTCAGTCATGGGAATTTGGGAGTCATATCTGATGAAAAGTCAACTCCTGTCCAAGTACGAACACTAGTGACCTATACTTTAAGCCACAGATTTTGAAAACAAACTTATCACTTTTGGTTCTAGATAATTAGGGATAACTCTTGGCTGATCGGACTGGGTTATCCTACCTAAAGGCATTTCTAACTGGGCCCCATTTGTAAAATTATGGGCTGTTTTTTTATTTTTTTTTTATTTTTATTAACCTGTCACCATATCGCGCACATTTGGCTGTGATGCATGTGTCCGGTATACCCTTATCAGACTGGGTGTCATGATAGGTACATTATTGGGCTTTGTATATTTTGTTGGCGTGTTACTCAATCACCATCAACAACAATGCTGAAGATAAAAATTAAAAAAAAGGTTGACAATGAAGAAAGTGTTAAATATTAGGAAATACCTAGAAGTTATTTTTAGGGTTGATTTATTTCTTTATGGCTTATCAACCCTATGTCGGTTATTTAAAGCCGAACATATTTGGGATTGTAAGAATAATTCTTTTTCTTTTCTGTGAGTAAATATTGCACTAACAGTTTCTTGCAGATAACAATGATTTTTCCAGTCCTTACAAATCCATAGTTGCAGAGAGAAGAGATGGATTCATACCTTTCCTAAAGATATTTATGCGTAAGTGAATGAAACGAACTAGACTGGAATTAGAACTCGGCTCTCGGATTTCTCATTCTGAACCGCTATCCATGATACTACCCGCACACAAGATGAAATGAGTGAAACAGGAACTATACAAATAAAAAGTGTATTGACGACTGAAAGGACAGTAAGAAAAGTGTGATTCGATGTCTTTTACACTTTGCCAAGATCAATCCATTAATGATTATGATGTTGACAAGTAGAAGAACTATAGTCTTTTATCTTTGGCGAAGGTTACCAAATTTTATACTTTCGGTGGGCAGATACAAATGATATAGTCAGGATATGAAGATGCTTCTTGATACTGTCTATCAGCAGAATACAGCGGTAACTCTTATTATTGTGAGGGGTGGAAGGGTCCTACTAACATCTGTTTTGCTTTAGTTTGTTTTGTTACAATCTTTTCGTAGCTTTCTGGTTTCATTCTCTCCTCATCATTTCATGATTCATGAAAATTTTATATATTTTTGTGTAAAAAAAAAGAAGACATTATGAGCTTTCATGAGATTTTTATATCATGGAGTGTTTTGTTGGTCCCCAATGAATATGTGGTACTGTGGTATATGCAGGATTGAATGACGAGAGATAAGTTCTTGTGGTAATTGTATAAATTGTATTGGATGAATGGGTCGTGATTAGGATAGATATCAAAGAGCACCATTTCCCTACATCCCATTCGACCATGTGCCACAATTATTGTACTTTTTACAACAATAGATATATATTCAGGATATGAGGAAGAGAAAGAAAAAGAAATCCGAGTATGGGTAGAAACAGTATTGTTGAAATTGGTTGGAATACAAAGGGGTGCAGTGGAATTTTTAAAAGACTTTTTTTTTACTTGATACACGGAGAAAAGCACTAGATTTTGAAATATTAAATAAAAAAAAGGCAGCAATAATAGTCTTAAGTG